AAGTTACAGAATCGGTACTTTCACAGTCAAGGGGGTTTTGCTAAGTTTATTAATAAAAGTGCCAATTTCTTTTGAAAACTGCACTTTTTTTAAAAATGCTAAAAAGAGGACACGCTCGTCACACATAAAGCACTTAAGCAAGCGGACATGCATTAGGGGTCTGAAGTGTCCCTTTGATCATTCCGCTTACTGTAGTTCACGGACCCTATCCCTGCCCTCATATTTTAAATATTTGCCCACGTCCAGAAATTCCACCCCCTTGTTAGATATATCACATCTCCAGCCTTACTTGTTATATACACTTGCAGAGAAACTTCCTCAAATGATGAGACTAATCAAGGGGCAAAGTTATGACTCAAATATTTATAGAGGAATTCAAAGAATATCAACATTTTAAAATGGGAACATTCAGCGACACTAGAGCTACTTGTTAGAGAGCATTGTTATATCTGTTATTTGTGAAATATGGACAAATCCAAACGATACACAATATGTACTGATCTAATCAGATCGTGCTTCTTTCTTTCCTTTATAATATATTTTATATATTTTGTACAGCTTTGGTGGCCTCAGATTTACCCAGCCATCAGAAACCAATGTGAACGCTTGTTCGGAACGGTTTTGCCCAACGAGGTAGAGGTCCTGCAGGAGATGCGGACAGCTGTGGAGAGGTTAGACAGACAAACCCTGACCTATATTTCCTTGTGTTTTCTATGTATTGTGTCTTATGAAAAGTGCAACAAGTCTGTCCATTTTGTTTTCATAGAACAATGGCACAATTTGTGCCAGTTTAGCAATAGATACACCCCACACTCAGAACATCCGTAATTGTGATTCTGAAACATTGACATCACCAGATATTTAATGGCGCTCAGCCAGCAGGTATTCAGTTGGCTCTTTGAAAACTCTTGTTACTGAAAGTGCACAGTGTTTTCCAGATTCAGTGCGATCGAGCAGTTTCATTAAAATAAAAGAAGCCTTCAAGCAGTCTGGGATGATTGTTGAACATATCTCTTTCTGTTTGTCTGCCCAGCTGCCTCTCCCAAGGATTACCTTTGCGTCACTCTGGTTCTCCCTGGCTCCTGGCTGCATTCCTGCACTTTACATATCAGAGGAAAACGTTTGCTGGCAAAACCATCCCAGAATACCTTGCCAGCGTGAGCACAAAATCTACACCGGTGAGTGTGCGGGTATTGTTACCTGATTTAGTCATAACAACATAGGAATGACTCATTAGTCATCCATTAAAATATCACGGGTAGGGTGGCCACTCATTATAAATAGTGAATTAGACGATTTGGGGCTGCTTATATATACAATTATATTTTAAAAAAAATTGAAAATTAAACACAGACAGAATTTAAGGTTTGGGTTTAGTCAGTCAACTTCTCACCTCCTTCTAAGCATCATTGTTTCATCATTTCCATTCTTATATTTCCCCATTAAGATCGATGTCCACTTTGATGATTATAACCCGGCAACTTCAGAAAGAGGAGAGGGCAGGGAGCACCAGTGTGATATTGGTTCTGATTGCTCCAAAGCTAGGTTAACAGATACCAATGTGCTTTTGTATTGCAGTTCCTGCTATCAGTACTATTCTTTTCCATCATGGAACTGATTCCGTCATTATTAAAGGTAAGCGATTGCTGTAAATCAATGACCGTGCCGATTGCATATTGAAACCATAACCACTGCAGCAAACTATAGTGATTATTTTTCTTAATGTGCCCTTTTTAAGATTGAGTATATTTAACATATCCATCATAAATCCAGTCCAAAATAAGGTGTTCCCGTTAGGTTCTGACCTAGGAACGTTACCTGTTCATCACAGTTCTTGGGGGAGAGGGGAGGGATTGAATGCATTTTAGTAAATTTGTGTTTCTATTCTTTGTCCTTTTCACTATGATTAGGAAGGAGCAGAACGCAAGATTGCACTGGAGAACTGTTTGCAAATCGTCCGTTGTTTGGAAGATCGTGAGGATTCCTGGATATGTGTCTTTCAAACAGCACCTGGGAATGGTGAGCAGATATTGAGCAAGTAAAGGCATAATATCATAGGGTTTCCTGGGTGTATGTTTTCTAACGTGCACTATTTGGACATGTTAATCCATAGCATGTTATGGTATCTTTCTAATCTCCTTTTCACATGGATCTTAAAGGAGAACCAATCACGACTCTACACAGAACAGCCTCTTCTGACTTTATCAAGCTGCTACCTTTTGCGTTCTACAGGTGAGCTGCGTCTTGAGATTACAGATCTCGGATTTTCTTTTTGTTTTTTATTAGAAATGGTCTTCTTTGCATTGAATAGACAGTGAGGCCTGCTACACCCACATGCTTATTAAGTTCAGATATAGTTCTCCCCATAGGGGTGGGATATGCATAGTACCAGGCTAAATGAGGTGATACCAGCCCTGAAAGATGGATGAGGAATATCACTGAAGTCTGAAATTTGTGAGCCGGTGACCAAAATGCTGTGCAGATCTCAACCTCACAACCTCCATTATACACTTTTCTGCTTATCATCATAGGCCTTGTCAGTGTGGTACGGCTGTGTCCCATCTAGAGATATCCCTTGTAACTTAAGGTGGATTCCATTTAAGCACATTACCTGGTAGATTGTGCCTGAGCACAGTTCTCTAAAAGTTGATTTAAGCCTTTTAAAATCATTGCCCTTCAATCTAAGAACTATCTTCAGATATGTATAAACTGGCTCAATACACCAGGAAACTGTGACCTCAATATTGGGTGGTAATTCACAGTTCTCTGGGCACACCAAAGGTGCAGCTTTAGTTTGAATCTTAGGTATGTCAGCAAGCCGATACTTACCGTAGCTTCGAAAGATCACATGGTGCCCCAATCGGGCAGACCGCCGTTTCTCCAGTCTCTGCTCACTACTTTCGCCTGTAATGCCGGTTGCTGTGCACACGCCCCTTTTAATGACGTGACGCATGAGTGTTGGCTCCATGATGTCGCTAAAACCAATTCCTCAAATTTTGGGGACATGGTTACAGCAATAACGCTTGTTGCCTATAAAGTGAGGTTTTCCGAGAGTACAGTGCCCTGTTTTGGTTTCTTAGTGTCCCAATAGTGCATTTATACTATCCTCTAGTCTATTCTGTTAGTTGACTCTGCTTTACCCTTACTATTCTGTGTTCCTTGACCTGGCTTTACCTTTCATTTATTCGTTTTCAGGCCTTCCTTGACCTTGGCTTGCTTTGACCTTCCTATCTAGTATTATGTAACGCTCATTCAGCCTGGCCACGCTAAGGATTGGTACACGTGTCTGCTATTCTCTGTCCCCCTCTGGTGGGTTCATATACAGCATGTTGGGTTATATATAACCGTGACACAGTGGAACGGGACAAGGAAATTCCCAAATCCTGGATTGCTGGTGTGGTCTGCAGACCGGGAACCTTTTCCCGTTTCTCTGATAGAATAATAAATAGATTTTAGATAGTAATTCAGAGCAGATGAGGCCAAGGGAAGATCTCCAGCTGTTTTTTGCCCTGCATCTCCCATGATACTTCTTTCAACCTAATTGTAGTCTTACCTTAGAGTTCTGTACCTCCATCTAACCCGTGTAACCATTTCTTTTTAACAAATCTATTGCAGCCTGATCCCTTCTGTTCAGACAGGGAAACTAATCAAGCAGCACAATTTCCTTGAGGTTGCAATTCCGATGTACATTCAGCTGGTGCAGTTATTTCTGGATGGAAGCAGCTTTGCAACTTCATCACTTCAGTCTGCGTGTGTAAGTTGTTTTGGTTTTTCATAAGTGAAATTTAACGTTAACCCGTCACTTCCCATATCTTCCTTCCACTGGGGCCTGCACCCTGCGTAATATCTCCTCTCCTTCAGACATTCCATCATTATGCTGGAAGCAGATTGGTCATGGCAGCTTCCAAAGGGAGAATTAGAACAATCGGTGAATGATTTCAACAGCAAATTGCTCTTCGTTTAGTCTTTTTTTTTTTTTTTTTTGTGGGTTTACAATTTACTGCAGCTGTGGTGTAATGTAATTAAAGGGAAACCTTAACGCACTAATGTTTACTAAAAGATTGTATGAGTGTAGAGTGCAGATTTCAATAGAAATGGACACTTTTATAAATTAAACTGGCCACACCCACTTGGCTGTCAGATAACCAATCCTTTTTACTTCCTAGTTTGGTTGGCTCAGTGGATCTAAACTAAAGAGGCAGCAATTGCTCAGAGCACCTGCCTTGCAAAGACTTCTCATTGAGCTGCACTGGGAAGTCTATGATCAGTGTGATCTGAGCTGCTTACTTGACTTCACCCCAGAGCCAATCTTTGTCCTCATATTATCTGAACAATAAGTAAGGTGATAGGAGTCAATAATGAGGGCAATTATTGGCTGATGGTTAGTGTCAAGGAGGGCTCCTTTGCACTGGAGAGGCAATTCCACACACAAAAAAAAACGTATGGTGGCCATTTAATTATGATGAACCTGTTTGAACAATTAAATTCCCATTGAAATAACATAGGTACCCACATTTTTATTAATGTTTTTGTTGTTGTCTATGTAAAGTGTGGCATTCAGCACAATAAAAGCCCCAATGGGTGACTGTCAGGTTTCCATGCGTTAGCACTATAACCACTGTGTGGAAAAGGAACACGTTGCAAAACTAAAGGGATCATGCTTCCCTTTCAAGGCAAATATAGGAATTTCAAATGCAATTTGCGATGGACATTTGTTTGTGTAGAATCCAGCTGGACTTTCACAGTATGCTAATCTGAAGCATGTGTTTTTAAGGTCCATTACCATGATGTCATCACCAATGGCCGTTCCTTCCTGCTGAGAGTGGTTCCCAAGTGCACTAAGCCAAGCTCTGCCCTTACTAGCCAGGTATAAAGCTTATTAATTTACCGATTTTGTTATGTGACTAATTGCTGTAAAAAAAACAAATCCCTTCTTACTTCTGAAATACCTCTACAAGTAATGTTGACTTTTGATTTAGATGATTTCAGTTTTATTTCTCCCTGTGAGCTCGCAAGTCTGTGACTACATCTATTTTCTCATGCAGGTCATGAAATCCTGTGATGAATATGATCCTGAACTGGCTTCAATGCTAAATTTTCTTCAAGTTCCATTTGATTACGAGGATTTGGCTATGGAACCAGATTTGTTTTGAGCCAGTGGACTAGGAGTTAGATTTTCTTCCTGTGGGAGAATATTTTACTTCTAGCTAAAAGTAGCTTCTAGGGTTACTCTAAGCTCGCTGTCGTGGTTATTATGCAAGGAGTACCCTAGCCCAGTAATGGGGTAAACCTGTTTGCAACAGTTTGCCAACTTACCTGAACTCCTGCCGGACTCCGATGCTCCCTGGTGGTCCAGTGACACGCTTTTGCAGAAGCTGTGGCAGTTGACATCCATTGGCTGAGAGCATCAACTGACTGCTAGCCAATGACTGACATTCTGTGTAATGAAAATTTTTACATTAGCCAGCCCCAGAACTCTATTTCCAGGATGGCTGATCACCCCACAATGACACTGCCGGAAGTGGACTTGGCAAAGAGGTTAAACTCTGTATGCGCAGCATTTCAAAGCAAAACACCGCACATACAGACCCCACTTCAAAGGTCCTGGTGCTTGGAGTAATCCTTTAATGAAACTTGCCTTTTCGCTACGAGAGAAGAAGGTGCAGACTCCCAGTAATACGGGAGAACAAAAATAACAAATCACGAATTATCCTAGATTGTTAATGTAGTAAACTGTTAGAAATTCTATGTCAAATGACTGTCACTGTTAACTGGTGGTGGCTAAACACTAACTTCAGAGTTAGGTCATTGCCAAATCCTTTCTAACCTATGAAGGTAAGAAGGCAATGGGACCCTCCTGCACACAAAATGAAGAGGCTGGAAGTGTTCCTTTTAATATTTTTTACCTTCAAATATACCTTTAAAAACCCACGCGTACTTCATAGTACACTTTTGTTCCAGAAAGCATTGAGTGTATAGCATGATTTACAGGCAGATATCCATCTACATGAAGAAAGTGTACGAAACGCGTCGGAATATGTACTTATTTTGGTTTTACTTTTACTTTGTATTTCCCTGTGGAACAAGCAGTTAAGACTTTATTTTTTTGTAGCCGTCACCTGTGTTCCAGATCTACCATGTATTTATAGTAATATGCTCTTCGGGAATATATTTCTTGTAAGTGTAATTTTAATTTAAGTAAATACTTTGTACAGTACACACAGTGTTGTACTTTTTATATTTGAATATATCTGCTAACAAGATTACAAAGATCTGACGTTGGATACCCCAAGAGGGGAGACGCGCCCATGTACTTCTGAGATCTTGTGAGTGCAATTAAGCGCAAAATCACCTTCTCAATATTATCCTATGTGTATTTTGTTTGTAGACTCATTTTTGCATTTGTGGTATAGAAGATTTGGAGAAATCTTGTGGTTATCACAGTATATTAAGTGTATATGCGATAACACATTTCTCTTTTCACTTGTTTTCTCACTGGTGTTTTGTTTACTGTACATCAGTCATGACCACTTTTCCATAAAATCAGTATTTATTTATAGGCTAGTTCAGTGCTTCACAACCCTTTTCCAATATTAGGAAAATTATTTTCCTGTCATGGACTCTGAATATCAATATTTACCATAAAACGCCTCCAACTACACTGCTGGGGGATATACCTTTTTCCACAATTCATGAAAGTGTGGTCTAGCTAAAATGCCAATTTCCATACGATCAGGCCATGATTCACACGGTGGGATGTTTCCTGTGCCCTATAATTTACAGTATAAAAGCAGGATTTAAAAAAGGCTCAGAAAGACATCTCATGCTATATTCAGCAATCTGATAAAAACACTACAAAACCAATGTTCTTGATTTGTCCCCCCTCAAGGCGGAGGCTCCTGGGGGATTTCTGTTAGTGGTTGTCCTTCTGTTGCTCCTGAAGGGACATTGGGCTCTCTCCCTGCTTCTGTGGCAGGGATCTGTATCAGAGGGTGCACCATTGACATGTGTACATTGAGGTTGTGGGCTTTCTCAAATCGCTTCCCACACTGGTCACATGCAAATTCCAGATCAGATTCAGCCTTGTGTTTGGTCATGTGATACTTGAGAGACGCTCTCTGCCTACACTGAAACCCACACACTTCACATCTGCAAAGACATCAGAACGCAAATTTTATACATTTACGGTCAAGCTGTTAAGAAACCCAGCCACCCACAATAAGTACTTCTGTAAAGTATTCAACTTTTAATCTCTAAATCTAGTAAATGTGTAAATTAAAAAAACAACCCACTTTTTCTTATACCAAACCAAATATAGCTGCTGTAGTGGATATGAATGAATTTAATAAATTGGTTCCATATAGAAGTCGTAACAGACACTAAGTACCAACCTTAGCTTAATTAAGAGGATTTGTTGTGTAGACCATATCTCTGCAATCTCATTCAATTTTTTGCAATTTAGGATTTATATCAATTTGTTTTTTTGGCCCTAGCAACACCGCCTTGGCTGTGACTTACACAGCCTCTTTACACACTTCCTGAACAAAAGATTGCATTCTAACTTAACTTATGGCACAGGATGTTTAAAGGAACACTGCAGCATTAGGAAACATGTTTGTGACTCATATCTTAAATAAAGCAAGGCAGGCTCCAACCAACCACAATCACACTATATAATAGTAGCAGTGCACTGCCGATAAAGACAAGAGGGTGAGCTGGGTATCAAAACTTTACAATGAAAATTCAAAGTGAATACAGGAAAAAAAAAAAGCAGAGGTTTATTAGGGTGCCAGATGACTGGCACTGGCTTATTTTCAGGGGATAAAACCCATTAATGAACAGTTTAACCCTAAAGACTAGCCCCTCAGCATCCATTCCAGTCTGAGGCAGCAGACAACGCTCTCACCCCAGCAGTAGCTCCCCAGTCACAGAATAGAATTAGAAAAAACATTTCACTCTGTTTTGTTAATGGGAAGCTACTGACGCTGACAGCGCCATTCCTGTTTGATATCTCGGACTGCAACAGATGTTCGGAGGCAGAGCTGACTGGCGCTGGACAGAAAAATGTGAGGTTAAACAGTTTGACCACTGAAAGCAAGCCGGCATCAGGTAGCTCCAAGTACCATAACAACATTATTTGAAGTTATGGTATTTAGAGTATTGCTTTAAGAATGACTGCAAAGAATACATCAGTTTTATTAAAATCCGATCATTCACACTTGTATATCACATTGGAGCCTCTTCCACAGTCCCGCCCCCCCCCCGACATTAGGAATTTTCTACCACGTGACATGTTGCGGAGTAATTTAGCAATGACAGCTATTACACCTTACATTGCAGCGACTGCAATTGTTTTTGTTGGTGTGAGGTTTCTTGTTCTGTGTGTGTGTGTATATATATATTTTATACTGTCCACGCTAGTGGTCGGTTGATTTTGGATGCACTTACTGCAAAGGTTTTGCCCCTGAGTGTCTCATCTGGTGAACAGAGAGGTGCTTCCTTTGCTTGAAGGCCTGGCCACACTGATCACAGATATAATTCCTCTGCTCTGGGGAGAAAAAGACACTGGAAGTAAGCTGAGAGAACACAAGAACCATGGATTTTAAGAGAAGGTGGGGGGGTGTCACATACAGCTCTTACCTGTGTGAATGAGTTTAACATGCCGCTGGAGGTACCGGTCAATCATGAATACCTTGTTGCAACCAGGATGGGGGCATGGCCGCTCCCGTACCTCTTCATGTTGCTCCTTAACGTGTTTCTGTTTGAGTGGAGAGGAGTTATAAAAAATGTAGGACTGTGATTGGTAATTTGTAGGTTCTTGCAATGCCGGAGGGGATCAGAACTTGCTACGATTGCAATTTGTAAAACATTTTTATTACCTTCATACCATCAGCTCCTCTGTAAACCGCAGTGCAGCCCTGGTGAGGACATTTGTAAATTGGAGGCAGTTCCTCCCTGAAAACAGACAGACGTGACATAGTATGTAAACTCTTGGATTTCTCACATCCTGTGCAAACAGTTACTGTTCTCTAATTGTACCAACACGTACCGCTCTTGCTTAATTTTATTCCAGCCCGGTTTAGGGCCAGGTTTTTTTCTTGGTCTAGGCTCTGAAGGACTTTTTCTTGTATCTCCAGACTCTTTTCTTTTGTGAAGATCCCTCCTTGTGGAAACAAGATATACAGATCTTCAACACTTACTATGTGCTTAAAGGCAGATAAGACAAACACATTGTGCTTCAGTGTCATATTATCCCTCATTTGACACATCTGCATTAGTGTCCAAAGACTATTTGCTATAACCAACTCAATGAGCTATATTGCTTACGGTGTTAAGTGTGTTTAATTATTGGTCCACGAGCTGAAGAAGACTGTGTCCCCATCACACTGTTTGTGTGAAGAAAGGATTCCTTTCCCGTTAGTTTGTGCTGAAGACTACTGGAGTGTAACAGTTTAATTGCATGCTAATAAAGCCAATTCACATGAATCCAATAACATACAAGTTGGCCACATGACAATCATGAGTTCTGGTCAAACATGCAAACTGTAAGCACATGAGAGGAAGGAAGCCTGTTTTGGAAATTACCTCTTTTCTGTCAGTTCTTCAAAACAGTCATCGGAGGACAGCGGGTCCACCTGCTCTTCTCTGATCTCCCTGCCCTGGAAATCTCTGTACAAGAGAAGAAGGCATCTGGTGAACTTCTTGGGAACATACTGGCCCTCACCCACCCCATAACATGATATTATAGACAGATGAACACTGAGTGAAGTTTATAGTGGAGTAATGATATCCTCCTGATGAGCATATACGATTCCATGGTCACTACTAAATGATTAGTACTTTGCCATGCTCCTGTAGCTACCCCTTTAGAAATCTAGATTCCTCTCCCCATAAGTCTCTCAACTGTCATGTATGTCCTCACAAGACAATTGTCAAATCCTCACCCGTCCGAGAGGTAGTTGCCATCTATTTGTCTGGTTTCATGTGAGACCCTGGTCCGATTCCTGACGGCATGTGCTTATTTAAATAAAAAGAAAAGAAAAAAAAACCAGAACGTTAAACTGACCAACATTGTTCCAAAGCTCTTCCTGAAAATAATTTTCAGTTGGTACTTTTAAGAAGTTATTTACTAAGATCTGCGGAAATCATCAGATTTAGATACAGTAGCTCCGCTCGGGGAAATAGCTACAGGCGACACTTTATATTCTATGGGGATTAGTAGGGTATGTGGAAAGATATCGCTCGTTTAAGTAAACAATAATTGCAGAAATAGCTGCACAAAAAATAAACCAAGTGACAGCGAAAATCTGGTACAGCGGAGGTTAGTGCAAAAAAAAAAAAAAATTTTTTTTAAAAATTCCAAATGAAAATTTCCCCTCTTTATATCCACAACTGGCTTATTGGAGGTTGTAATTTATGACGTATAGTTCAGTTTTTTCATGTAAGACCAATAATGAGGGTATGTTCAGCTTTTAATGCCGCCGATATCCCTTCCTACTTACAATGATCTCCTGTAAGAGATGCTGTTTAGAACAAAAATCTTTTATGTATTGAAAGTATCTTACCATGGGAAGGGTCCAGAGCAGAACTCCGAGGAGCTGGGGTGTCTAGCGGCAGTGCAGGTGATTGACACTGTGGGGGGAAACTCCCTACCCCAACAATATCAGGAAGGGGTGGACTGGTGTCTATTCTATCCGTCAAGGTGCATACTGTGGGCATATGAACTGTCTCTGTGCTTATATGGTGTGTCCCATTACCACTTGCTAGGGTGGGCTTGACGTGCCCTGGTAAGGTAGGTGAGGCATTGGTGTCAGAGTCCATTTCCATGATGTAATCGTGTCCTCCATTGCATCCCCACACTGCCCGGATGATGCCACAGTATTGTGTGGATAGAACTTGCTGGAGGCTCGGTAGAGAATGGCAGCTCCCGGCATGGCTGTGTGTCCAGCTCACCAGTCCAAGCAGACAATCAGAGCTTGATGTAATCAAATCTCCACACAGAAATAGAGAGAGAGAGTGTATGTTATGTCTACATTTGAACCTTGCCTGTACACACCTGCCAGGGCTATCAATCATTTGTATCCATCCACAAACCTCTCATTACATTACACAAACTATCAATGGCCCCACAGTAGCATTGTCACAATCACAAACCTGTATTCAGGCAGTCAAAAATACTGAGATTTAAATGGTTTTACGTACAAGGGAATGTGCTGCAAATTTCAGGGAAGAAGTAATGAATTTGACTTGAAATTGGCATCTGGATAGTCACAAAAGGCAAATCCTTATTTGCCGCTATGTAATCCAATTTAAAATTGAATGGCTGATTTTAAAGAAGGTTATCACGTAAACGTGGACCATTATTAAACACAGATTGTTGCAGTAAAAGTGTCTGTTCCTACTCTGTTGTTGAACATCCATTTGGCCTAGACAAAGATACCGTTTCCCATTGTGCACACACACTGGTATTTCCGTACAGTCAGCTAATTGGTATCTCACCGCATGTCCTTCATTGAGATAGGCATACTAAAGATCACATATTCTACAGGACTCTTAGAGATTTACAGACACCGCTTACATCAGTGCAAACCTTCTTATGCAGTCGGTGCAAATATTTGCAGAGTGTACAGCAGCAGTGAGGCTGTGGGGGCATGATCTATACACTAAAACTGCTTAATTAAGCTTGAGTGGTTTTGGTGCTCAGAGAACCCCTTTAAACGTACAAATATTTCCTGAACATGCAGACAACTTAGTCATGGAAAACCAATGTTAACATAAATACATGTATCTTACCTGTGCATGATTCTGTTGTGCATTTTACTTCATTATGCAGGTCACTGCTGAAAAACAAAAATGATATACTACAATACAAACCATGCAAACAATAAAATTCCAGGAAACTAATGTAAGGCATGCTTTATATCGCAGATTGGGAATGTAGTAAATTTGTCGCAGATTATCAGATATTTGGATTTGGCCTTTAAATAACAAAAACATTTTTGTATATTTGTTACTTTACTATCAATTGAAAAACTTGTTCCAGCTACATTTTCAGTGCTTAAATTATATCCCCATATGCTGCCAGTGTCAAGCAGCTATGTGTTTCAGCATTTCTATAAACGCTGCATAATTTAGAAAAAAAAAACGAAATCACACAAGGAAAACATTCAGGTGAGAAGGTGGCAGATTGTTTTTTTTTTTTTTTTTTTTTAAAGATCCACCTTCCAGCAAGCAGGTATAGAACTACATGATTGAGAGAGTAAGAAAATTCTTGGTCAGTCTCTCAAACCGGGGTCTATTGATCGAAGAGACAGTAATATTTCAGAATAGGTTCCATTTATATAAAAAACAATCTTTAGACATATCCACATATCCTATTTTAACATATACTGCTCCAAGACATTAGCATTGTAGAGCATACAGGGGGACAGAGAAGCTGAATTGTTTCCATACATTGCAACGGTGTCATGATTGCATGAAGGCACCAGAGAACAATCAGAATGCAGCAACAACCTGGCCCCGTCTAGATTACATAACATGAACAATATGTATTCGGACCGGTGTTGGAGAGACTGTGGGGGATTGGGCAATATGGCCCATATCTGGTGGTTCTGCCCCAAGTTAATTAATTATTGGAAAATGATCCACGATCTGATTATTAAAGTGAACGGAACCATTAGTATCTTAACCTCGGAACTAGCCTTATTTAAAAAACTCCCGGAGTCTGTTAATAGATCAGATAAAATAATCATAGGCCACATTCTGATCGCTGCTACATCCTGTTTACCTAGACATTGGAAGTCTCAAAATGTGCCATCTCTCAGAGAAGTTTTTTATTTGATTTTAGAAAATAAGGCACATGAACTATCACACAGAGCCAATATGCATGGTTTCCCAATACTAAAATACAACTGGGATAAATGGGAGGAAAAAATCAAAACAATTTATGGTCTTTGATATATTTATTGTTAAAGTGCATTGTTGTAAAACATTTTTCTTTTTGCCATATACTTTAATATGTTTATTTCATTGATGGATGGATACCCCTTCCCATTTCCATGTTACCCCTCCTTTCCTACCCTTAATACAATGTTTGTATTATTATCATTTGTTATACAAAAAAAACTTTAATAAAAATTATTTGAAAAGAATGCAGCAACAAGAGGAAAAACTGATTTCCATTATCGTTTCATCACACATTGAGGCTAGGAATGCCAATGAGCAAATTAAATAAAGTGGTTTTATTTTCCATTTAAAATCGCATTGAGGTGGTTATGGTGCTAGGTAAACCAACAAGGCTTTGAAGTGGAGCTCGCAGCATTGCCTACAACCATTCTCAATCAGAGAGACAGAATGTAACACTTCTTAATGTAAAAGGGACGTGAAAGTGCTTACTCCCAGGACGCACCACCTGCAAGTCCCAATTACTTCAGCATTGACTTAACAACCCACTGGTATTGGAAGTGTATTTCCTGACTTTATGATAGGAAGGGTCCCAACGCAAAAAACAAACAAAAACAAAAAGCCCTGTTTTGTCAACATGAAAATAACTGAATTATGATAAAGTATCGCTGGTATCTGGTTTATGCTGTGTAAAGTGTCCCTTTAATCTTTCAAGTCCCCAAGGCAAGAAAAGTTTGACATTAGAACCAATTTAAAGACACAGTACAGCACACAGACAACTCACTCTGCTCTGCTGCTGTGTGGTTTGGTGGGAGAGGTGTTCACACGCTGGATAAAGGTCCTGAGTACGCTTCGACACTTGTAAAACTGGGCATGGCAATCCTTGCACACAAACTGTGGAAGTTCTGGGTCTTTGCGGACTGATACTCCCACCAGCTGCTGAAAGTCCGCATAGAATACTTGATCCAGGCGCCTCTGCTTCTCTGAACTCCGACCAATCACTGGAAACTTACCAAATGCATTGCGCAGGCTTCGAGAAGAGAATTTCCCATGGCATAGACGACAATAACCAGTACTCAACGCCTTTCCAATGACTTGAGAAAAAAAAAAAATGCCATGTGTTTAATTTCACAAATATAACCACTGATTCCTTATTTGTAATTGGCCACACAATTACGAAGGTGAGCTGTCGCTCAACAGGTAATATCATGTTCAGCTAAAAAAAAATTGTCTTTTAATAAAGAAAAAAATCACTAGGCATGAAAACTAATTTGTATTATTGCAAAATGTATGACGTAGAGCCCAACATGTAGCCCACTCTTATCTCTGAGAGTGGGCTACAACTACAGAATTTTATATTAAAAAAAATAATACATTTTAAATCAGTGCAGCTATAAGAAAACTCAACTTTGCTGTCAATAAATAATTTTGAAAAAATAAAATCAAAATATTTATCTCTCTCATTTTGTGTCCAATATCCCAAATACATATAATATACTTATACAGTTAAATTGGATTGGGCCAATCCAAAACCCAGGACCAGAGTACAGTGTGTACTACGGCACCTCTGATGGGATGTACACACTTATACAGCATTTCTCCGCAGTCGCTGTAACAACATGGGTTGACGATGTCACATGTGTACAAAATGTACCTTACAATTTACCTGTTATCTTATATAATAAGATGTATATTTTGAAAACTAACAAAAGTGAAATGTATCCTTCCTGGTTAAATAAGGTATTATTATTATTATTATTATTAATAATAATAATCTACTGCATACAACGCTATTTAAAGGGAGACTATAGTCACCTAAACAACGTTAGCTTAATGAAGCAGTTTCTGTGTATAGATCAGCAGGTTTCACTGCTCAATTCACTGCCATTTAGGAGTTAAATCACTTTGTTTCTGTCTATGCAGCCATTGTCACACCTCCCTTGGATATGATTGACAGAGCCTGCATGAAAAAAAAATGGTTTCACTTTCAATCAGATGTAATTTACTTTAAACAATTGTATCTCGTTCTCTGTAAATTGAACTTTAATCACATACAGGAGGCTCTTGCAGGGTCTAGCAAGCTATTAACATAGCAGGGATTTAAAAAAATCTAAATTAAACAGGACTTGCAATAAAGGAAGGATAAACATTAGACGACTCTTTACAGGAAGTGTTTAGGAAGGCTGTGCAAGTCACATGCAGGGAGGTGTGACTAGGGTTCATAAACAAAGTTATTTAACTCCTAAATGGCAGAGTATTGAGCAGTGAGACTGCAAGGACATGATCTATACACCAAAACAAACTACTATTTCACACATTTAATTCTTCTTTGCCCTGGTGTTCCTCCTCCACCTACCAACTTGATCGCATCAGACTTTGCAACTCACTTCACTGACAAGATCTCTACAATCAGGGAAGAGATCACTCGTCTTTTCTTCCCCTAACTTCACTCCCTCTGCTGTTCTATGTTCATTCTCACCCGCTACATTGGAAGAGGTTTCTGCTCTGCTCCAGTCCTCCCGCCCCACCACCTGCTCCCTAATTCCAATTCCCTCACATCTCATCCGTACTCTGTCTTCTTCTCTTTCTCCACCTCTCACTAAAATTCTCAATCTCTCTCCTCTGGTATATTTCCATCGCCCTTCAAACATGCAACTGTAACCCCAAAGAAGCCCAATCTTAACCCTAACACCCCATCCAACTACCGTCCTATCTCACTACTGCCTTTTGCATCCAAGATCCTTGACAGAATTGTGTATGCGAGATTGACAGACTTCCTCGAGTCAAACTCTCTGCTAGACCCGCTTCAGTCTGGTTTCCGTGCTAAGCACTCTGTGGAAACGGCACTGCTCTATCCTAATTCTCCTTGACCTGTCTGCGGCTTTTGACACTGTTGATCAACAGCTTCTTCTCATCCTCCGCAATATCGGTCTAAAAGATATTGCTCTCTTCTGGTGCTCCTCCTACCTCTCCCAGCGCTCTTTCAGTGTTTCTTTCTCTGGCTCTGCTTCTCCCCAACTCCTCTCTGTTGGTGTCCCCCAAGGTTCAGTCCTTGGTCCCCTACTGTTCTCCATCTATACTGCCTCCCTTGGTAAACTCATTAGCTCCTTTGGTTTCCAATATCATTTCTATGCTGATGACACACAAATCTACCTGTCCAATCCTGATCTCTCCCAGTTCCTCTTGACTAGTGTCTCTTACTGCCTCTCTGCTATTTCTAACTGGATGGCTGCCCACTTCCTTAAACTAAACTTGACCAAAACTGAAATTTTGGTCTTCCCTCCCTCAAGTGTTGTTACTCCTGTGTCTGTCTCCCTCCAAGTCAACGGTGCTACCATCAGCTCCACCACGCAGGCTCGCTGCCTAGGTGTTCTCTTTGACTCCAACCTCTCTTTCAAGCCTCATGTTCAGTCTATCACCAAATCCTGTCATTTCCATCATAAAAACATTGCGCGCATCAGCCAGATGCGACTTAACGCCAGATGCGACTAAGGTGCTAGTCCATTCTCGCTTTGACTACTGTAATCCACTTCTTAGTCGTCTTGCGTGCTCCCAACTTGCGCCGCTACAGTCCATAATGAATGCGGTGGCGAGGCTCATCCTCCTGTCCGCTCGCACCTCCCATGCCTCAACCTTCTGTCAGTCCCTACATTGGCTTCCTATAAAATATAGAGCTCAATTTAAAGTTCTGGTTCTTGCTTTCAAATCTCTACATAATGCTGCTCCCACCTATCTATCCTCCCTTATACACAAGTATGTCCCGTCTAGGCCCTTACGATCTGCTGAAGACTTACGTCTGTCTTCTGTACATACTCCCACCTCTGATGCTCGCCTTCAAGATTTCTCGAGGGCTGCACTGTTCCTGTGGAACTCGCTTCCCTCCTCCGTTAGATGCTCACCCAGTCTCCACTCCTTCAAAAAATCATTAAAAACCCACTTCTTCATAAAAGCGTATGAATTAAACTGTTAATAGCTCCCGACTGATTCCTCTACTGCAACTGTAATTAGTCTAATACTATCCTTACCTTTTGTGTCATTTTACCCCACTCCCTCTAGCATGTAAGCTCATTGAGCAGGGCCCTCAACCCCTCTGTTCCTGTGTGTCCAACTTGTCTGGTTACAACTACATGTCTGTTCGTCCACCCATTGTAAAGCGCTGCGGAATTTGGCGGCGCTCTATAAATATCATCATAATAATAATAATAATAATTAAGCGAAAATTGTTTTGGTGAATATAGGGTCCCTTTAAAACAATTCTGATACATGGAGATACAAGAGATTGTGCAGGTTTTATATATACACACACAGGGAATATTATTTATAAAGTAGAGATGTACTGATTGCTAGCTAACCTCTGAGTGTTGAGCTGTGCCATGATCTTGGCTGAGCATGCTGGGAGTGGTAGTCCCCAATAGCTGCCAGCATGCCATGAACAATAATAACAATATTAATAATAAATAATAACAATAATGATAATGCTGTTGTTGTGGTTGTGGTTATGGTGGTGGTGTTGTTGTTATGGTGGTGTTGTTGTGGTTATGGTGTTGTTGTGGTTATGGTGTTGTTGTTGTGGTTATGGTGTTGTTGTTGTGGTTATGGTGTTGTTGTTATGGTGCTATTCGCCCTGCCTTACCTCCAGCCCCCCCCGAGCTGCCCTCCCCCGGTTTCTCGGACTCCCAGGCGGGCTGAGGCCTAGCGGCGCTGTGTGCCAGGGGTGCCGTGACCCGGGCTGCCCTCCGGTGCCAGGCCGCGCTCCGCCCGCGGCGCTCTCCTTTCATCCCACCATCCAGCTCGGGGACCGACAGCGAGCCAGCCATGAGCGAGGACACATCGCACAGCGCCACCAGCGGCCGGGAGGAGGTACTGCACTGAGAGACACTGGGGATCACCTGCACCCCTGCACTGAGTGACACTGGGGATCCCCTGCACTCCTGCACTGAGAGACACTGGGGATCCCCTGCACCCCTGCACTGACACTGGGGATCCCCTGCACCCCTGCACTGAGAGACACTGGGGATCCCCTGCACTGAGAGACACTGGGGATCCCCTGCACTGAGAGACACTGGGGATCCCCTGCACTGAGAGACACTGGGGATCCCCTGCACCCTTGCACTGAGAGACACTGGGGATCCCCTGCACTGAGAGACACTGGGGATCCCCTGCACTGAGAGACACTGGGATCCCCTGCACTGAGAGACACTGGGAATACCCTGCACCCCTGCACTGAGAGACACTGGGAATACCCTGCACTGAGAGACACTGGGAATACCCTGCACCCCTGCACTGTGTGACACTGGGGATCCCCTGCACTGAGAGACACTGGGGATCCCCTGCACTGAGAGACACTGGGGATCCCCTGCACCCTTGCACTGAGAGACACTGGGATCCCCTGCACTGAGAGACACCGGGGATCCCCTGCACTGAGAGACACTGGGAATACCCTGCACCCCTGCACTGAGAGACACTGGGAATACCCTGCACTGAGAGACACTGGGAATACCCTGCACCCCTGCACTGAGAGACACTGGGAATACCCTGCACTGAGAGACACTGGGGATCCCCTGCACTGAGAGACAGTGGGGATCTCCTGCACTGAGAGACACTGGGGATCCCCTGCACTGAGAGACACTGGGGATCCCCTGCACCCCTGCACTGAGAGACCCTGGGGATCCCCTGCACCCCTGCACTGAGAGACACTGGGGATCCCTTGCACCCCTGCACTGAGAGACCCTGGGGATCCCCTGCACCCCTGCACTGAGAGACACTGGGGATCCCCTGCACCCCTGCACTGAGAGACCCTGGGGATCCCCTGCACCCCTGCACTGAGAGACACTGGGGATCCCCTGCACTGAGAAACACTGGGGGTCCCCTGCACTGAGAGACACTGGGAATACCCTGCACCCCTGCACTGAGAGACACTGGGAATACCCTGCACTGAGAGACACTGGGAATACCCTGCACCCCTGCACTGTGTGACACTGGGGATCCCCTGCACTGAGAGACACTGGGGATCCCCTGCACTGAGAGACACTGGGGATCCCCTGCACCCTTGCACTGAGAGACACTGGGGATCCCCTGCACCCTTGCACTGAGAGACACTGGGATCCCCTGCACTGAGAGACACCGGGGATCCCCTGCACTGAGAGACACTGAGGATCCCCTGCACTGAGAGACACTGGGATCCCCTGCACTGAGAGACACTGGGAGTACCCTGCACCCCTGCACTGAGAGACACTGGGAATACCCTGTACTGAGAGACACTGGGAATACCCTGCACCCCTGCACTGTGTGACACTGGGGATCCCCTGCACTGAGAGACACTGGGGATCCCCTGCACTGAGAGACACTGGGGATCCCCTGCACCCTTGCACTGAGAGACACTGGGGATCCCCTGCACCCTTGCACTGAGAGACACTGGGATCCCCTGCACTGAGAGACACCGGGGATCCCCTGCACTGAGAGACACTGGGAATACCCTGCACCCCTGCACTGAGAGACACTGGGAATACCCTGCACTGAGAGACACTGGGGATCTCCTGCACTGAGAGACACTGGGGATACCCTGTCTGTACACAACTACTGTACATCACTTTATATCCTATCACTACACAAACACATCATTTTATATTCTATCACTACACAAATACATCACTTTATATTCTATCACAAGCTTCTGATAATTTATTCTAATATTTTATTTTACAAGGTTTCAAAAAATAAATAAATCTGTTAAAAATATATAAAAAAATAAAATATATGCATATTATCATGATTACGGAGCAGATATTGGTGACAACTGTTGTTTGGACGTTAGTAATAATTATTATTTATTATAGTATGTTATATCAATCTATAGTGCATGAGATTTAATCTAATCCATATATTTATATTCATAGCAAATAGAGAGACAAAATGTTTTTTTACTCTACTTTTTTTTTTTTTTTACCGATTACAAACATGCTAATGAAATAAAAAATAACATAGTGTAGTATTTTGAAACCAATAGTGTTGCAATTAAAATAAATATAATGCACTCACATTAAAGGCGACCTTTTTCTTTTATTCAAAAAACCTTGATGATCTCAGCCAATCAAAGCTTTCTCTTAGGAAAGCATTGGGAGGCTATGTGCGGCAGAATGTCGCACTGTGCAAACCAACACCTACTCATAGAGATGCATTGAATCAGCGCATCTCTATGAGGAACAATCAGTGTCTTCATGCAGAGAATAGAGACGTTGAATGTCAGTCCTGCCAACTGTGTAGCACTGACCTAGGAGGCATCTCGAGTAGCCATCTGAGTGACTGGACCTAGAGATGTTACTAGGCAGCAATGTAAATACTGCCTTTTCTGTAAAACAGCAGTGTTAACATTAAAAAAAAAGGTCTGCTGGCACATTTACCTGTAGTTGTTCTGGTGTCTATAGTGTCCCTTTAAATGTTATTCATGGCAATCCACACTTGACTGAACAACCCTGATAGATTTAGCTACTAAAGTCTAAAATGTTGGGAATTCAAAGTGAATTGCACAATTTTAGCCACAATAACCAAACTGAGTAAATACATTTTTTCCCCCCAAGATAGCTATCAAACTAAGAGTTACATAAAACTATGTGATTCACTCTGATTTCCTCCAAATTCACAGCTTAGTAAATAACCAAATAAGTGTATTCCAGCCCAAAATGTTAAAATAGACAGGGCACATCTTGCCACCATAGACAGTAATTCTCATGCTGGCAATTGCAGTGCACAACTCTGAGTCAGTCTCCTGTCATTGTCACAGTGCTACACATACAGTGCTGCCTTTCACCACTCTCACCAGCAGAGGGCGCTCTGTAGCTGCGGTCCGCTGGGCTTCATTCCGTGCGGCGGTACGGTTTCCTTTTCATTCCGGCCGGGAAACGCGATCACTGTAACAAGGTTCCGGGTTCTTTCCCTTTATTAATTGTCATGGCTTCCCCGGTTGGAGATGGAGGGCTGCGGCCGCTCCAGAAAGCAATGAAGCTGGCAAACCGTGCCATAGAGCTGGATACCGGGAACCAGCATAAGGTGAGGAAGAAGACAAGGGGCACCAGCTGTGATAAGCCTTGCAGCATGTGACATTCTAATATTAATGGTGACAAGTCCTCCCCTGTTTGCTGTTTATATGTTCATATTACAGCCTGATGGCCCTCTGTCACTAACTGTCTGTTAGGCAAGAACCATAACCACTTCAAAACACTTACATGGCCATGGTGCTTGGGTTCTCCATTTAACTATTTGGCTGTTTGGGATATTATTATTATTATTATTAATATTATTATTGTTATTTATAAAGCACCAACAAATGCCGCAGCGTTGTACAATAATTTGCGAATGTGCCTCCTAACAGATGCGTTTAGTTCTTATTTTGATTAATATCGGTGCTTTGTAAGTTTTGCCAGATCCTATACTTTCCATGGCATTCGGAATGCAAAAAGCACTGATTTATTTTTTTTGATTTTTTTTAAACCAGACGCCTAACGCACAGGCCAAATGGTGCGGATTCAGTTGGGAAGACTAAACTGGTTTTGGCGTTCGTAAAAGTGAGATTTAGCAGTCTGGTTGGAATTCAGTCATTTATTGGGTTATTCATAAAACACGTGATTTTGTCTGGTCTTAAGAATAATCACGGTGGAGGATCTGGTCCCCCAGCTCCCACCTGTTGCCCAAGGGGAGAGGGGCGAGCTAACTAATTATACAATTATGGGGTTGGACATGCCATTTTCCATCCCCCATATAGTGATATGTCTCACCATCCCTTATTCCCCTAGCCCATGGGTTGTCAACCTGGTCCTGATCGCCCACTAGTTGGAGGTTTGGGATTTCAGGTGATGGTGGTGGTGGGTTCTGCAGAAAGCGCCCGGTGTGCCTTGATGGCCTTTCATCTCCCCTGCCGGCCCATTTAGAGCCGCCTTGCTGTAAGCCCTTTTGGGATGGTGACCGGTCTGCTGGAATTTAGTTCCAGCAGAGGGAGGGAAGAGCCTGTGAGGCTCTGTGTTCCTCCCGCGAGCAGACTGACTTGAGCGATGCCCCGCGTTACCATAGCAACGCTCTGATACAGTGCTGTGCTCACAGGAGGACAGGAGAGTCACCCTGCAGTCGGAGGAGCTGCAGGCTAAAGTGAACATGCTACCACAGGACCACCAGGGCTTGCAGCTTTATGTCCCCCTTCTCCCACCTCCCCCGCCCTTGTTAAAGGTGAGAAGAAGGGAGGGGGAGACACTAAAGGGACACTGTAGGCACCCAGACCACTACAGTTCACTGAAGTGGTCTGGGTGCAAACTCCCATCACTCTAAACCCAGCAATCGTAATTATTGCAGTTTTTATAAACTGCAATAATTACCTCTAAGGGTTAACTCTTTCCGGAATTGAAGCTGACTTTTGGTCCGTTATCTGACGCTGGACTTCCTCGCACCCTGCATGAGGACTTCCAGCATCAGATTTTCCCCATAGGAAAGCATTGAATACTATTGCAAGCTATTGCAATGCTATTGCAAGCGCAGCCATTGCCATGCATGGGCGTTGGGTCTCCCCCGCCGACAGATGTCAGCAGGGAGCAGCGTTTGCTGAGCAAGCGCTGAGCAACATCCACGTTGGTCCCAGGTAAGTGACTGAAGGGGGAGGGGGCACTGACAAAGGGGAATCTATTGTGACAGGAAAACAAGTTTGTTTTCCTGGCACTATAGAGTTTCTTTAAGATAGATTTTCACATCTCACCTACCTACACACAGCATAGACCCTATCCACCCTTCATACACACACAGACACACTGCCCCCTCACTGACTGATTAGATAAAACCAGTGCTCAAAGTTTTGCTGAACATCTGTTAAATTGAACTTTGTCATTGAAGTGGTCTGAGTGCTTTGGGCCTGTTTTTTTTTTTTTTTGCCCTGCAGTGTAAAAAATGTGATACTTAGTAGATAAAGAAATGTGTTGAATGCAGGGCTAAACATATGTCTAGTAGCTGTCTTCCTGACAGCCACTAAAGGTGCTTCCACACTCCTAACGCAGTATGACTCGCTTATGTGATGTCCGACCTCATGCATTGCACGAGAACGTAGAACGTCCTCTAATACTGATCATAGGGAAGAGATTGGATTGGCTAATAAGGTAATAAAGCGATGCCTGTCGGATGATCTCGCAGGAGTTGTGTGTGGCAGCACCAAGTGAGTCTACGCACTGGAAAAAAGTTAAGTAAAAATGATCACAGGTATCGAGGCACTTGGTGGATCCACAATGTCGGAAGAGAGCCCAAGCATCCTCTTTTTGCCCTGCTCTGCGGTGGCCACTGGGGCAATTCTATTTGCATAGTACATTATAAAGTGTCCAAGTGGCATGCACCCTGGAACATTATACAAGGGAAATGCATCAACGTATCTTCCAAAGATCTCTACTAATCCCTAAAAAAAAAAAAAAAAAAAAATCTTTTTTGGAAGCTCTGTTCTTTGCACCTGGCAGTCAGCATAGAGAAAACCTAAAGAGAAGAGGCAAAATGAAAGAATATTTCTATTTCTCCTGTTGATTTGCAATATTTTCCCTGGGTTTTCGTTGTCAGAACTTGTTTTTGATGTAATTTGCTCAATCTTTAATATAAATTGAAAAGGACACCAAATATAACACAAGTTATAGGTGATTTTCAATGTTTTATTCAACAGTATAATTTCCATACAAGTTAGAGTTTCCTTTTTAAGATGAGGAATGCTGCAAATTTTCCTAACAAACAAAACCCGATCATACAAAGATACATTACATGATCCGACAGTGCCAGGAAAATGGGTTTGTTTTCCTGGCACTGGAGAGTCCCTTTAAGAGCCCTTGTGGTTCTGTGTAGAGATGTCGCGAACTGTCCGCCGAACTGTTCGCGAACTGTCCGCTGGCGAACAATAGCGTGTTCGCGTTGGGCGAACATATCCAATTTCCGGTCCGCCCCCTATACGTCATCATTGAGTAAACTTTGACCCGGAACCTCACAGTCAGCAGACACTTCCTGGGAGGGAGGGTCTGCTGCTGATTGGGTGGAATGTGTCTGCTGGCTGTGAGGTTCCGGGTCAAAGTTTACTCAATGATGACGTATAGGGGGCAGACCGGAAATCGGACAGTTCGCGAACAGTTCTGTGTCAGAAAATCCCTATCTGTATTTACAGATCATATTAAAGGAACATGGAGGTCACACAGACTGCTTCCTATCAATGAAGTGATCTGGGCACAATGGCTCTGCAATGTAAAATTAAAGTTTTTGTAGAAAATTTAATGTTTATATTGTAGGGTTAAACACTGCTCGTGGCTGTCTTCCTGACAGCCACTGGGTGAGCTTCCTCTGCAGTGATGGAGTTTTATTCGACATCCATCAGGATTGGTTGGACTCGTCCCCTATGATTCTCTACCAGGAGCATTATATTGAAAAAAGCTGGGAATTGACGTCTCCTGGATAAAGTTGCGGTAGGAGGAGTAGCAGACAGCAGCACCGTTTCTACACACAAAATATACATTTCCTTGTATTCTATACTCATTACATATAGATATAAATATATGAATGTACATATAATGTTCTACATATATTAAAATAGGGGCTATGGCAGATGTACACAATAGAATTAGCAAAAAGTCTTTCTCCAGAAATAAAGTTACTTAATAAACATTTCTTCAAAATAATTTTAGGGGAATCTAAAGTTGGAAAGTGAATCCAAAAATGATGGTGTTTTAATCAGAGCGCTCAGATAAATTAATTCAAATAAGTTATTTTATTCAGTAAACGTGGTTTGTGCTCTCTACATATTCGCTTTCTGTCACACATAAAGCCACTCTTATTTATACATTTTTAATGTCCCTATTGTTAATTATGGAAATAAGGTCACTACAAATTCATAAAACCTAAAGGAACCAACTATCCATCAGCGTTTCACAAAGTGGTTTCAAGACGGTTCCCTAAACTGAGAATTGTTAGGAACTCAAAGTAAATTCCAAATTTTCTGCAAAACTAGCTGACCATAGCTAAGTTGGATCATGGTTCCAGCTTGACTGTTGTGGCCTAAACTGTAAAGCCCTGACTTTCTGAGTAACTGTTACTTATTTTAATCCCTTAAGCACCAAGACGCTTTTGTGACCAAGGTCTTTGCTGGACGTTTGTGTTCGGGTTCATTAGTTCTGCCCGATGTTTTATGGGTGGTGTTATCCCCTCAAACAAGAACTCAATTTAGTCATTTCTGTTTTAAATGCGCCGATACATATTCTATATAATTGTTAAATGAGAAATTGAGCTTTCCTTTGATAACCTATTTGTGTACATAACACAACATTAAATATAAATGAAATATTTTTTGAAATGCAGAGAAATTTTTTTTTGTCGTCGCCCCCCCATACCCTCCCCTGTGTTTTACATTTTCATAATTTCTACTCGAGCAATTAAAGACAATAACTCAAAATAAATTCACTAATTGGTCCTGAATGTTAAAAAGCTCTATGTCTACGATTCCAGTTAAATTTTGGGAGTTGGGTGGGTGGGGGGGGACGATTCCATAATTGGAGTAAATTGTGGTTTTAAAGCTAAACGTTTGGCATGCTCATATTACATTCATAGTAGTCCAGTTAAAACCACCTTTGGCACTATCCGACCTAAAGGGATTTAAAGAGCAGCACTAATCTGTCGGTCTGGGGACAATTGTAATCCCGGATAGGAGAGGGTACCCTCGAGTATTGAATGATACCTCGGGCTTTCTTGTACCTATACCAGTAAGGATATAGCACTGCTGCCTTTTTAAACACATAAAAGTTTATGCCATCACCGTGGGGGTTAAAGCCTTGTACTGCATGACCTCATAGACCGTCATGCAATCCTCAAGAATTCATTTTTATTATTTTTTCCCTTTTACATTTCTAAATAGCACACTTTGGCACTAGTGTTGTTTGTGGGTCACATATCCCTTGATTCTCAACAAGCCCCTTGGCAACGAAAATCAGACTGCCAATGTTAACCACTCTGCACCAAAGTATGTTCCTCATAATATTTTCCTTGTAAATATCCCTGTTTTTCCTGAGTTAAGATGGAATCTTTGAAAACCTATTGGGGCATATTTTTCCCTAATTGAGCATGTACCCCTAGTACAGTATAGAGGAGGAATGCATTTAGCTCTGTGTATGTGCCTCGATCCTAAAATGAATTATCAGAGCTGTTGCGTTGTAAAGATCAGAATCCATATGTTCACAGTAATTTGACGCCATGTTTGTTTCAGGAGGCCTACATGGAATACCTGAAAAGTGTGAGTTACATTTCTCATTGTCTCCTGGAAGAAGCTGAGCAGAAAGGTAACATATGTTTGTGCCTTAAACCTACCCACTGTCTGCATTGCAAGTGCTCCCTGTAACCAGCACAGTCAGTCTGTCACTGTCTGCATTGCGAGTGCTCTCTGTAACCAGCACAGTCAGTCTGTCACTGTTTGCATTGCATGTGCTCCTTGTAACCAGCACAGTCAGTCTGTCACTGTCTGCATTGCGAGTGCTCTCTGTAACCAGCACAGTCAGTCTGTCACTGTTTGCATTGCATGTGCTCCTTGTAACCAGCACAGTCAGTCTGTCACTGTCTGCATTGCGAGTGCTCTCTGTAACCAGCACAGTCAGTCTGTCACTGTTTGCATTGCATGTGCTCCTTGTAACCAGCACAGTCAGTCTGTCACTGTCTGTGCTGGTTACAGAGAGCACTCGCAATGCAGACAGTGACAGACTGACTGTGCTGGTTACAGGGAGCACATGCAATGCAGACCGTGACAGACTGACTGTGCTGGTTACAGGGAGCACATTCAATGCAGACCGTCTGTCACGGTTTGCATTGTGTGTGCTTCCTGTAACCAGCACAGTCAGTCTGTCACGGTGTGCGTTATGTGTGCTGCTTGTAACCAGCACAGTCACTGCCTGTCAATGTTTGCATTATGTGTACTCCTTGTAACCAGCACAGTCAGTCTGTCACAGTTTGTATTTTGTGTGCTCCTTGTAACCAGCACTGTCACTGTTTGCATTGTGTGTGCTCACTGTAAGCAACACAATCACTGTATCCCTGCCCTCTCACCAAATGAATAAGGAGCAGCGCACACACAAAAATACCATTTAACATTTTACAAGGCTACTTGAAATCTTCTCTCAATAAACAAATACGAGGATTCAAAGAAAAACAAGTTACCTGCGCTCTCTCCTTAATCCCTATATATTTTTAAACAAATGGAGGTTTTATAGTTACCTCCAATGGCCATGAGAGGATAAGCCCACCTGCCAACGTCAAGGCAGACCCCCCCCAGGTGGGTCCTAACTCTAACCATTCACCTTGCTTCCTTGAGCTTCGGGCAAAGATCTCTAATGAGACAGAAAGGGGTATTTTTTATATACACCCCGAAATATTATTAACCCTTAATAGGGAACACATGGGATGGGCGGCTGCATTGTAACAAGGCTGAGTGACACAAAAAATGGATACAAATGCAGAAAGATAAGTCCTGCGCTCACTCCCATCACTACTGGGAGGCAGCAAAGACTACAGTACACATCAGCCCCAATATATAGTAAAAACCAAAGAAAAACAAGTTACATGCGCTCTCTCCTTAATCCCTATGTATTTTTAAACAAATGGAGGTTTTTTAGTTACCTCCAATTGCCATGAGAGGATAAGCCCACCTGCCAACGTCAAGGCAGATATGAGGATTCAGTTAAGAAAATATCAACATATTGTGTTAAGCCCACCGCTATTTCACAGTACCCCAATATGGATGGGTCTTACACTGTGGCTTATTTAGCACTATTTAATTTGTCTCTCACATTGGAATTAGTTTAGGACCCATCAATATTGGGGTATTGTGAAGTAGTGGTGGGCTTAACACAATATGGCCATATGGTGGAACTGAATCCCCATATTTTGTTTACTGAGCGGTGATTTTTATGGAGCCTTCTTAGCATTCTAGGAAGCTAGTCCATTTAGCCAGTTTGCATAGTTAAAGTGTTTACCCTTGTTTAGTTATCTTCCTCTGGGACATGTCATTTGCCTAATGATTTGCCTTAAGCAAATGACATGTTTATTTTCACCTATGCCATCCTGCCAGTGTATCATTTTACCAATGCCCTTCTGAAATGCAGAATATTAGAACGTACTGGAGAGACAGTCTGACATACTAAGTCCAACACTTATTCCATCTTCTTGGTTTGTATATTCCCTCATTTCTGAGTGTATCTCTTTCTTCTCCTTCTGTGGACAGCTGACAGTGAATTATTGGCATCGGATTCCCAGAAGCTGCTGAAACTGGCAGGACAATGTCTAGAGCGAGCACGGACAACCGCAGAAAAACTGGGTCAGTTCTAACTCGTGTGTAGTGTGAACTACTAGCATGGAAAACGTGGCATGTTCTTTGCCACATAGAAGTTTAATCACTTTGTTTGTTCAGCCCTATGGATGGCGGGCTTGCAAAATAGACCTTGATTACGTTTGACAGCACGCTGCCCACAAATGTCCCTTTTGCACAGAATCGGTATTCGACAGCAGGAACAGAGTTCTGGGCTGTCTAAGTTCTATGAGCTAGGGGAACAATTAGCCCCAGGCACAAAAAAATCTCAGCACACCCATAGTTTCAGGTAGAAACACTACACATATAGACTCCTACCACCATGACCACTTCTAAAAGCTGTAGTGATCATAGTGGTTGGAGTAATTAATAAATATCAACGTTTCTATAAATATAAATAAATATTTTGAATGTTGCAAAATAAATCTTCCAAAACAATATTTATGCTTATCGGGCTATGTGAAGGGTCCCACTCCCGTGGCGCTGAAGGGGGAGGAAAGGGTTAATCCCTTACCTTTTTTTTTCCAGCGCCGGGCTCCCTTGGTGCTGGGACTCTCCTCCCTCTTCTTCCGTCATCGTCTGAATGCGCATGCGCAGCAAGAGCCGCGCGCACATTCAGCCAGTCTCATAGGAAAATCACAGTGAGACGTGCGGAAGCACCTCTAGCGGCTGTCAATGAGACAGCCACTAGAGGCTGGATTAACCCATAGGTAAACATAGCAGTTTCTCTGAAACTGCTATGTTTACTGCAAAAAGGGTTAAACCTTGCTGGACCTGGCCTATAGTGGTCCTTTAATTTAGTGCTAATTAACTTTCCATGTATCAAAATAACAAATGTTACAAGTGTAATAGCCACAAATGCACCAAATGATCCTGCTCCAATAGTATAAAGTTTGTGATGGCCAGCACAAATGGTTTAAGGGAATACCCTTCACTGAATCAAATCCATGCATTGGACAAAACATACTAGAATGGATTAAGTGAATCAATGCTTTATAGTTACACAACTAAAAGCTGCCTCATTGTTCTCCTATAGACTCCTAGTAATGAGTACCGGTAATTAGTAGATCGGATTCCTAAAGCCCTCTTGTAACATGCTACAACAAGGGTTTATAACTTGGTCATTGAAGATGCACTTCACAGTGGCCTACTATACTGAGTAGCTAATCACCCAAGGCTTCAAAATTAGCCGCTGTATTGCAGTCTATACCTCAGGCATGGATCACGCGTTCATCAAGTGCTTACTATACTAAGATTCACAATGTGCCCTATCACATAAATCTAACAATATTTAAATAAAGGTGATATTTTTAAGTAAGGCAATCCCTTGAAGAATTTCTCTCCTGTAGGTATATGTGTGTATATGTGTGTGTATGTATGTGTGTGTATATTTTTATATATAAATTTTAATGTGGGCCATCTCCCCTAATTTTGCCCTATTTACCACTTTTATAGCAGCATTTTGGCAATCTCTTGTTGGTTTTTTTTTTTTTTGGGTTTTTTTTCATGGAGGCCATGTTGGTCAGTAGCAGGGTGACTAGGGTTGCAGAAACAACGTGATTTAACTCCTAAATAGCAGATAATTGAGCAGTGGGACTGCAGGGTCATAATCTATACACCAAAACTGCTTCATTGTCTAAATGTGTTTTGGTGTTAACAGTGTCCCTTTAAAAAGTAAAGTACCAGAAATAATGTAAATGCTACAGTTATTTGGGACTGATCTCTTGTTGTAACAGTTAAACACATAATACTAAAAATAGTTGCAGACTTTGTATACTCCCTTGTTATTCAATCCATTTTTTCTATTTAAAATTAGTTTTACATAGCTTTGCGATTTCATTTACTGGTTTAGCATGGGGTCTGTTCAGTTATGTAAATGTGGTTACATAATGCTTACACCCAGCACAGTGCCAGATTCTAAAATGACCCAGCTCAATGCAAATTCAAAGATTTATTAACATAAGACAAAACCCTTTCTATAATGTTTATAATGAACCTCCACTAAAAACGTGTATTCTGTTTTTAAATACTATTAACAGAGCACCTTGGTGGGGTTGAGGAGTCCAAGATCCTGGAGACTGGTTCCTGTACACACACATTATGCAGATTTTCATTTTAACTGAAGGGTTAATTTAAATACAATGATGTCTAAAGGGGAATATACATGCTAATAAGTGTCCTATTTTAAATATGAAGGAACATTAAGTGTGAGTAATACAGCACCAAAGATGTGTTTGTCATGTATACAATTTGTGTGAATTGCATTTTTTTAATAGATGAAAGCTCATATCTCTATAATTATATATCTCAATCCCAGCAATGTATGTTCCTTTAGCTGTCTCATCAGATGCACATGTAAAGAAAAACAATAACAGAAATATAGGTTAATATTGCAATAAAAGTGTTCACAATGGTCATACTCGCATATATGGGAACTTATAAAGAAGCACTTTATACCCCCTTTCTCTCCCAATGGGAGACTCGCAGGCGATCAGGAGCATGCTAAATAATGGTGAAATAAGACGATCTAAGTGCAGATTATCCCCATGTTTAATGTATAGTGTCAAATCATTGAATATACACTTGCATGCATGGGAATATCGCGGTAATAATAAAGGTGTTGTGTTTATAAACAGGTGACTCCACCTGTGAGGCTAATAGAATGCCTCTAGACATATAGCCCTTTGCACCCAAAATAACCCCTGTTTTGATTTGACAAATCATGGTGTATTATTCAGCCCAGGATGATACAGTAACAGACCTGAGTGTTATATGTAGCACAGTATATGGGGTTTTGCAATAGACTGATACAGTTTAACCATTGCTTAGTGTATCCTATGTTTGTTTGAATCTTGGTACAGGCACAACCAACCTGGATAATGTTTCACCTGCTACCCATATCTCCAACGTCCCTGATCCACCACCTCCTCCTCCCCTTCCTCCCCCTAAGAACTCTAGCGTTGACCCTGTTGTTTCCAAATCTTCCCATTTCCCGCGGGGACGTTCATTTGGACACCGCAGGGCCTGCTCCGATGAGGTACAGAAGCTCGGCCCTTTCCCAACACCAGAGATTTTTCAAAAGTTACAGGCAAATGAGGCTCGAAAACCTAAGAAGGCGCTCACACCTCTGGAAGAGGCTTCTTTACAGAACCAGAAGTTGAGGGCATCCTACGAGGCCCGGCTATCAAGACTTAACCCAAACCAGGCCTCGCAGAAAACCTCACTGGCAAGTGTCAAAGGGACCTGGGTAAAGGGGAGAAAAAAAAATATTCAAAATCACACAGTAAAACAGGTTCAGAAAATGAGACCATTGAGCAACTTCTATAGATGAACTCCGATATAACCAGTAATGGAGATGCACACGTTTGCATCATTTGGAACTGGAACATGTAATTGCAAGTTACTCATACAGCGCCTGATGTTTTGATCAAAAAGTACAGACTGTTTTGGTTTAACATTGTAGCAACCCATATCCCTCCTGTATGCATGCCAGTATTATTACAGTACCCCCATATCACTGACAGTATAGCATTATTACAGTATATCGTGACATTACTCCCATATCCCTCTCAGTATAGCATTATTACCGTACCCCCATATTCCTCTGTCAGTATAGCGTTATTACATTACTCCCATATCCCTCTCAGTATAGCATTATTTCAGTACTCCCATATCCCTCTCAGTATAGCATTATTACAGTACCCCCATATCCCTCTGTCAGTATAGCGTTATTACATTACTCCCATATCCCTCTCAGTATAGCGTTATTACATTACTCCCATATCCCTCTCAGTATAGCATTATTACAGTACCCCCGTATCCCTCTGCCAGTATAGCATTATTACAGTACCCCCATAACCCTCTGTCAGTATAGCATTATTAGAGTACCCCCAAATCCCTCTGTCAGTATAGTGTTATTACAGTACCCCCATATCCCTCTGTCAGTATAGCATTATTACAGTACCCCCATAACCCTCTGTCAGTATAGCATTATTAGAGTACCCCCAAATCCCTCTGTCAGTATAGTGTTATTACAGTACCCCCATATCCCTCTGTCAGTATAGCATTATTACAGTACCCCCATAACCCTCTGTCAGTATAGCATTATTAGAGTACCCCCAAATCCCTCTGTCAGTATAGTGTTATTACAGTACCCCCATATCCCTCTGTCAGTATAGCATTATTACAGTACCCCCATGTTAAGACCTGCAGTGGTTATGGTACTGCGGTCTTCTATTCTTTTCCCCAATAGCTGAGCATAAGTGATTATAACTGCAGTTAGGAGATAGAGGAATAGGATAGATGAATGCAGCTTCCAAGATGATTCTCCCCAGCAAATAGAATATTCCCCAAACATGAGCCTAGACTTCATGAAGGGTGTAACAGGAATGATTTTTATTGATGACACACTGGCTTTTATGAGAAATCCTCCTGCAAGATGACCTCCCACAGCAAACAAAGACAATAACCAATCAACATACAGATTTACAGTAACCCCCGTCCTCTCTCTGCCTGGGAGATATTGAGATAAGTTAAGGAATAACCCAGTTATCCCCAGGCAGAGTGCACACAATTTTCCCAAACGTTAGAACACCCTTTCCACATAAGGTATCCTCACAAATTACATATCCCCTGATAGCATTATTACAGTACCCCCATATCCCTCTGTCAGTATAGCGTTATTACAGTACCCCCATATCACTGTCAGTATAGCGTTATTACAGTACCCCCAAATCCCTCTGTCAGTATAGCGTTATTACAGTACCCCCATATCCCTCTGTCAGTATAGCGTTATTACAGTACCCCCATATCACTGTCAGTATAGCGTTATTACAGTACCCCCATATCCCTCTGTCAGTATAACGTTATTACAGTACCCCCATATCCCTCTGTCAGTATAGCATTATTACAGTACCCCCATATCCCTCTCAGTATAGCATTATTACAGTACCCCCATATCCCTCTCAGTATAGCATTATTACCGTACCCCCATAACCCTCTGTCAGTATAGCGTTATTACAGTACCCCCATATCCCTCTGTCAGTATAGCATTATTACAGTACCCCCATATCCCTCTGTCAGTATAGCGTTATTACAGTACCCCCAAATCCCTCTGTCAGTATAGCGTTATTACAGTACCCCCATATCCCTCTCAGTATATCATTATTACAGTACCCCCATATCCCTCTGTCAGTATAGCGTTATTACAGTACCCCCAAATCCCTCTGTCAGTATAGCGTTATTACAGTACCCCCATATCCCTCTGTCAGTATAGCGTTATTACCGTACCCCCATATCCCTCTGTCAGTATAGCATTATTACAGTACCCCCATAACCCTCTGTCAGTATAGCATTATTACCGTACCCCCATAACCCTCTGTCAGTATAGCATTATTACCGTACCCCCATAACCCTCTGTCAGTATAGCGTTATTACCGTACCCCCATAACCCTCTGTCAGTATAGCGTTATTACAGTACCCCCAGAAGTCAGAACATCATCCGGGTTTTCTTTTTGTGATCGTTTTTTTTTGGGGGGGTTTTTTGTGCCTGGGGGGGTCTTTTTTCACATGTTTCTCTCTCTTATAGACACTTTCCCTCCAGCGTCAAATAATGGAAAATGTGGTGATTGCCAAGGCCAAAGAAGCAGCTGTATCCTTTAATTACTAGTAATAGTAATTCAATTAATATAATTTTACCTAGCTGGGAGGTGTGACTGGGTGTCCATTGTGTTCCAAAACTGTTTTAAGCAAATCCATTTAAATGTAGATAACGTATTGTCCGGCACCTTCACACTTAACACTGTTAAGGTCTAATAGAAATGCTAATTCCTTACCTCCGCCTCCCAGCTGCAAAGGAAGGCCCAAGAGAGACGTATAAGACTCCAGGAAGAATCATACAGGTATTTGTGAGTTTGCTGTTGGTGAGCTAGCATGGCGATCTTTACTGTGTGCTTCCAATTTCTCTGCAGGCTTTTCTCGAAGTCTTCAAAGTTGACTAAGGAGGAAGAAGAGCAACGAGCCCTCCACTCCGCTATTCTGGAATTTGATCACGATCATGTAAGTACATCACATGAAACCTTGTGTAGGATTGTTATACTTAAACAATATTTGTAGCAACTGTCTTGTCTTAAAGGGAAACTCTCTACAATACATCCATCACCTCTTTGGCTGAAAAAAAACTAAAAAACTATTGTTTCTTAATCCTAAATCTATTTACAGAGGTTTCTTGTCTTGCATGGGATGTATTCCTGTTAAACTAGCTTCCCCCACCTGCTCTGTAACGCAGGACAAAATCTAAAATTCTAGATAGCCCGTATGTAAGTTCCAAAAGTCATTTTCATTTCAGACAGTTTCCCTTTAAATGTACACGAGCAATGTTTGTGCATGTATCTGATTTATTTACATGGTTATTCAAGTGGGAATGTTCAGGAATTGAAAGTATATTTTTAAATTCGGCCAAATTAGCAGAACTAAAAACTGTAGCTGGTTTAAAAAATGTTTTAGATTTTGGATATTTTTGCCTTAAAATGTAAACTTCACTAGAACTTCCTTACAATTCACACAGTAGTGCATCACCCTGTCATGTTATGATTCTCTTGCAGAAAACATTCTACATTGTTTTGTTTTTGTACTCATTTATTTTTATATGATATATATTTTTTTTATTTTTTTCTGTTATCACAGGAGTGGTCAAGAACCTGCAGGATTCAGCTGAAATCCAACCCCAAGGACACTGACCTGTTCTCTTCATTCATGTATCAGATTCTCAGGTACAGTACTGAATGGTTTGCGGCAGGGAAATTATTCACTGTTGTTGGGAGCGATGCACTACATTGAGACCTCGGTGTGCGTTCTTTCACCTAGAGTCTGTCTGCAGATACCCCAGCCTGTGCTTGTCTCTGAGTGAAGTGCAGACTTCATATATTGCTTCTGTACCTTCTGCTGAGGGGGGTGGTGGCCGCCATACACCAACACTCTCTGTGGTTTTGCCATCACAGCCTGGAAATAATTTACAGTAATTGGCACACAGACACCACAAGGATCCACCGTGGTGGTGGTGGTGGTGGTGTTTGATTAATTAGAAGGACGTGGAAAGGTTTATGGCAGCCTGTGCTAGGTTGAGGGGTTGTGAGAAAGATAACCAAGTATGCCATTCCTATGACCTTAGTGTTGCCTTCTGTAATAGAGAAACTGATAATTAACTTGGAATATGGCAGGGCTCAGACTTGATGGGAATAATGAAATGGGTTAAGGAATGAAGTTTGGGTGGGAATAAGCAGTGTAATTCTGTGCTAGGTAAACCTATATTTCCAGTGTGCATGCTCACCCTGTTTGTTTTTTTTTATTATGACAGCTATTCTGATCATCCCATTACCCAACTGGTTGGACGTTATCAGTACCAGATATATGAACGGCTATACCCAATCATCATCATGAACGAAGACTCCCACCAAACCGAGAACTTTTCCAAACTTTACCCGAGCTCTTTTCCAACTGAAGGTTTTCATTTGCTAGATACGGACGTTCCACCTCTGAAATCCTCCCTAAGTCTGCAGTTCATCCCCAGCTCCCCAGCTCCTTCGCTCACACACAGCTTCTCTTTAGGAGAAAAGTTTGAGTTCCACGAACTCTCTGTGGGTAGCCACAAACAATCCGAGCACGGGGAGAGTGAAATTGAGACCTCTTTTGAAGATTTGGAAGATTTTTTGCCACCCAAGGACATGCTGAGGTTATCACCGCAAGAACGCCTGCGTGCCATGGTGAAGGAGATCTGCAATGCTAGAGGTGAGATATTAATCAGGGTAAACATGTGTGCAAAGGGTTTTTAAATCTGTACATATGTCAGAATAATCCAATATGGAGCAACAATGCCATGTTTATTGAGAGGTCTATTTACAAAGCAAAGAGGAACGATCACTTCCTGACTTTTAACTAACTTGGTTATATATTGTTTGTTTGTGCCAAAATAAGTTGATACATCCTTATCTCTCTTTATATTTTTACTTGCAAACTTTGCCAACCAAGGCTGAGAAAACATGTAAATTGGTTAACTCTTGCACTGCTAGAGAGTGTGCTGAACACACGTACGCATGCAGAATTTATCTGTAATATGCTGGTGACATGTACCTTGGGCAGTAAAGGACAGCAGAGCCCCTGGAATTACACCAGAGCTAAGCGTGATGCTTGGGTGGCTATTTTCAGACTAAATTCAAATTACAAGTGTAATACATAGTTTAGCCACAAGATGCCGCAAAAGGACTAATAGGAAAAAATGTATATTGCAGCGAATGGCTCTGCAGTCTGAGTTAGAGTTATAAAATATCTCATGAGGAGTTGCTCCTCAAAAAACTTTTTTATAACTAAGAATAACTTAAAATAATATGTGTGTGCATATATGTAGAGTAACAGATGAAATATGTTTTGTACCTCCGGTGCCCTCTGATGTGTCTGAGACCTTTTTATAGGAGTGATATTTAGACTGCAGCATTTACCAGCTTTCGATTAATATGATTATTCTATTAGTTTTTTACCACGCATCCAGTCTGTGTTCTATTTTCCATTTGGACTTCCCACTGGAACCATAACTGAAGCAGCAATTACACTCTACCATAGCTGTACCAGTTTTTACCAGCATGGGGCGCTGTTATGAGGGTGATCCCGTAACTTCCACAAATTGCTCCTTGGGCTAATGTTTCCTTGTTAGCCTGAGCAGCTCAGAGGGGATGGTTCAGAAACCGTTCAACACTAAAAGGACAGCACCGGGTAACCTCCAGACACTATAACCACTTCAGTCATATGAAATGGCTAGAGTGCGGGGATAGACACCAGGGGGCTGCAGTGACTTTGGCTTCCAAGACTGTGACTAAAGTGAGAATTCAAAGTGAATTTCAAATTTAAGGTGAAAATAGCCGAACTGGAAAAAGTCTGTAAGTCCGTTATGTTTCCAGTTTGGGTACTCTGGCCTTACATTTGAAATTCACTTTGAATTCCCTGATTTGATCATTTATCCACGGTGTGTGAGTAATCCAAGTGTCATGCTTAGAAAAGTAGTGTAAAGTTACATACTTGGTGCAGTCTCCATGGAAATCAATGGAATCAGCAGGTACATTTTAATTTGAACAGAGGAGCCACAAATGTCACTAGGCTGTTAAGAAAACTCAAAGAAAACAAAAAAAAAAATCAACACAAATACTAGAGATTTGTATCATTCTCTGGGATGTAGAACAAACAATGTAGCGCAATATGTTTCTGGTGTGTCCCATCAATAGTCATATTCTGTATTGTGTTTTCCACAGATGAGATGCTGTCATTGGTGATTGTGTCTCTTGATCTGTCTGACGTTCCTGACATTCGGAGCTTGTGTATAGTGTGCTTGGATGAGAGCTTCTTCTCCCTGCTGTGGTCACCGATAATTGCTCTATACAGGTAAGGATCCCATATTGTTCATGTACTATTCATCATCATTTGCACGTCTCGATTCCTCCTCACGACTGCCTAACATGCCGAGCAGTGTGCCCCCCAACTGCCTAACATGCAGAGCTGTTCCGGCCCCCCCCCCACCAACTGCCTAACATGCGGAACAGTGTGCCACCCCCCCGACTGCCTAAGATGCGGAACTGTTCTGCCCCCGCCCCCCAACTTCCTAACATGCGGAGCAGTTTGCCTCTGCCCCCCTCCAACTTCCTAACATGTGGAGCACTGTAATAACTAAAATGTTTTGTATTTTATCATATTCTGAGCTCCTGCTAAGCGGTGTCCCTGGTATTCACTCACATTACTCTCAGACAGGTATATGGTCATCGAGAGGAATCTATGCTCAAGAATATGGATCTATATGCCTCTTGTCATCCATCTGTGGTTGGAGTCTCCACGACCTTTTACCCCGACGACATCAAGGAGCCCTACAAACCTGTAGCAGATGAGTTGGATCGTTTAATCGATCTCCATAATCCCCAGAGAAAGATTGAGTGTGTTGGTAAGTATTGTGTTTAACCCCTTTACTTCCAGGGTTTATAATGTAGTTCTGATTCTTTTCTGCCGTTATGATTAACCAGTTCACTGCTGGGGTTGCAGTAGAGAGGAACAACTATACTAAAGCAATCATCATGGAAACCAGTGGAAATATATCTTCATACTAAAGATAGTCAAGAAAGTAGGTGACAGATTCCCCCAGCTGTTATTAAATAAAAATGATCTATTGTCACTATAGGAGCTCTAGAACTGCAAGAGCTAGAGATCTGCCCGTTTGACATATTTTAGGCTAAATCCCAACAATTTGGGGAATCATTGGGTTATTGTGTCCTGACTAAATACACCTCTATATTTTCCAGTGGCCGCCTTGCGTCTGATCGTTAACCTTGCAGAGAAGTACAGCCCAAAACATAGCTCCTCTCCTATGTGAGTATATTCACTTCAATGTAACATATTTATACAGAGTCAGGAATCCATCGTTTCTATCGTACACTTTCCCATCTTGTTCTTTCTTTTCCTCCCTCCCCTTGCTCTGTCCATCTGTATTTCAGTGTCTTCCTTGGTCGCTCTCCCTCCTCTTATTTTGACAGCACAGGTTGCTGGGTACATGATGTTTATTGGGTACAGATCTAAAGCCCCCGCAGGGAACGTGGCTGATTGATGAAATGTGACAAGCGCAAGCAGAGCACGGCCTGTCCTGCAGATCGCAGGAGGCTGCCATACTCCACAGAGCAACAGCTACTCTGTACAGCGGCTGTCTGCTCTAATTAGCATAGAAGCAGGGAGCGGGGCGGGCGCTCTGGAGACATGTGAGGGAGAAATTGAGCAGAGAATGGGTTGAGGAGCAGACAGCGAATTGAAAAACCAGACAGGTGGACAAGAAATCATGGGAGAGAGAGAACATTAGGAAGGGCAAGGAGCCAGGAAAGGGCAGACTGTGGTAAACAGAGCACAAAGGAGATGTGTCAGACCGCAGGGACGAACGTGGACCTTCTTAGTTTGGTGGGAGTAGAACAGGTAATAACAAAATAGGATAGATGGAGAGATTTCAGTGAGGGCTGAGAGCAGGAGGGAGCTGTCGTGGAAAGCACATCATGATATTAGAGAAAGCAGTTAGCAGGACCTGATGTACTAGAGAGCAGACTTCTCTGGGAGAGGTGGGGGGGGGGGAAGGGTGAGAACATTCCAGGAGATTAGAGGAGGTGAGAGAGCAGGGAGGGTGAGGGCTGACCTGGAGATGTGAAAGGAAAATGGGTTTATAGAAGAATGGAGGAAACAGTGAGCTTGCCTTTAGCATAGAGCGACGAAACTGAGAGTAGGGGCATAGAGCGACGGGACGGAGCATGCAGGGGCAGAGTGCGACGGGACGGAGCGTGCAGGGGCAGAGTGCGACGGGACGGAGCGTGCAGGGGCAGAGTGCGACGGGACGGAGCGTGCAGGGGCAGAGTGCGACGGGACGGAGCGTGCAGGGGCAGAGTGCGACGGGACGGAGCGTGCAGGGGCAGAGTGCGACGGGACGGAGCGTGCAGGGGCAGAGTGCGACGGGACGGAGCGTGCAGGGGCAGAGTGCGACGGGACGGAGCGTGCAGGGGCATAGAGCGACGGGACGGAGCGTGCAGGGGCAAAGAGCGACGAGACAGGGCGGCAGAATAGGGGCAAAGAGCGGCGGGGCGGCGAGAGCAGGGGGATAGCACAAAAAGCAAGAAAATGTATGGTCTCAAGAAAGTAAGGGAAAGAGCTGTGGGTTGGAAAAGGAAGAATTAAATCTCTATAAGCAAAGGATAACAGTGTGAAGCAATAGCTAGAAAATTAGACCTGAGAAGTTGTATTGTAATTTTTATATCAGAAAAACGAGAAGAATAGACTAACACTGGTGTGGGAGAAAGGGAAATGAGAATGTTATGGGCGACACAGTGTTGGTTACTGGCGATTGAATGAGAGACTTAAATGTGACACAGTCAGCGTTCTCGGTCGCTGGGGGCATCGTTTTGATTAAACTGTCAGCACATGATGAGTCTAAAAGATCGAAACTTCAAGACACATCAACATCCCAAGCAGCCCCGCGGTGACCTCAGACAGCAGGCAACCGCTTTGGGAGGCAGACCCCACGCTAAACACACTTTTGTGTCTATGTCTAGAACGCTGCAAATTCCTAAACACAGCGGAATCACAACCGCCACAAACACATTCAGCTCTCAGGACACTCTCTGTCACAAAGGGACCCAGACTGTAATATTCCCAATAAACATCCAGCAACCACAGGCATCCGCATTCCTACCCTTGATGGCCTCAGCCTTCTTCAGACCTCTTTCAATCTAATCACAGGGCAAGCCCAGCTTTTCTGCACATGTAAGGTGTGATATAAAGGGTCTAACTGCTCGCATTACTTACATAGGTCTAATCTCCTGAGCCGTCAGTCGGGTCTGACATACGTGAACTACTCCTTTTAGAAGCAACGTTAATGTTTTCTTGTGACTTCTCTTTCAGTGGTGCCGATGACCTGTTGGCTCTCTTGGTGTATATTTTGCTACGGTATCGAATGTCTCACCTGGTGTCTGAATGTGCCGCGATAGAAGATTTTTTAATGTACGGGTAAGTGTCTGGGACTGTCTCCGACGGCTCAAACACACTGCTAAAGTAAATGCCAATTATAAAAGGGACACATTATAGTCACCAATATAAAATTAGGTTAATGAAGCGGTATTCATGTATAGATCGTGCTCCTGCAGTCTCACTGCTCAATTCTCATTTAAGAGATAAATCACGTTTGTTTCTGTTTATGCAGATCTAGCCACATATCCCCTGGCTGTGTCTCACACCGCCTGCATGAAGGGGGTGGGGGAACGTTTAGTTTTCAATCAAATGTTAACTTACTTTAGAAGTTGTTTTTTGTTTTCTTGTTTTTTTTTTTTTTTTCTTGTCTGTTTTGATGGTTATTTTTGCTTCTCTTATCTATTGCTTCTAATTGCTTTTTTTTGTTGGTTTGGACATTCTTAACTACAGTTCACTGTTCAATAAATAAACTCACACTCACCCCCCTCCAGCCACTGCTATTAAATGATTTGTCTTATTAACCCTGTTGTTTCTCTTTCAGGTACATACTTGGAGAGGATGGATACGGCCTTGTTTCAATGTACACTGCACTGTCGTACCTGGAGCACTTGCATATACGTTTCCCATTACCTGAGAATGAATGATAATGCAATATGTCTGTTACCACGAACTTTCTACTACTGATCAGGTGTTGGGACAGGAACCTTGGGTTCCGCATGTGAATGTATTTTTAATAAGCACTTTAACTGTAAATAAATTGGACATTGCAATCTGCAGACATGACTCGTCTGCTTTCATTACAGCCTGTCTGTGAAGGACCTGCTGTGTGTGTGATCAGCTAGAGAGCATAGCTAATTGTATCATTATGGAAGTTGTAGTCCAGGAGACATTTACCTAGTGTTAAGGTGTCTTTTTAATGCTCAGATTACCATGTTTTTATAAGTAAGTGTATATACAGGGTGGGGCAAAATGATTTTGCATTTAAAAATGTTATTTTATTTAATCTTGCATTAATAAATAAATCTAAATGTTAAGTGGCTGCTGCCTCGTCCTGTGTGTATGAGATGGATATATACAGTAAACTGTAAATGACAGGCGAAATATAATGAAATATATATCAAGGTATACCGCATTAATCACCTGGGGCTAAGTACAGTATGTAAATGGGAGCCGGATCACCTGGGGACACCAAGCTAAACACACAAGGCTTGTCTTTTACTTCGTCCCAAGCTTCCCATGTCTGCTTCCAGTAGCTGCATGCAGAAATAACAGCTATTTGAAGTGTATAGATCACATTCATTTATGGATGATATTTTTTCTTGTCTCCAGAAGGAATCCACCTTATGGCTTTATGTAACATTTGCACCCCAGTCTCTTATTGATTTGGTATTTATCCTGCTAGACAGCATGATTTACTAGTCTTCTACTTGGCTGCAAAAAAGGGTCACCATGTAAACTCAGCAAAGTATAGCTACTCATTTGGATGTAAACACTAGTACAGAGTATTGTTTATGGCAACCAAAATGTTATCATTTATTTATACATTGCCAAAATATTCCATGTCGCAGTATAATGGATGTTCTCCATCTGGGTTCTAAAAGATAAAATGACTTGGTATATGACTCCAATAAATGAGGGTTTTCCATTTCTCTATAAATAAAACAAATACGGTGTGTATAATAGGATAATAATATGATATATTAAAGTGTTAAAGTACAAGCGCAAATTGTTACAATGTTTTGTTTTGCAAACTGGTTAATGTAATACTTTGACCATGCTATGTATAACACTACTTTTGAAATTATTTAGTTTATCTAAAATTGGAAGGGGAAAAAGGCTATTAATTCTGTTTTAAATATTTTCTCGACTAAACAATAAAAATGCTCCAATGTTTTAAATGTAATTTGGCTTCTTAATATCTGCATCAACTGTGCTAAAAAAAAACATTTAGTACTGTGTGAATTGTTGGAAATGCAAAGATAATTTTTATTTTGGGGGGTAAACTGCAAACATGACGGTCTTTGAGAATTTTTCAGATTCCACTACTTTTGCCTAAATTTAGATATTCTTAACGCTACGGTTTTAAACTACCTATTTAGTTTTATTAGATGTGTCACCTGCGTCTGTGAGGGTTTGAAAGGTGAGATTTACTTACCTTTCAGCCCTCTCCACGCCTGACTCCGTCGTTCCGCTTCGCCTACTTGGCTGAGAGCATCACTCTTGATGATATCAGCCAATCCAATATTTCCTCATAGGGGAAATATAAGGAGGCTAGTGCACATGTGCAGCCAAACACCATGCTGCGCCAATCAAATGTTGCTCTATGAGAACAGTTCTTAATATTGAAACACCTCGAGTGGCTGTCAAGTAGACAACCAGTAGAGGTGTGCTAATCCACCAAAGGAAACGTTAGTTTCTATAAAACTGCAATGTCTTACATCGCAGGGTTAAAGCTACAGGACCACTGCACCCAGGCCAGTTCATTGAGACAAAGTAATCTTGGTGCCTTTTTAGTGTCTCTTTTTAATATGGCTCTACAGTGGAGCATTAACCAATTGAGCTATGACACTGACATCACATAAAAGGAAACGCTACTACAGAGTTGATAGTTTGAATCACTTGGTAGTTTACCTGGTTTAAAAGGCATGCTCAAAGTTTTCAGATTTGAAGGGGTGGGAGAATGAAATACACACAGGGCTTTTCATTAGTCAAAAAAGTGGGAGCATAGTTCACTTAGAGAATTATACCAGTTTGACTATTACGACCTTAAGTGCTTACTCCGAGCACCATGAAAACGTCATTGATTTGAAGTGGTTCTGGTGCGTAAAGTTTGTATATGCAGTGTTTGAGTTTCAGCAAACACACTTTGCTGCTGGAGTTGTAACTCCACCTTTGGCTTCATCATTAGCCATTGCGAAAAAAGCATTTCAGGCTGGCTAACGTTAATTCAGTGCATTTTGGGAGTCCGTAGTCAGCACACCTAGCGTGCTAGAGATAGAAAACCAATGCGGTGTAACCCCCGATCCCCATGCTGTTCGGGGGGGTTGGGGAGGGCACTGTTTTCATTCGGAGTAACCCTTTAAATGTGACATTAACTTTGAAGTCATAACAATTCTCACTTTACGGAATAATCCTTCTAGTCTTGTTGCACTGTGCAGTCTTTCACTTTAAAGACAACTATATTTTACATAGAAACATAGACTGTGACGGCAGATAAGAACCATTCGGCCCATCTAGTCTGCTCAATTTTCTAAATACTTTCATTAGTCCCTGGCCTTATCCTATAGTTAGGATAGCCTTATGCCTATCCCACGCATGCTTAACCTCCTTTACTGTGTTAACCTCTACCACTTCAGCTGGAAGGCTATTCCATGCATCCACTACCCTCTCAGTAAAGTAATACTTCCTGATATTATTTTTAAACCTTTTTCCCTCTAATTTAAGACTATGTCCTCTTGCTGTGGTAGCTTTTCTTCTTTTAAATATAGTCTCCTCCTTTACTGAGTTGATTCCCTTTATGTATTTAAATGTTTCTATCATATCCCCCCTTTTTTCCCCAACAAAAAGTGAGGAAATTATTTTACTTCAGTGAATAAACCCGGCATGAAATTAGAACCCAACAAGCCATGAACAACCCTGCTAGGAATTGCTGAGTTTATTCCCCTCTTTTATGTTTCTGTGTAAGTCCAAGCAATCTTTGTGTGTTTGGCTGATGTTGACTCCTAGTGACAGCTCTGTAGCAGAGAATAATGCATCCCTGTTGTGTGTGAAAATGCATTGTCCGTGGCTTCCTGCAGCCGACCCACACTATACATTAACTGATACCGTGTAGCAGTGATGGCCAGCTTTCTAATACAATACGAAGGCAGGCAGACAGGGTGTGGAGTTGGGAATCCTCTTAGTGTTGTGGAATGTACAAACATTTAAAAACTGTGCTGGTCAAACAACTAGAGACAAACTAATGAGGATTTTAGGAATCCCCAATTATGGTCATATGAGTGACCTTAGTGAAATGGTCTGACCTATTTTACGCTGGTCTGATCTATGCTATGCTCTCTAAATTAACAGACAAAATTAGCATTTTTAGACTTGAGAAAGTGAGGATCTCCCAAAGGCATCCCATTCTACATATCTCTTAGTCCAATCAGAAAGGTATTACAAGATATTCATTCCATCTGTTATTTCACATCGGCGTCCCTGAACTAATGGGGCTACAATGTCTATTTCCTTTTAACTAGATAGCAAAGGAAGAGCGAGAGAAATGGAAGAACAAAAAAGTTAGACTAAAGAGAGAAAGAAAGAATGGGGTACACAGACAGAAGAGAAAAAAAAATGGAAGGAATTAAATTTAATTTTTTTTTATCCTGCACAATTGGCATATTTCAGCCAGTAATGGCTATTTGTTGCATGTGCAGTGAATCCCACTGAAACAAGAGCTGATACTGGTTTTAATTAACACACAATGGCTTAGGAGGAGAAACCCAGTGATGCTCTGGCTGGCTCGGGTCCTAAACTATTCATAAATATCTCATCCAAGGAGCCTGTCTTCACAGCTGCTATTGAAAGTCACAAGTTTTGGCAAATTAAATTAGTACATTTATTCATTCCTATAAACCAGCAGAGAGCCATTGCTCTGTAGCAAGGCGCTATTTATGTATACATATGCATAGTCTGCTGTCCTTTGTAAATCTTTATTTAATTAACACATTAAATTACAAAGAAATGACAGGAGTTGGAGTCACAAATATGGTTTACAGTCAATGTCAGAGATCAAGGTGAAGGTGGGCCCCCCTAACCTACAGCCACCTCTTCATTATTTAACTCCCACATAGAACCTGGAGAGACGGAGAATTAACACACGCAGTGCCCAGACACACAAAACATATGCTTCATATAAATCACTAGGAGACTTTGCGTGTGGAAAAATTGATTGTTTGAGGGGTTGAAATGAATGTCTATATTAGGAGATTTTTCCATCATTTGTTAAATATTTAGAGCAAACAGATTGTACTTTTTATTGGAAAGACATAAGGAAAACATTTTCTTCTTGGATGAATATAACATTTACTGGTGATATGCACAAAGCATACTTTCTACGGAATTACTCTGCAATTAAAATGGTGGCATTGGGACGGGACCCCGGCAGTTAAAAGCCAAGGAGGCTAGATAGGATTTATACAGACAGAAAAAAACCCATCAAACTTTTAATTTCTCAGGATTTGCTAGATTATTCTAAATTTGAATATATCTGTTTAAAATCTCGAATATGAGGCCCCAAACCGCTACAGTTCTTCCTTTATACGGCAGCTAAGATTTAAATGGTAAAACTTCTTCGTCTATAGAGGATCCTGCAGTCTTGCGAAATCCTCCACAGATGTCATTGCTGTATTCTCACGCATGCGCGAGAGTACAGAGTGATGTCAGCTCACCTTCACTTTTACCTGGCCGTTGGACCACTAGCAGCGATGTCAACATCAGGGGTCTTTGCGAATTCGGCAAAGTCCCCAGATGGTGACAGTGCCATTTTAAGGCCAAAGTAAACACCCTGCACTCTTATTTTAGTGAAGATAACCCTGAAAATGTTTGTGTCAATATCAGATCTATGACCTGTGTATCTCTATATAATAAATCTGGATTTTATTTATAGTGTATGTGTCTCTCTATATAATGTCACTCTGGCTATACAGTACGTGTCTTTATAAGGTATCTCTGCTTTTATATGGTGTCTCTAGTTTGCTATTTAAATCACACCGTGACAGATGATCCATCACACATTTCCTTACTGTTTTTGCGGAACTGGCGGCTGTTTGAGGGCTGATATTTCACATTTTATCTATTATTTCCATATGTGGCAGACCTCATGTTCTCTGCAGATGATCCACAATCCAGAGGAGGTGAAGCTCCATAAATAACACTACAAGTTTAGTTACAAGGGGGGTCCAGGTATTAAAGCTCCACAAGGATTTATCCGCTGCGTCTCATTGCTACGTTTCACAGGAGGTCTCTCTGCTTTAAGAGATGATTTGTGGGATTATTCAATAAAGTGTGAATGGATCGGAAGTTCATGTAAAGTTGTAGAATAAAAAATAGCTACATTTTAAAACTTCGCCAAGTCAATTCAGTTTTCCGTTCAGATATTTTGAAATTCAATTTGAAATCCCGACAATTCCCACTTTAGTGAAAAACTCTGTTGGTTTATATATTGGTGTGTGTACTCACAGAAAAATACCATTTACTCTTTACTTAACAAAAAAAAAAAAATACTAACTTAAAGCAAAATACAATGTTTGCACTGATGAATGTGTAAAAACATAACAAGCTAATCCAAACATACGAAAGTGTCCGCAGACACCAAAAAAGGAGACAGGGTGGACAATCTGGCCTTGTACCTGGACACATCCCTTGTGAATGTTCATGTTCGTGTCTTGAGTTTTGAGATCTTTTAGCTATTGATGGACCTTTTCAGCCTGCACTGGCCTTCACACAAATTACCAAACTTTATTCCTTGTCCTCTTTTTCTGCCACTCTGTATCATACCTACATCAACAGTGTGCTGCATGTTGCATGGACAATCCTCAGGGCTTAAATGCTGGAAATGAGAATGTAAGCTTCCATCTTGTAGGACAGGATGTGCCTCTATTTGAAGTCCAGCCGGTGTTGCTTTTGATGGCTGTTTGCTGGCCTTTTGCTGATAGACTTGGATGTCCCTCTATTGATAGTCCAGCCGATGTTGCTTTTGGTGGTTGTATGGTGGCTTTTGTTCTGATAGAGTTGGACGTGTTTCTATTGAAATCCAGCCAGTGTTGCTTTTGGTGGTTGTACGGTGGCTTTTTTCGATATACTTGGACGTGATACTATTGGAGGTCCAGCCAGTGTTGCTTTTGGTGGTTGTAAGATGGCTTTTTGATGATAGACCTGTCCTAATTAGGTCACTCCAATCAAGCTTATTCTTGTGAGTAGAACTGCGATAACTATGGGTGGGATTGTATTGGTCCTGTGAATGGTGCTGTGTTTTTGAGGCAGGAGAAAGCATTTCATAGGTAGCTGTGGGTGGAAGTATCGCAATGACATGGGTGGAGGCCATTGACACTTTGTAAGGATGGGTACCAGCAGGTGATAGAGATGGATGGATTTTAAAGCTCACAATTTTCCCTCCAAAATAAGTGTCTTGAGGTCGGCAGTAGAGTTGGCGCACAGTACAGTATGGGACACCTGTCTTTTCTCCACCAGAGATGAAACAGCATCCCCCACTTCCAGGTGGCTAACGTACCCAGGACCAAGTCGCTCTGGTGTGGCTACTCCCATGTTGATCTTGAGCTGAATGTACAATACGAGAGAGAGTATAAATATCAGAGCTGTGTATACAAAGAATGCGGTCCATGCCTGACGTCTGCAGTGTATCAAGCAAATAGTGTAGGCTTTCTAGCCAGATGCTAGAAGGTTCGGTAGGGATCACATTCCTAACTTGTGTATGTGCTATCACTCCTATGCTCCATTTAAAGAGAAGCAAGATACATTTCTAGCTGTGGTCTAGTCACCCATAAGATGTACCCTGCTTGTATTAAAGTGCAAGACACTGTCCACAGCAGAAGTATTAATCGTCTGATAATATAGACATAGGAGCCAGTCTTATTAATATAACTATATCCAACAACAAGTAGATCCAGCACTTTGAATCTAAGAAAGGCTCATTGCAGAGGGTTTTTTTAAATCAATGAAGTGAGAAACTTATCAGATTTAATTATCAACACTCCTGGGATAGGGGGAAAAAATGTTTTTCTTAAAAGTGCTGGAACTCCTAAAATTTTATCTAGAATAGTGTATGGCTGGGTGTGGCATGGGACATCTTTGACACCTTATTTTACATACACAGACCCGCTCAGCCTGGTGTGCAGACTTGCCATTTTGCCTCTTGTCACCTTTTTGTAGTTGTGACCTCAGCTGGTTTGTTGGTTCTGTGTTGGCTCATGATCCCCACCTTTGATATTTTTATTGACATCTAGGCTTTATCAGACTGCATATAGAGTAACCTAGAGCTGAGATTCATCTCTGATTCAGTTTCTCCATTGACAAATTTTAATAACGCCCATTTTTTTGGAACAAACCTCGTTTAATTTACAGGTGACATCCGGATACTCTTCACGCACCACTTGGGAGAATGCCAACGCTCCAGCTGCACCTAGGGTCAGGAATCCTGTGCCAGGCATCAAAAGACGTTCTCCGGCACCACCTGGGACAATATGAGAAGTATGGGGTTTGTTGGATTGTTTTCCAGTCCAATATACATAATGGAATAAGAACTTCTTATTATGTGCATTGTTACTGGGGCCTCTAGCTGGAGACCTCCTTCCTGACAGTCTATAAATGTTAAGAGTGCTCCCAGTGACCGTGATTGTTGGCCAGAAAGTAAAATCAACCTAGAATGAGAGATACAAAGTTCTACAGCAAGAGCAGACAACACAATGGTCTTCAGCTGTTGTAAAGCCATAACTCCCATGATATTTTGCTAGAAATGCAAAATGTAATTATGTGAACATTTTATTTATTTTAAGCATTCTATAGTAATTTATATATTGTGAAGCACTATACCTGTGATGAATGTGTACGTTCCATTCGGATTGTCCTTCACCAGAGGAAAGAAAGCTTTCCATGCTGTGAACGTACTTAGAAGGAGAGTGTCCAGAACCTAACGGGAGAGAGAAAGCGTGTGACTTGTATGACAGGACACTGTTATTATAAAGCAGACATGGAAAGAACTAGAGACAGCCTGACCCTGGAGCAGAGCCAGTCTGCCAAAGGATCCACTCATTCTTACACCTCCAGGGACGGCCTGTTCTTTAAGAAGAACACATTAGGCAGTAGACATCGCAATGGGTACTCTAACCCATTTTACGTAAATGTTACTGTAAATTTAGCATTGGGAATTATTTGCTAGGCCCTCTTCTCCCACCCACTAAAACCTGCAAAGAAATGGAATAGCTCATCTGATATCCAGTGCCAGGCAAAGCTCCACACCACCATCTGACATCACCAAGGGCCTCAGGAGGTCCAATCAAATGCTCTCATCGGGAAGCCTTTGATTGGAGCTCAGAGTGCATGCGCGCACGTTGTGTCAGCAAAATGGGGAAGGAGATTTAAAAATAAAAAGATATACAGCAATGGAGGGAGGTGGATGGGAGGGAGGGGAGAGCAAGGCTTCACCTTGCAGCCGTGCTGCCTCCAAGGGAAAAGCTCATTACATCTGTTGCGAGCTTGATGTGGGTGCTGACAACACATATCGTTTTTGCACAGAATTGATGTTACGTGCATTTTCCTCTGTATGTGCAGCGTTTCAAGCTGCACAAAGACTCCCACCACCATGACCACTTCAAATCACTGCAGTTGTCATGGTGGTTGGCATAACCCCTTAACTATAAAGCCTACAAGGAGCCTAGAGCCTGATCTGGCAGTGAAACCCTTCATATTGAACTGAGAGGGGGATAATTAGAAACATCCTAATCTTGAATGAGAACATAGCAAGCAGTAAACCCCACTATTACTAAAGCTACTTAGAGAAATAGAAACAGAACAATTCAGTGGTGGCATTATACTGCTGTATATCACATGGCCACGCTCTTGGTCTTTGAGTATGTTCTGAGTGCAAAATGCAATAATTTAAAAAATACTGACTTCCTGCCACTATTCTTTGTAGGAGTACCCATGAGGCAGGGACCCAGTGGTGTACTAAGCGGGAGTGGGGGCTTTAGGATGTGTGAGCTGTGCGGCCGACACAGGCAGTCGCATGATTAAGGCTATCTGCATGTGACTGTCTGCATCTGGAGTGTGTGTGTGTGACTATCTGCCTGTGACTGTGTGCATGTGACTCTCTGCCTGTAATTGTATGTGTGACTGCCTGTAACTGTTTGTGTGACTGTCTGCCAGTAACTGTATGTGACTGTCTGCCTGTAACTGTGTGTGTGACTGTGTGCGAGTGACTATGTGCTCGGGACTGAACTCTGAAGACTGTTGCTAATATTGTTGTGTAAAAAATTAATTCTATTGTAAGGAACTGAGCATGGGATTTAGAGGGAGAGGCAGGTTTTTTGGGGGGAAGGGGGGTGCAGGGGTTTGTAGAAAGGGGACAGGTGCATAAGGAGAGCTGAGCAGGGGATTTGTGGAAGGGGGGTGCAGGGGTATTGTAGAAGGGGGCTGGACAGGGGTTTTGTAAAAGGGAGCAGGGTAGTTTACAATTTTGCACATTTATACAATCTTGAAAAATGAAAATAGTTAACAAATATTGTAGGTGTAGGGGAGGAATGGGGGGAGGAGAGAGGGGTGCCAAACACAGGGTTAGCCCTAGGTGCCAAATGCTCTAGGTACGTCCCTGCAAGGGCCATCTTGCTTTATCAGTAGACTTCCCACAGAAATGTTATGTTACTATAAGGAAATAGGTAACGTCCTATGGGACACTACAAGTCTAATTTAGGGGCATCATTTTAATTTAAGCCAGAGACACTCTAAACAGCTCCTGGCCTGGCATTGTTTCCTACTGGAGGTCCATCATTAATAAGGTAAGCCAGGAGGTCCCCCACACCTGCAGAACACACTGCTGCACCTGGAACTTTGCTAAAACATGGGACGAACCTGCTTCAAAGTTTATTAATTAGGGAGATGTGCCTGAAACACAATTTTCAGAATGGCTCTTATATTGTAGTTGGATTTGCTGTGATGAAGTCACGATTTCTCCAATCCAGGTGTCAAGACGCAGACATAACAACACAAACACTAAGGATAGACATACATCTGTGATTCAGCTACACTTATTGGAAGCACAAAGCTGAACCTGCTGAAAGATATGCTAAAACGCACCTAAACCTGATTTTAAAAGCCAAAAGGGGAAAACGAATTTATACACCGTGTGACCCAGAATGTACGGCTCAAATTACGATTTTATCTAATATTTTCTGTTCAGATCTGTATGTCGTCAACAGACAGGTTTATAGTTTAGAATGCAGACGGGAAGGCAGTGTGACAGCAATGCATTGTAGGACGGTGACTGGAACATGGTGGATACAAAATGTCTTCTGATCTGTGCCTTAGAGTAAACAGATCAGACGGAATCTTTAGCTAAAGATACTTATTGATAGGGGCACTTCCTGGTGAAATGGCTAGGACAATTTATAAATAAAATTTTATTTACTACCTTAAGTAGACTTTTCAATACATCAAGACTTACATGTGTACTTTAAGCAATGTATTGTTTTGCTTACCCCTAGATATGTCAGCATGGCTCTACAATGGTTTATTACAAGGTTAGGCAACCTTCGACACTCCAGAAGTTGTGGACAGGGCTGGTGCAAGGAGTTTTGCCGCCCTAGGCAAAAGTAAAGTTTCCCGCCTCCCCTCCCCCATGTGACATCACAATGCTCCACCCATATGATCTGCCATGTTAACTAACGCCAGTGCTGCAGTGCCGCCGTGTTTACATTAAAAGGCCTGCAGGGACAGGCTATGGACACCAGAACCACTACATTAAGCTGCAGTGGTTCTGGGGACTAGAGATTAGTGCCACGAATAATATACTAGATTGCCTACTTACAACCAGATGAGGATGATAATGGGCTCTAGCTGCAGTCTGGGCCACTGGTCTGGTGTAGAACAGGCTCACCGTAGGCTGTTTGTAACTGTGGTCACAAAAATCAATGTTCTGGGAGAACGGGAAGCAGCTCCATTTTTTTAAGGCCCTTTACACAGCTCAAGGTCTGGGTCCCAGGGTCCACCTTCATGTTACACCAATGAGTTTGTTCACAGGGGGTGGAGTAGGGGGATGTCCTGATATGTGTGAAAGGAATTATTCCCCACCCTCCCTGTCTATTTATCCCCCCTGTTAATTTATCCCCCCCTGTCAATTTATCCCCCCTCCCTGTCAATTTATCCCCCTCCCTGTCAATTTATCCCCTCCCCCTTTCAATGTATTCCCCACCCCCTTTCAATTTATTCCCTACAATTTATTCCCCCACCCTCCCTTTCAATTTATACCCCCCTTTTCCTGTCAATTTCCCCCTTCCCTGTCAATTCCCCTCTTCCCTGTCAATCCCCCCTCCTTGTCAATTCCCCCTTCCCTGTCAATCCCCCTCCCTGTCAATTTCTCACCCTCCCTGTCAATTCCCCCCTTCCCTACCATTGTTGTAGCGTGGCCGAGCCCTCTATTGGTCCGCGGGTATAGGGAGCTTTTGTTTCCTGTACCCAGCCGGACTAACAGGAAGTGCACAATCAGTGTGTACTTCCTGTTAGTCCGGCCGGGTACAGGAGAGCAGATGCTCCCTGTACCTGCGGACCAATAGAGGGCTCGGCCACACTACAGTGAGGGAGTGACAGGAGGGAGCGCTGAGCGCTTCCCTCCTGTCAGCCCCTCTCCTCATGCTGCGCCTGGGCCGTCCGCCCTCATGGACGCACCGCCCTGGCAAAGCTGCAGCCGCCTGAGGCTCTCTACAGAGCACTCTGGCGGCTGCAGCATGGGGGGGGTGGCGCTCCTGGCGGCGCCCCTTCCCAAGGGGTGCCCTAGGCGGCTGCCTAGTCTGCCTAACAGGTAGTGCCTGCCCTGGTTGTGGACTACATCTCCCTTGATGTTTTGCCAGCATTATGGCTGTAGGTGCATTATAGGAGATGTACTCCACAACATCTGGAGTGCTGAAGGTGCCTATCCCTGGATTATTGCATCAAATCCCACTGTTACCATACCCTCTGCAGCTCTTGTAGTGACTGTGTGTGTGGAGGTCCTCCTTGCCACCAGCTGAATCCCAGAGAAGATACCACGTCGGTCACCTTCCCCACCTGGTTGACCAGGGCGGTTGCTGCCTCCTGCGCTCCCTCCTCAGATCCTACGCGACCCAAATACAGAGGTTCAAAAGGTCAGACTGAGATGCAGAGACGCCCCGAGGACATGAAACACAGACAGACTGTCCACGTGACAATGGCTAATTTGAAACAGGGTAAAAAAAAAAATCTATACCATCTCAACATTTAAAACAGATGGCGAAATAATAATGTAGATCAAGTAAAAAAACAAAACATATGAAAATTTGAAACAAAATTAAAACCTGATTGCTTTAATCGCTTTGCAAAATGATTACATGTGCCACTATCATATAATTCTTTAAAAAGGTACAATAACGTTGATGAGACTTTCTTGGATAATTAATAAACTCCCAGCGTTACAGAACTTCATCACATTTTTATAAAAATATCTTTTAAAAATTAAATATATGCGAAAATAAATATGTATAAACACCCACCCACACACAGACGATCCCAGACAGGACTGACAATGGACGACACAGACATGACTTGTTTCCAATGATAGAGAAACACAGATGCCATGGACTATGACTCCCAGTGTGCGTGGCCACGTGGAAGGCTGGCTGAGGGTAGTGAGAGTTGTAGTCCACGGCCATTACACAGCTACAGGTTAATTTCAAAGCCATTGTGTCTCACCCACCCACGTCTCCAACGAGGGTATGAAGCTTTTCCTTGCATGACGCAGGCACAAAACTCTTCAACTTCTCCAGTCGTGCTTTGTCCCGAGAAATGACCGCCACATGGAACCCTGTCACAAGAAGGACCATAACTGATTAAGCACAGCATTAGAAGGTTTTTAATCACAATCAGAGTTAATGAGGACAACATATTTGGGAACAAAGTATTGGGAATATGACACTTATTAATTGCCAGCTTGATGATCGGAGGAGAAATCCGACTGGCATTAAGGAGTCAAGAAAGAATTCCTTTTCTGGGGAATAATTAGACATTTCTTCAAAGTTGTGTTTTTTTTCTTTTGCCTTCTTTTTGATCAACAGCAGAAACAGAGACACACTAAAGTTTCAGCTCGACACATTTGAGTTTTTTTACAGCCTATGTTACTGTGTAATTATAAAACATTCACCATTATTATACTAAAGCACCAACATGTTCTGGAGCGTTGTACGGTGGACGCAGAGAAGAGAAAACTGGTGATTTATAGACATAAGCTGCTGCGTCAGACAGTGTGTATGATAAAAGGATGAAATTCTTCTACCTTACGACATAGCCCTGGACTCCTTGTTCCCTCTTCTCCTACCCTGGAATATATACTGTCTACCCAGCTATGCAAGGGTCAATGTGTCCTCTACTGTCTGGATCATTCTCAGATTCTTTTACGTACCTTTTTCCAGAAGACTTTTCACAATCCCTGAACCTACAGTACCAGCGCCACCAAGAACCAACACCATCCTCTGCGAGGAAGACATATCGACGAAGACTCTGATATGGAGAAAGATAGACAAAGAGGAAGAGACAGACTGCGAAGAGTGATCAGAGATTTAACTTTGGTGGAGAGGAAAAGAGGAGTGCACGGTACTGAATGAGGAGACAGATGTTATGAAAATCACGTAAGTGGAGTTCAGCTAGAGAGACACGATATTAATAAGGAGATTCTCCTGATCCCTCCCAAATTGATTTATATACCGCCCCGCTGCCTTCCCCAAAACCAACCAAACTCCACCCTTACTAAACCTTCATCTGCATCTTCAGTACAGTAAAAGTGCACGCAGCTGGGCAGGCGACGAGCACCTGGTGCTTAGTTGCTACAAAGATCTGATTGCAAGCTCTTCGGACTAGAATCTATACATTACACTGATCACATATTTAACTATTTGCTCCTACCCTATAATTCCAAGATTAATGCATAGTGAACATCAGATGCAGGCACAAGGTGCAGAGGGTGTTAGAGGACAGAGCAACATGTGTTTATTAAAGCCCTGGGTTAATACTAGCAGTGTTTATGTAACTGCTGAAATGCAAGCATTGGGACAACAAGCAAACATTGCTTCACCCTGCATGGTGATAATGGTCAGAGAGCTCCCTCTGCAGGTAAACTTTCTCATTACAAGGTAGTGACAATAATATAATATATAATAATGATTACATACACTGAGGCCTGCCCTTGGTTTAATATTTTTGAATACGCTTTTCAGATGCTATTATATTAATGGATACACTTTCAAAATGATTTCATATTTAGAAAAAAAATATTTTAATATTTAGATTTTTCGATATATTGATCTATTTTTTTTTTATAAACAATTATTTTATGATTTTGCAATATTTTTGTAAAAATATTTTTAAAATGTATCCAAAAATATTAAATCATTTGAAAAGTTTTTCCTAAAAATATGAAACTGAGGCTTAAAAAAATAGATTTAAAAAAAAAACAATTTGAGAGAAAATGCCAGATCGCAAAAGAACTGTCACTTCCTTAAAAATGACATAATTGCATAAAACATTTAAAATGGCCTCTAAATTGAGGCTATAGTAGTCGAACTGCAACTAGAACCAAGCAGAAAATAGTTTTTGCAGATCGATTATTTTAGCCTTAGTTTAATTTTTAATCTGGTATAATTCAGAATTGGCGAATCCATCTTTCTGTCATATATCAAACTTTGGCATTTTATAGCAACCAAGGCTTAGCATAATTTATGAATTTAATAAGATGATCGTTGAATACGTTGTGTGATCTACAGGCCTTGGACATAGATAAAGCAAATAAACTTTAGTAAATGCATATAATAAAAACAGATAGTAAATAAACCGCAGAACATTGAGCTGATTATCTTTCCTGTAAAATGTGATTATATCTGTTTGAACAAGCTTTATAAAACGTGAAGTGTTTCCTATCGCTGGCCGTTTTGGCAAGCATATTTGTACTGGTACTATTTGCAATATAAAGGGGGTCAATTCAGTTTTAGGGGTGTGAGTGGTGGTGTGGGGCTCTTCTGAGAAATTGTATGTGACTTACTAATAACAATTTATGCAACTAAAAAGTAATTTAGAACAAACACAGTGGATATTATTTACACAGACTCATTTCTTAGCACATTTATTGTGTTTTTTTAAAGACATATTGCTGTGCATTTTATTGCTATGGAGTTCTGTTATAGACTCATAAACTATGGAACTCCTAAAAAAAGAAAGTAGGATAAAAAAAAAAGAGGGACTGTCCCTCCTAAATATGGACACTAAGTTAGGAGGTATACTGTAAGGTTTCGGGCATTTGATTTATTGCTTTTTAGCAGACTGTACTCTAAATGAATGTCATATTTGATGATGCAAAGCATATTGATAATAAGGAACATAGACCTTAAATTGGCGAGGGGTTATTTTCTCCCAACTAAAACGCCAAAGGTTTTGTGACTGTGTTTTAAATAGTGGCGCACCTCTCAACCGGCCTGATTTCGCCAGGACAGTCATGATTTTCTGGCCCTGTCCCACCGGCCCGACTTAGTTTACTGGTATCTCACTTTTGGATCACTAGGCAACTGTCCCCAGCAAGTATAGCACATGAGCATCATTAGACACACTCGCACTATACTCTGGGCACTAAGACCCTGCAGGGAGCTCTGAAACAGCGACCGTATTATGGACACCAGAGTTGGGAGGTATGCCGTAGTGGTCAAATAGTCCATTAAAGAAGGGTCTCCAAACCCAGTCCCCAAGTACCCCCTACTAGTCCAGGATTTAGGGATTACCCTGTTGTGTTTAAAGTGTTTTTTTTCTTTCTTAAAACACCTTAGACACAACTGGGTAATCCCTAAATCCTGGACAGACTGCATTAAAGGTATAATCCAGACTCTTAAAGCAACAGTGATTGGTTAGGGGGTGGAGTCAAATAAGCAACTCAGCTGACTCAGATTTCTCATTGGTTGAGCTGTGTACACACTCGGGATACTAAAGGGACTCTCCAGTGCCAGGAAAACATATCCGTTTTCCTGGCACTGCAGGTTCCTACAGTTCCCCTTTCCCTCCACCCCCCATCCCATGTTGTCACCCCTTCAGTGACTTACCTGAATCCAGCGCCGATGTCCCTCGGCGCTGGGTCAGGTTCTGCCAATGCTCCACGTCAGCCGGCGGGCGAGAACTAATGCGCATGTGTGGCAATGGACGCGCCTGCATTAGACCTCCCCATAGGAAAGCATTATTCAATGCCTTCCTATGCGATTTCGGCGACGCTAGAGGTCCTCATGCATAGTGTGAGGACGTCCAGCGTAGTTTCGGGTTTTAAGAACCGGGAAGTCCCTCTAGGACTTAACCCTGCAAGGTAATTATTGCAGTTTAAGGGTGATGGGGTTGGCATCCAGACCACTCCAATGGGCAGAAGTGGTCTGGGTGCCTGGAGTGTCCCTTTAATAAGGACGTTGCTTTGTGAAAAGGGGTCGTGATCAAAGCTACAACATTATACTGCAGGATATTGCAAAACTTTTGTTTAGCAAAACTAATGAGATTTGAATGTGAAGAATAACATGTCATGATTCTTTAAGCCAATTTGATTAGTTTCATGGCCTTTCCCTTTATCAGCAGTCTGCAGTACTGGGCCGTTCTGATTGACTACTCTGTCAGGCAACAGATGGCCTGTCACAGGAAGCCCGGCAGATTGACAGCTGGCCACCTAAGAGCGCCCCGTAGCAAGGCAGAGTAGGCACCTGCTTGTCCCAGATGGCAGGTGCCTACTCTGCAGAAATATACCGGCAGGGTGAAGAAGGAGGCAGGAGGCGGCGAGGGAGTGCTGACTGTGCTTATGATCTTCCTGCTCCCTCAAGCATCCTCTATGGTGATGCTGGGGGGCGGAATGATGTCATTCCGGCCCCGCATTACTAAACAGTGCGAATAGCAGAAAGGAGCAGAAAGATCATGAAAGCCACTGGACCCTGGGGAAAGGACCCAGAAAACTGCTAAAGGTAGGAGCAACAAACAATACAATGAATTTGTGTGTGTGTGTGCAAGACTGTGTAAGTCTGTGTGTGTCTGAAAGTGTCTGTCAGTACGTGTGTGTATCTGTGAATAAGTGTGTCTGTCATTCAGTGTGTATCTGTCAGTGTTTGTGTGTCTGTCAGTGTGTGAGTGTGTGTCAGCGAGTGTGTCTGTCTAGTAAGTGGTTGTCTGTCAGTGAATGTGTGTGTTTGCCTGTCAGTATTTGTGTATGTGTCTGCCTGTCGGTGAGTGTGTGTCTGACAGGGTTTGTGTGTGTGTGTTATTGAGAGTGAGTGCCAGTGTGTCTGTCAGCAGGGCCAGCTTTTGGGGTGTGCAAGCTGTGCAATCGAGTAGGAAACCATGACAATAGAGGCGCCCTGCGACAAACACAGCTTGCAAGTTGGGGACACCAGCATATTTAATTTAAAAGATTTCCTGGTGGTCCACTGGTGCGCACCAGCAGTAGGTGCCTTACATAATATCCTCTCCCTCGTGGTTCCGGTGCTCAGTTAGTGAGTTAGAGCACAGGCTCAAAGATTCTCAGCCTGCACTTTGACAACATTGAAAGTCGGAGCCACGAAGGAGAGGGTATGGCAAAGAGCTACTGATTAGCATACCATCGATATCTGTTATAAAACCAGGAAAAGGTGAGCATGAATGGTGAGCTTATTCGGTGGTGCAATGAGCCACTTGACTGATTTTGACCCCCAGGCCAGCGGCATATTTCCCGCGAGGCAAACAAGGCATTTGCCTTGGACGGTAATTTCTGGGGGGCGGCAAAAAAAGCCACCCCCAATCGCCCTGGCAAATGCTTTGCCAACCTCTTGTCCTGGAGGACCCAGGAGCTGGCCGGGTGGCCACTTCAGGGCCCCCAGGCTGGTAGCGGCGGAACTCTCCGGGCTGGCGACGAAGGAGCAGTAATCCTCCTGTTCAGCTCCTTTGCACGCACCGCAGTGATGCTGAAGCCGGAATATGACATCATTCTGGCACCAGCATCACTACACGGCACGTGGCCGCCTGCAGTCACCGACCGGCTGGCCACCCAGCAGACCAGCAGCCCAGCAGCCCCACTGGACCCCAGGGAAAACGAGGATCCACCCCAGCATTCCCAAAGGTAGGGAGGCTGGGGGGATTGAATTTAAAAAAAAAAATGTGAGTGTGTTTGTGTGTTAATGTGTGTGTGTCTGTTAGTGAGTGTGTGTGTGTGTCTGTTAGTGTGCATGTGTGTCTGTTAGTGAGTGTGTCTGTTAGGGAGTATCTTACTATGTGTGTGTCTGTTAGTGTGTTACTATGTGTGTGTCTGTGTGCATGTGTATCTGTTAGTGAGTGTGTTACTATGTGTGTGTCTGTTAGTGTGTGTGTGTCTGTTAGTGAGTGTGTTACTATGTGTGTGTCTGTTAGTGTGTGTGTGTCTGTTAGTCAGTGTGTTACTATGTGTGTGTCTGTTAGTGTGTGTGTGTGTGTGTCTGTTAGTGAGTGTGTTACTATGTGTGTTTCTGTTAGTGAGTGTGTGTGTGTGTGTCTGTTAGTGAGTGTGTTACTATGTGTGTGTCTGTTAGTGAATGTGTTAGTATGTGTGTGTCAGTGTGCATGTGTATCTGTTAGTGAGTGTGTTACTATGTGTGTGTCTGTTAGTGTGTGTGTGTCTGTTAGTGAGTGTGTTACTATGTGTGTGTCTGTTAGTGTGTGTGTGTCTGTTAGTGAGTGTGTTACTATGTGTGTGTCTGTTAGTGTGTGTGTGTGTGTGTGTGTGTGTGTGTCTGTTAGTGAGTGTGTTACTATGTGTGTTTCTGTTAGTGAGTGTGTGTCCGTTAGTGAGTGTGTTAGTGTGTCTGTCTGTTAGAGTGTATGCATGTCTGTTAGTGAGAGTGTATGCGTGTCTGTTAGTGAGTGTGTGTCTGTTAGTGAGTGTGTGTGTCCAGGGCCGCCATCAGAAATTTTGGGGCCCCTAACACAGCTCAAGGTCTGGGCCCCCGGGTGCCCGCCTCAAAGCCCCACTCCAAATCCCACCCACAGGAATACACACACACAGAAAGATACACATACTGAAACAGACACACACATATACAGACACATACAGACACACACATACTGAAACAGACACACACATATACAGACACATACAGACACACACATGCATAAGGAGATACAGATACACACACACATACAGACACACACACACTGACGTACATACATACTCGCATACTGACACGCACACACACACACACACACACACACATACATACTGACATATATATACATACACATATACATACATAGATATATACACACATACTGACAAACAGACATTCATACATGCAGACACATACATACATTCTGATATACTTACACACATACAGACATTCACCTCATTTTAAAGCCACCCTCCTCTTCCTTACCTTTAAGTTACAGGAGGGTGGCTGGGGATGATGGGAGCTGATGCCTCTCCTCTCCTCTGCTCTGCTCAGCTGTCTCTCCCCCCGCACGGAGTAAGCTGGCAGTGACCCGCCGTCACTTCCTCCCAGCAGCATTTGGGTGCAGCCGCATTTTTGTTTTTTCAAAGGGGTGCAGATGCACGTGTGGCTGTTTCGCCACTCCATTTGGGGCCCGCATGGCCGGGCCCCACAGGGCCTCCGGGCCCGTACCAACCGTCATGGTTGTCACCCTCTGATGGCGGTCCTGTGTGTGTCAGTTAGTGTGTATGTTGTCTATTAGTGAGTGTGTGTGTATGTGTGTCTGTCAGTGAGTATGTATGTCTGTTAGCTAGTGTATGTGTGTCTGACACTGAGTGTATATGTGTCTGTCAGCGAGTGTGTATGTGTATTTAGAAGGTGGGGCGAGGGTGCCTGAGTTTTGTGATGCCTAGGGCAGCACAAAACCAGGATACACCACTGCCCCAGGCCTAAGGCTGGCAGCCCTCCCCTGGTCATGCTTTCGCACTCACCGGCCCTCCCTTGAGTCCAGGCCTGATCATCTAAGCCAGTGGTTCCCAACCCAGTCCTCACGTACCCCCTAACAGTCCAGGATTTGAGGATTACCCAATTGTGTCTAAGGTGTTTTTAGAAAAAAAACATTATAAACACAACAGGTGAACAAATGCAGCGTCCTTGCCGGAGGATCCAGTCTGATCCCTTAAACTAAGCATGGCAATGCCGAGCTGCGCACATTGGCTAAGAGCACCACCTGAACGCTGTCCTATATCAGACCTGCTTCAGCTCAATGAAGATACCTGACTTTTCCAGCTCAAGAAGCGTGATGTGGCGCAGATAACTTGTCAAGCCATCCTAACGTCATTTGAAAATTTCTCTGGGACCACTCCAGCATGCTATAGTGGTTGTGGTACTTGATTGTTTCTCTCCTGTTATAAAAAAAAAAAAACACTTCCTTCATATAATACTTTATGCTTTAATGAACCTGTCATGTCATCATTTCTCTTATCTGGATTAGAGAAAGTTAGAGTTCTCTGTCACAAGTTCTGACTGGAGTTCATCACCCAGGTAACCCTTAAATTGAAAAACATTTTCATCCATTTCCATAGGAAGAGTAAAAGGCAGCTGCTGGGGACTACAACCCCCATGACCCTCAGAAGTCATGGTCCACAGCAGTTACAGGAGTAACACTCTGCTTACTGAAAAGTTTGACAGGCTGTAACTTTGTATTTTATTTCCAAATAGTACACTTCATTTTATATCACATTAGACTGACTTACTTCCTTCCCCCCCCCCCACATTAATTAACCACCCCTCTTGTTAATTAGTCACACAGGTCACATGACCTAGACATTATCAGGCAGACAGCTGGGTGTCAGTCATCGGCTGTGGGCGTGGCCATACCAGGAAGTGCTCAGCTTGCAGGTGAATGGGGAGTTTGGAGGGCCATGGCTATGTCTCCCAGTGACCTGTATATGACAGCACCCAGGTAATGGATACAGGCTGGGGGCCTCACACTCACACTCACACAGGGCCTCACTCACTCACTGGCAGACCCTTTATTTCCCCAATCAGACAGCTGGCCATGATCTGCCTCTCTCACTGGGCAGCATATACTGACAGATATTTGGAGAAACTTTTTTGGGAATCATTTTTTTGGGAATAAAGCTGTTTATTGGGTGTGTGGAAGGTGTTCAGAATATAATAACTATATAATAAACACATATACTATATATCTTGGAAGCCATCAGTTGTTTTAGTGCACTGTATGTTATTATTTACTAGCAATTTCATTTATTGTCCATAAGTAAAATCTGCCTTCACTTGGGATACTTATATGGGATTATAGATTCTACGGCCCAAATAGCCGTATTAGGTAGAAAAGAAATCAGCCATTGAAAGTCCTTGTGTTTTTTGTTTTTTTTTTAAATTTAGGCTTTTTTTGCCCCAAAATGTGAATTAAAAAAAAAAAAAACAAATACCCAAATATTAAAGGTACGCTTCTACATCTAAATCACTTAATCAAAAGCGTGACTCCAGTGCTCAAAAACCAAGCAAATTAAAAATCACTGTTTGGTAAATATATCCCCTTCTTGCCCCCTCATTTGGCTGTTAATAGGAAAATCATTCCTATGACTTCCTGGCAGTTTTACTCAAAAGGCAGCAATTGCCCAGTTCACCTGCCTTGTAAATATTTCACATTGAGCTGCATTGCGAAGCCTGCGATTGGACAGCCACAGAAAGTCTGGGGTGGGTTAGAAAGGGAGAGTTTGCAAAGCCTGCAGACAAAATATCTGCATCTTTTGCAAGATTTATTTTTAAAAAACTACGCTCAATGAGAAAAATGCATAACTTAAATGCTTACTTGTTTTGTTTGTGGTATATCTACTAAATAGTGTTTTTTTTATTTATTGTTTTACGCTAACAGAAAATGTCACTTCACTTTTGAATCTTTCTCACTCCTTATGGGTCTTGGTCTGAAGATGTTCAGGTTAAAGGAATACCATGAGCACCATAACCACTAAAGCTTGCTATTGTCTTGCCAGGAGTGCCCTGGTTGACAACTTACCTGGTGTCCACCAGGCCGTGCTCCACACCTCCCCTAATTCTATCGCAGAGATGGACAATCCTAGCAGGATTTCCAATGGCTACCCTGGGCCAAATCCTTGGCTCAGAATGATTAGATGGAGGTGGGGAATTACACCTGCGGACCCAAGGTAAGAAGTGAAATCCTTCAAAAACAATCTCATTCTTTACGAGGGTGGGGGGAGCAGTAGCAGTGCACTCCTGGTATAACACTACAGAGAACTGTAGTGGTTATGGTGCTTGGAGTGTTCATTTAATAACTGTGTGAGGTCTGCCTGACATATAAACTATATTCACGAAGCATAAAGCATTGTTTAGTAGACCAAATTGGGCGGGGGCACACTCAGTGACAGCATATTTTGTACTACGGTGCACCAAAGTAGGGAGAGGAGAGGAGAGTTCCCAGCAATCCAAATTAACACAGAAAATGTCTGCCCAAGTTTACTGTGTTGGGTCTAGAATTTAATGGGACACTAATGTCACTAAAACAGAATTAGCTTAATGAAGCTGTTTTGGTGTATAGATCATGCCTATAAAGCTAAATTCTTTGTCATTTAGGAATAGATCACTTTTGTTTCTATTAATGCAGCCCTAGCCACACCTACTCTGCCTGTGACTGACAGTCTGTCTCCTGCTCTGGAAATTGAACTTTAATTACAGACAGGAGGATCCTGTAGGGTCTAGCAAGCTATAACAGAGCTGGAGATAAGAAATTCTTCATTAAACAGGAAGTCTAAGTAAGTCACATGTAGGGAGGTGTACCAGGGGAGCATAAACAAAGTGATTTAACTCCTAAATGGCAGAGGATTGAGCAGTGAGACTGCATAGGCAAAATCTATACACCAAACCTGCTTCATTAACCTAAAGTCGTTCTGGTGACTATAGTGTCCCTTTAATGGTCTAATTCAGGGATAGGCAACATTTAGCATGCAAGATGTTGTGGACTAAAACTCCCTTGATGCTTTGCCAACATAATGGCTGTAAGAGCATTATGGGGGATATAGTCCAAAACATCTGGAGTGCCAATGGTTGTCTACCCCTAATTGTTATTTACATCTACAGTGAATTAAAAGGTATGTAGGTGTATAATACATTTTAACCTGTTTTTACCTTTTTAGCCTGGAATGGTTTAGTAGAATGCAGAGTGCATTTAATTGATGATGCCCCTGATGGACACTCCAGGTTATATAGTGACGATTAACTTCCCTTAATATTCTACCATACTAAAGGACTGGCCTAGGCATTACAGATGTTTGGTAACAGAGCATTATAGTTAATCAGTTCACAAATTTCTATAATTTCCAACTTTGTGTTAAGGGTCATAGAATATTATATTCTTATTTATGAAAGTGCCTGCAAGTTCCGTAGAGCTGTACAGTAGGTGAACTAACAGACCAGTATGTGCAACAAGAGGATATTGAGGGCTCTGCACAAACGAGTGTCATCGCTAAATCCCCAGCTTGTTCCACATGTTACATTAAAAATGGTGCCCGACAGGTGGATCCCCAGATGTTGTAGAACCACAACTCCCATGATGCCTGTCATGCCTTTAGAATGACAAGGCATCATGAAAGTTGTAGTTTTTAAAACATTTGGGGATCCACCTTTTGGGAAACCCTGCATTGGAGTTATAATTTCTACATATTTCCCAAGTAATTGTTTATTTTGCTTTAACAGAGTAACTCAAGAGAGTCTTTTCGTTCATTACAAAGAATGGTTGATTGCAGCCTATCAGTCCGGAGTGTGTGCCCCGTGCGGTGATCTGAGGGTTCTAAATGCCGTGAGGGAATACCTGCTGGTAGATCCAGGTTTGCACATCAGCTTGCAAAATGATGCCTTCAAGCTGATTGTCGGTGGACTCATGATGAGGGACAACATGCACTCTGCATTGGATCATCTTGTAGTCGCTTTCCAGTTCTTTGAACAAGCTGCTCTTCATCTTTATTATTATCCATGGAGGAAGGAGTTGTTTACAATACATGTAAGTACATCTAATGTATTTTTGGGGCTCCAGACAATGGCTTGTCTTTGTATCTGTTAATGGGTCACATAATTGTTCAGGTGTGAATTGTGGGAAATGTTTATGTATTTAAAAAAAAAAAAAAAAAAATAGCAATCCTGGTCCAGTGTGGCATTGTTTTTAGTTTGGCCATTTCGGCTTAAATTTGAAATTAATTTTGAGTTCCACACAGCCACTTGAGGTGCTCCCTTCTCCATACACTCTGTCTGGGAACCGAATGCAGCTGGTAGTAGCAATTAGTTGGTGGATCGTGACGTTTGGCCCACATGCTTGGCTCCAATCTGTTGCTTCTCCAAGAGAAGCAATGTATTGGAGGAGATCAGAGATGTCAGAAGCCATGCTAACACTATTGAAGGGCGGGCAGGTGCAAGAGTTCCTGCAGTGGAAACAGGGTAAGTAATCTTTATTAAAATTTTCTGTAAATGCAAAGGAAGGTGGACAGAAGGGAATCTCTAGTAAAGACAAAAAGGGAATTGGTGGGCACACCTGAAACATGCCTTTCTCTGCAATGGTGCTGCTGTAGAGACCAAAATTTGTACAAAATACAGATCAAGGAAGAGCACACAAACATATACAATTTTACATGGCTACTTAACATCGCCTATTAATTACCGATATTTGGGTACTGTGACGTAGTAGTGAACTTAACACGATATGGTGGTATTGAATATTTGTTTGCCTAATATAGTCCTGTTCTGTAGAACCGTACAGAAATTCTCTTAAAGATAAACATAAGATTCTGTTGATGCAGCTCATATAAACATGCCTTTTGTCTTCTCCTACAGACGTACTCTGGACATTACGTGCATGTATGGCAAGCTGCCCTTCCACAGGATGGGATTTTCCGAGCCCTGCGACGATTGGGGTATTTACCGCATGAGAATGGCAAGATCCTACGTCTGTTCTCCCAGCACAACGCAGAGAATCTTTCTATGGCTGCATTCGGTTTTCTGGCTGGCCAGATCGAGTGTCAAATCTTATCCAGCATTCTTTCCAGCTCAGGATCAGGAATATTTACTGTAGATGACCTGCTCCGAGAGAGAAGCCGCTGCAGAGGAGAATTGGCATGTATAGAGGATCTAAGGAAGCTAAGCCTAGATGTATACCCAGTTCCTGATCTTTCAGGAGAGCAAGGTTTTGAAGAAGGGGCAACTGGTGAGTTTCATGATTTGCAAACGGTGACCTGTTACCATTGTCAAGAGCCCTGGGACATGCATGTGATGGGCCAGTGCAGGAAAGAAGCAGCAATTAGCACTACACCGTCGTTGCTTTACTCTCCCGAACAGACGCAGGCTAAGACACCGAACGTAGATGTTGTTTTACATGACTGTGTGTTTTCTGACCAGTGCCTTGAGTTCCACTGTGCCAAGTGCCATACCCTCCATAGCCCATGGTGCTCTGTGCTTGGGGCATGCAAGGAGTCTCGCCACCATATAAAGGCTTTGAGTGCAAAAGAGAAGCAGGATGCTCTCCAAGAAGAGGAGAGAAACCGATTTCAATTGCACTCTTGTCTACAACCAAACCATTTACCTCATTACCGCTGCGTTTCCTGCAAGCAGCTCCACTATATAAACTGCAATCTGGTAACACAGTGCCGCACGCAAGGTCACCGTGCCATCATGATCATGCTGGAGAAGGATCAAAAACTTTGGTTATTGAGAAGCACAACAGACCTGACTCTTCTTGCTAGGCGTATTAATACTCCGGCAACAGATGGTGTGTGAAGCTGTCCTTAGAGGCGTGTGGGTGCAGGATTATCAAACTCTATGAAATGAATAAACATTACGACTTGAAGCAAGTAAACATGCACTTGGTCTTTTTCAATGTGATTTGACCTTTTGGCCAACTATGTTGATTTAAAGGGATGCTCTGAGTACCAAAAAACACACACAACTTTTAGCTTAATTAAGCAGTTTTGGTGTATAGAACATGCCCCTGCAGCCTCACTGCTCAATTCCCTGCAATTTAGGAGTTAAATCAGTTTTGTTTCTGTTTATGCCGCCCTAGCCACATCTCCTCCTCTGGCTGTGACTCACAGCCTGCATGAAAAAATTCACTTTTATATCACTGGCAGTGCAGTGTGTTTACTTTTTAGAAGTTTTTAGGTCTGCTCTGTAAACAAAACTTTAATCACAGACAGGATGCTCTAGCAGGCTATTAACAGAGAAGGAGATAAATAATTCTAAATTAGACATAATGTGCAATAAAAGAAGTTTAAATATTAGATGCCTCTTTACAGGGAAGTGTTTAGGAAGGCTGTGTAATGTCACATGCAGGGAGGTGTGACTAGAGCTGGATAAAAAAAGATTTAACTCCTAAATGGCAGACAATTGAGCAGTGAGACTGCAGGGGCATAATCTATACACCGAAACTGCTGCAGTAAACTAAAGTTGTTTTGGTGCTTAGTGTCTCTTTAATGTTTAGCTGTCATAGCCCAAACAACTTTATCTGAAATTAAGGTACATATAATTTCAAATATCTATATCGTGCCAGTTAAACTGCTCTCAAAACTGTTGCGTTGAAGATGAATTTAAGAGGAAAGAGTTCCTCTTAATGTCTGATGCAGAATGACCGTGTCCAAATCAATAAAACCCAAAATTGATTCTTCCAAGTAATACAGGCTCATTAACAAACACAAATGATATGTATGGAAAGGTTATACACCGGATGAAGTGAATTTCTGTAGCTCAGTTGGAGACTTTGTATTCCAATTCAGATCTTTTGGCTTAAAACTTAAATTCATATTGAATTCTCATTTTTGTTGTTAACCCTTTGAATTACATCCAAAACTAATAACCCCACATTGGGGTTATCTTACCCACATCCAGTTTTTCTTTATTTTTATGCATTTTGGAAAGCGTGTGTGTGTGTGTGTGTGTTTATTTTTACATTCAGTGTTCCAGTTGCCAGTTTACACAAACAAAAGGAGGCTTTGATGTCAAGGACTGTTGACGACAAGATGATATTGCAATTCAATGTAACTTTCAACTGATACAAATGTAACAATCAGCCTAACACAGTGGTTCCTGAACTTTTCAGGTTCAAGGCGCCCTAAGTCAAATTTTCTAGGTTGTATATATGTACAGCGCAGTGGCATATACTGGGCCCCTGTTCGGCAGAAATGCTTGCCGTTCAAGCGCAGATCCAGAACCTAATCTTGGGAGGGGCACTGCTAGCTTATTTAAAGAAACAATCCAGGCACAATAACCAACTACAGCACTTTTTAGTGGTTGTAGTGCCATAGTGTCCTCCCAGAGTAAATAGTCAAACTGTTCAAGAACTGTGGGGGGGGGGAGAGGTAGTAGGGTACTGTGTGTGTGTGGGGAGGTAATTGTGTCTCTGGGGGTAGAAGGGCAAATTTAATAAAAAAAAAAAAAAATTATATATATATATATAATATTACACCAGTGATGCTATTATCGCAAAGGATTCTGTGTGGGCATATGCAAGTTTAGTTTAAGAATCACATGTTTGCGTTATTCCATTTTAAACATGGATTCCTTTGAGTCTGTGTTTGCTGTATACAACAGCTTTGAAACACAACTTAGGAAAAGATGCTAAGCCAGTGAATCACTCATGGACAGCTGTTTCATTGTCATCAGCATGAGGTTGGTTACTAATTTATTGGGGCAAAAGCAGCAATGTCTCGTACCTGGGTTGGCATGAATCATGGGAGTTGTAGTTCAGCAACATCTGGAGGACCGGAGTGTGGGGAAGCCTGGCATAGAGGAACCATGAAAGCATCCACCAAATATGCAGGTTTGCAACATTTGATTTTAGGAGACAGCCTACAGGAGCAAGGCAAGTCATAGAAAGGCAACGTAGTATAGATGTGGCAACGTAACCCAAAGCACAGTATTGCTAGATTTATGTAATAAACGTATCTGTTCTGCAGACTTCATTCTGCTTGTGTGGGGCTTGGCAGAGTGCAGAATTCATGTGCTTTTAATGCAAAAAAAATTAAATTAATGAATAACTGTCACTTACTAAATTGATCATCTGAAATGAATTTTGAAATTAAGGCCAGAATAGTGAAAGCATGGCTGACAGAATTTTGACCTTAAAGGGTTACTTCAACCACCATGACCACTTCAGTGATTTAAAGTGGTCATGGTGATAGGAGTCAATATGTCAGTTTGAAACACTGACCGTATTAAGTTATTGCTAATTGTGTGCTAGGAAATTTGTTCTGGGCGGCCGAATGTCAATTCTGTGCTTAAATTAAGTCTGTTGTCCACATCCTGTAAGAGACATTAAATTGTTCCCCTTGCAGGCAGAGCGTCTGCAAGGGGAAGCTAAGTCACCCCTACGTGTGGTTTACATACCTCATCACCTCACAACAGGATATCTACATTTATACTATTTCTCTATGTTATATTTATATTGCTGGTCATACCTTTAGTAAATACCACACTGACGGTTAAGTATTCAGCTTCCTTATCTTTCTACATTACAGTCTACATGTACCCAGACAACCCTGGAAAAACCCCAAAATAAACTAAACTCCCTCCTAGTCTCAGAGTAAGCTTTGTGTAATTAAAGGAACACTCCAAACACATGAAGCATTTCGGCTTGTCTGATGTCTATTCTCCTCCCACCACACAATTTACAAAAGTGCTGATTTCAATAGAAATTGCGAGTTTTATAAGAACATGTCAAAATGCCTGCCCAGCAGTCAATCACCGCAGAGCTAATAGAAGTGGCATATATGGTAGGCAAGAACATGCCTGCATTCCCTACTTTTCAATGAGCTGTACTGCAGCTCACTAACCACGAATAGAAGCCATTTGTGTTGGTTTACGGCTCCAGCACAGAGACTTAAGAAGAAGCCCCTGATTGGTCAATCTAACGGCACTGTGCCAGGGATAAAGGGGAGGGTTTGCAAAGGCTGCAGACAACAGATCTGCAGCTTTCACAAGATATATACATATATCCATCCCCCAAAGAAAACATGTATATAAAAAAAAATAAAAAAAAAATACATGCATTTTTTTTGGGGGGGGGGTATATTTACTTAACCGTAAACGTTTTTCGTACCGCTTTATTGGCTTCCAGAAAGTGAAGTAATTACACAAAAACAGATTAGCAAGTTTGATTTATTTAGAGATCTGGTAAGTAGTACACATACCACTGTTGTATAATTCAGACCATTCACAAAAATAACTTAAAATGACAAAGAATGTAGAAGTGATATTCCAGTGTCCACATTGATATTAAAAGCTTTGCCTTATTATAGGACACGGAAATCACAATAGACAACACAATGGACATACATCTAGAAGTACTGAACACCAAGGCCAATGGTTTTACAAAGGTCAAGAACTGACTGCGCTTTCTCCCTTCCATGTAAATGACATGTGGCCAGAAACTGACAGGCTCTTAACTCCAGATGTGTTGTGCTGACCACACCGATTATTCCAACCATTGCATCCCAGGACCATTCACTAGCCTTCAACATCTGCTCAAATCTGCTACATTTTACTTGACCTTCACCTCTTGCACTCTCTCAATACCAGAATCTTCAGTCACCTGGTTCAGACCTCCCATTTAGCGCCTAATTTTCTTAAAAGCGTACGACTACAGCCGTTCTCCATTTTATGCCTTGCTGCTCTGTCTGGATTCACTATTAAGTCTTTGTAACAGTGAGAGACAACTGGATCACTGCTTGCAGCGTTTGCTTTGCGACTCTGAGCCTGCGCTGCTCACCCTCTTGTTCCGGTGGTGTGGAAACGTTGGCATCAGTTGTGGCTTACAAGCTACAGAAGACAAGAAGTTATACATTTTGTATTTATTTCTGAGATTTTAAATACGTGACAATATATACTCAAAATGTTTCTAAAAAAGAAAAAAAAGTTTTAAAAACAGTGTAACATGGCTGTTTACAAAGTTTTATTTTATCTTCTTGACTGTAATGTTTTTTCACTTGTCTGCTCAACTCACTGAAAATTACAGACTGAAAAAGTATCGAATGGAAGTTTTTTTTTTTCCCTTTTTCTTTTTTTTTTTTTTAAACTCTGGATTCCAGCTTATGAGACGAATAGTAAAACCTCACTAACAGACTGGTCTTGCCGAGCATTGCGAACATTGAAATTAACAGAAACCCAAAGTTTCAGTTTAAATAGAAAGGTTCCAAATTGTGCTTAGTTACTTACAAATCTGCAGAAAGTCTACATTTTTAAGCAGATACAGGGCCTCTATGATTCTCATCTTTGCAGTTTCTGGACTCGGACCATTAGAATTTTACCTATATCTTAAGCTGCAAGTCCATTTTGCTGAATTAAATTGCCAGTTCCTGGTATCTTGCAGCAGAATTCACTTAAAGGGAAACATCAATTTTCTGACAATGACAGCAGTGAATCTGTGTGTGAGAGAAACTCGCCACACACCACAACCTCTACTGCCTGCTGTATGGTGCCAGGAATGTCTGGCTAGAGACAAGGTGACACTGGGTGCCCAACAGACCCTAGGTAAGTTGCCAAACTGTTTCACTAAGTATTCTAGGAGGGCACCAGGGCTGTAGTGGTTATGGTGCTTGGCATGTTCCTTTAAAATAATTTCATGTGATGCTCCGTTTTCAATGTATACTAAAGCAGGCAATGTCACAGCCAGGGCACACATTGCACATGAGAAGGGTATACAGGAACATAATATTAAAAACCCTCTGAACTGATGGGTCCTATTTAAAATGATACTGGGTAAGAGTTAAGGCTAATAGTTATCATTTGGTTTTAGGGTGCACTATAAAGCTTTAAATATCAGCCATTTCCTTTATCATGTGTGGTTTGACATCTGATTTTAGTAGATTCTGAGCCTTGTCTTAATACACTGCTCAAAAAAAATAAAGGGAACACTTAAACAACGCAATGTAAATCCAAGTCAATCACACTTCTGTGAAATCAAACTGTCCACTTAGGAAGCAACACTGAGTGACAATCAATTTCACATGCTGTTGTGCAAATGGGATAGACAACAGGTGGAAATTATAGACAATTAGCAAGACACCCCCAATAAAGGAGTGGTTCTGCGGATGGTGACCACAGACCACTTCTCAGTTCCTATGCTTCCTGGCTGATGTTTTGGTCACTTTTGAATGCTGGCTTTCACTCTAGTGGTAGCATGAGACGGAGTCTACAACCCACACAAGTGGCTCAGGTAGTGCAGCTCATCCAGGATGGCACATCAATGCGAGCTGTGGCAAAACGGTTTGCTGTGTCTGTCAGCATAGTGTCCAGAGCATGGAGGCGCTACCAGGAGACAGGCCAGTACATCAGGAGACGTGGAGGAGGCCGTAGGAGGGCAACAACCCAGCAACAGGACCACTACCTCCGCCTTTGTGCAAGGAGGAACAGGAGGAGCACTGCCAGAGCCCTGTAAAACTGACCCCCAGCAGGTCACAAATGTGCATGTGTCTGCTCAAACGGTCAGAAACAGACTCCATGAGGGTGGTATGAGGGCCCAACACCGTGCAGGACGTTTGGCATTTGCCAGAGAACACCAAGATTGGCAAATTCGCCACTGGCGCCCTGTGCTGTTTACAGATGAAAGCAGGTTCACACTGAGCACATGTGACAGACGTGAGAGTCTGGAGAATCCGTGGAGAACGTTCTGCTGCCTGCAACATCCTCCAGCATGACCGTATTTCAGAAGAATATTTAATTCATTCAGATCTAGGATGTTATATTTGTGTTCCCTTTATTTTTTTGAGCAGTGTAGTTTAAATAGACATAACAATCATATTGCTGTCCTCTGCAATCAGGAGAGTGCAAGTAAGCGTAATGTGTTTGCACTGCACTAGGCAGACAGGGAGCTGTGAAAATATTGTACTGCATGGTTTAATAATGGTTTATATAAAAACACCAAATTATTACTTTTCCCTGAGAATGGATAAACATCCTTCCAAGAAATACCAAAAGAAACCCCCGGACCAGGGGGCACCGGTGCCAGACCTATTTGTGGCCTCGAGAGCCCTGCCGACCGGATCACAAGATGGCGGTGCCCTGTGCTCGCCGGCCTCAGATGTGCAACAGGAGGTCGAGGCCTACTCAGCGGGGGAAGCATCCCAACCCGAGACGGCCTGGATCCTGTTGACCCTGATGAGGTGGTAACTTACCTGGCAGGCAAGATTGTGTGGTCCACGGGCATCCTGAGGTGGGGAGATTCAGGCCCTGGGCACGCGGGTGGCACACAACACGGCAAGTACCCAACTCAATTATCTGACAGGCAGGGTACAAGCTACTGACTTAGTGCTGGAAGATATGGGACACAGATACAGGCGCAACAATGTGCGCATCCGTGGCCTACCGGAACAAACTGGGGAAGGGCCCTTGGCAGACCTCGTGGTGCACATCTTGCAGCTATTGCTCCCGGGAATCCCGCCGATAGGTGGCATGTGGAGAGGGCTCACCAAACGCTCCGTTCCAGAAGGCTAGGGCAGAACACACCGAGGGATATCATTGTAAGGTTCCTGCACTTCCCTACGAAGGAATCTGTGATGCAGAGGGCGCGAGAAGGCCCCATTGTCCACGAGGGCACCACACTTTCACTCTATCAAGATCTGGCACCTCTCACATTGCAGCGACGACGGGAGTGGAAACCGGTTAAGGAGGTGCTCCGCCAGGCTAACATGAAGTATGCCTGGGGCTACCCCTTCAAATTGCTTGTTTTTAAGGATGGCCACCCGCATGTATTGCACCAGGAAGGAGACCCCGCGGCTTTCCTCAGTACCTTGGGGCTCCAGGTGTTTTTCCCCATGGACCCAGCAAAAGGTGTTATAATGTTGGAGGGCATCGACTGGCAGGATATCTGGGAAGCGGCTGCTTCTTCCTCCATATGCGTCACATTGCAAGAGCAATGTCTTAAGAAACTTTATCGCATGAACCAGACTCCAACTGACTTGTGCTGGAGGGGTTGTGGCCTCAAAGGCACTTACCTACATATGTGGTTGGAATGCCCCCAGATTAGACTACTCTGGTCCGCAGTAGGAGACATTTTGGAACAACTTTTTAATAGAAGACCGGACTTAACCCCATGGGAGTGCCTCCTGAATAAGCCATTATCAGGGTGGACTTGAACAGAACAAACCTTGCTACCAAAGTCAACTTAGCAACCAGACGGGCCATAGCTACAGCCTACAGTTCCCTCCGTCTCTTAAGTCCTTGATAAAGTTAAGGACAATAGTCTGATAGATAAACGGACAGCGCACGTGAGAAACACTGTACATAAGTTTGAGCTAATATGGGAGCCCTGGTTCTCCAGTGACTGCAGACTAAAATAGGACACGGGTACGGCCCTCGCCCGCCTCATCCTTTTCTTCTTCTCTCTCCCTGAACCGGCTCTAAAATGCAACTTCCATGAGATTTTATGTCCCTGGATGGCTCCAGAGACTTCTCATTAGGTTTACTTAGCAAATGTTTAAAAAAAAACAAAAAAAACACACTACTCAAAGAGGAGATGTAAGCATCATATTTGGCTTTTCCCAGGGCACTGAGGAGTGTTCTGCTGGGTCTGAGGGCCCTTTCTGTCCTATCTTCCTTTTCTACTAGATTTCAAATGTACTTTAAAAAAAAACATTTGGTGTTTCCTACACGTACCGATAAAGTGGGGGAACATGCTCATGATGTGAATTAAGGACATGCTGTTAAAGTGCCTAATTCGGCTGAGACGCACCACATGATGTCATATTGTTAACTTATCGTTGTTATACCATGTGCATAGTGACTGTACTATGTATCACTTTGTTATGCTATTTCTGACCAAAAATAAAGATTTGGAAAAAAAATAAATAGATAAAAACATGTTAAAGAGGAGCAATACCATACAAGCCCTGGTTAGGACACGATTTAAACATGGACAAGCTCAGATCAATGGAAAGAATACTCACGTAAAGGCTTTTCTTTGAAATATGAGCTTGCCAGGCTGTCTTCAGCTGTAGCTCTGAAGGGGAAAAAGGATCAGTTGAATGAATAGTGTAGGGACTACAATTCCCATATTCCTTAGCAGTAGCCCAGGCCAATTGATGCTGATTTTCTGGTCCACTTTACCTCTTTTTCGGGTCATACATAAATAAGAAATTGAGTAACCGCAAGCCAGCTTCAGAGAGCCATGGGAACTTGTGCTTCAGGTTGTTATAGGGCTGTTTGCGCACTGTGTATTGGCCCACCAGAGGCAACTTGGAAAAGCCCTTCAAAGAAAAAAGGTGAGAGAATATTTCAGAAAAGTGACACTGCCACATTACTGGGTTTGTAGTTCAAAAGTAGAATGTGAACATTATAGAAAATATTAGCTCCACCATTTTGGGACATCGCCTTTAGGCACCATTTGATGCACATCCCCATTCTTTGTAGCCTCTCTAGTGTGTTCTCACCAAATCAGGATATGACTCGGCCAATCAGGATGCTCACTTTCTGCATCACTACTGATTTTATCCCACAGGTGGTGCATTTTGGATACAGCAAGGTTCTCAGGGGACTATAGTGTAATTGACGGCTTTGAAGCCTGAAGCAAAGGGGGAAACACTGCATTCCAGGGGGAAGAGCAGAAAGGTGTGCTTCTAGGCTAGATCCGAACTATTGTGCAAAGCAAATGAGGCTGGGTTACCCCCTGGTTGTCTAACACCTAAAGACATTGATAAAAGTGTACATTTTGTTTACTTATCATGTAATCAAGCACTTGATATTGTATATTCTGGGCCCTCCTTGATTAATTAAATTCCTTATAACCTTCTGCCACCAACTGACCAAGGGGTAAAATGTGGATACCCCTGCACCAAGCATTATCATAAAGTATTTCGACACCTCTGCTGTATGCATTGTTTAGATGACAGATTCCGTTTAAGAGAACTCACCGGCCAGATGTTTTCGCTTGGTGTCCCCAACAGCTGTATGATAAGGTCAATCTGCTGGATTTCAGAGGTTCCTGGTAACAAAGGTTTATGCGCTAGAAGCTCTGCCAGAATACAGCCCACGGCCCTGCCAGAAAGGAGTGTTACTGATTGAAAAAAATGGCTTTGGGATGAGGGTTAACGTTCACGGAGCAAATACTACTGGAATGCCAAAAAACCATCAGCGGGAAATTGAAAATTCCCCAAAAATATTCCTGTTACATTAATAGAGAGCGAAAGACAATTTATACAGGTTTCAATTCCAAATCTTTATATAGCGCCAACATATTCTATATCAACATCCTAAAAATAATGAAGCACCATCTAAGTTCATTTCATAGCTCAGACTAAATCCATCCACGTTAAAATGTATATTTTTTATTTCCCATTTGTGTAACAGAAATTGACGAAAAGATGATAATTCTGTCTGATTTTACCAATTTGTAAAAAAAAATAGAACAGCCATTTACTGTCATCATGTGACTATTCTCTTACCAACATCAAGATTTCCTAAACTGAAAGAAATGGTAATTATTCACTTTTGAATGTTGGGCTGCCAGTCGACTATCCCTGAAGGTTGACTTATTCCAAACACCATCTAAATCTCTAAGGTTACACAAACCAGATTGTGACATCTTACCACATGTCAATGGCAGTTGTCTGCGTTGTACTTCCTAATAGCAACTCTGGAGCCCGATACCTAAATATCAAAGAGAATGGAAAAAACAAATATAGATCCGTTTGTAGAAATCCTGGAGTTTTGAGGAGAGTAATACATAGTAATAAGAAGTACAGATCTGGTTTTGCGTTGGTGACTGTTCTGTTTTCACTCAGTATAAGCTATTGAGTGATTGACTGGGGTGATGTTTGCAGAGGTGATTATAACTCCCATTTAAGTGTTCAGCAATTTCCCTACAGGTACTGATACCTTGAACGATGGTGTGCAATCATGTTAGCCATTTTTCCAAGGATGGAATACAAGCACATGTGGATTCATGTAAAGCATCTATTGCATCATGGGAGAGGAATACATTTTTTGGAGAGGGGGGATATGTTTTTTTTGTAAGCTGGCTGATTTTGCAAAAATCTCTAAGGCAGGGATCTCAAAATCTGCTCCCCCTGATGCTGGTGGTTTACAGCTCCCACAATTCTTTGAATGCAATAGAGATTGCCAGATAATCATATAAATTGTAATTCAGTAACATCTGGGGCGAGAGTTTGAGATGTCTGCTATAAGACCGTCCTTCTTTAAAGGGACTCTCATGTGACACGCTAGAATAAGGAGCAGACAGAAACAAACCTGTAGAAATAAAACAGTACTGACATGTGCATAGATTCTGTCTTATATTCGTTTCTACAACTTCACAAAATGTGAGACAGGTGAGATTTCATGTTTATCCCCATAACTGCAATGACTTACCAGAGAGTTACCACTTTAGGAGTCATCTGCTTGGCAGGGACACTAAATGCACGGGCAAGGCCGAAATCAGCTGTGAAATAAGACACAATGAGAGACAGGTTAGAGGGCTGCTACAGAAGTTTTGTTTTGTTTTTAAATAAACTAGCTGGTAGGGTTAGGGCTTTGTCAGATGATTTGCTGAAAATTACAAATACAACTGGTTGTGGGATTAATCTCTACGAGCTTTAGGATAAATGAAAAATATTTGACTTTTAGAGGATTTTGATGGGGAAATAAAACTAGAACATGCAATGAGGGGGTTAAACCAGGCAGACATAAATTCTTAAAATTCTCCCAAAATAGCAGTACCGCACTCAAAATAAACTTTTTTTTTTTTTCTTCTAAGAAAACAAGTATCCTGGTGTTGCAGATTTACTACAATATTACAAACAAGACAAGCCCACCATAATAATAAGCAGTGATAGGAACTGGAGCTAACACACGTCTGCACAGGGAATAAAAAACAAAACAAAAACAAACACTAAGTGAGACTGGGAACTTATACTGATTTTTTTTTCCCTTCACTTTGTATAAAATAATTCACAAGCAGGGGTAGGCAACTGTTGTCTGATTACGTCTTGTACTGTCTTTATTGCTGGTTTCCTTAGTGTACACATTTCACTCTGTTATGGAAAATGACCATAACCACAACAGCTCACTGGGATCCATCTTGTGCCTCTCCAGGCTTCCACCACTAATGCCAAAAGGTTCCTAAGCAGTGGTTTCCTTTAGTTTTCTGGAACCAAGCCCACCACTGTGGTTTGACAAGTTACAGGGGTAGGCACTAACATTTAAAGGATCACTATAGGGTCAGGAAAACAAACCCGTTTTCCTGACACTATAGTGCCCTAAGGGTTCTCCCACCCTCAGGGTCCCCCTCTCTTGGCGCTGAAGGTTAAAACCCCTTCAGCAGCTTACCTTAATCCAGTGCTGGGCTCCCTCAGCGCTGGTGACCTCTCCTCTCCCGCCATCAGCTCCCGAGTGGAGCGGAATGCGCGGCAAGTGCCTGCCGCGCGCACATTCAAACAGTGCATAGGAAAGCATTTCTCAAGGCTTTCCTATGGACGTTCTGCATGCTGGATGCGAATTTCGCATCCAGCGTCGTAGATGTGCCTCTAGCGGCTGTCAGGAAGACAGCCACTAGAGGTTGGATTAACCCTATGTAAACATTGCAGTTTCTCTGAAACTGCTATGTTTACATCTGAAGGGTTAAAACCTGAGGGACCTGGCACCCAGACCACTTCATTGAGCTGAAGTGGTCTGGGTGACTATAGTGTCCCTTTAACTATAAAATTTCACCATGATGACTTGGTGGCAGTTTGTGGCTGTTTCTAGTTTTTAACTGCCAGTGAGTCCACTTAGTGAGATTCCCCAAGACGTTGTCAGATTTAGGAAACAGCCACAGACTGAAAAAGTTAGGGTCACTAAAGGTGGAGCAATCACTATACATAATATATATATGAGCTCCTAGAAAAAAGGGACAGATAAATTTTGGGATTGCGTCTCTTAAAGAGGTACATTTGGAGGAAATATTTCCAGACTCCATTCAAGTTGGCGATCAGTCAAAAACACCCACTGGACCACTATTGAGAGACTGTACTGCAACTGGAGGTTTTCATGATGGTGTTGATGTTTTCAAAGGAAAGAAGACACTCACCAATTTTTACGCATCCTTTATCCGTCATGAGCAGGTTTGACACTTTCAAATCTCTTTTCATCATGGAGGTGGGATAAGAGCACACAGGAAGAGAGAGATTAAGTTATTAGAGAAGATAATTAGTGCACACATGATATTAAGAGCTACAAAGAATGCACACACTTCCAAAATCAATGTGAGAGAGGTCCTATGTTGCATGAAGTAAATATTATGGCAGGGTCCGACAAAGAAAGAACACCAGCTGTAGAACTACAACACCCACGATGCTGATAGCCCCAACTGATTTCTGTAAGAGCCGTGTAAAATCTTTTTAAAAGAAGTCAGAGAGCAAAGTGAGCGTTACAAAGCATCGTCCTACCTGTGCACAATGAAGTGTTCGTGCAGATACTGGAGTCCAGTGAGGAGTTGAAAGCAGATACATTTTACCTGTCAGGGAAGATTGGTTTACAATCACCTATGGTTATGTTGGCTTGTAGCAGGTGGTACAGACTGATAGATGACTGAAGGCTATATATAATGAGAACATCTAGGTCAAAGGTCTAGATGTGAAACAATCACCACGGAAACAAATGGAATGTTTTCGCCGTCTGCTCCATAGGTGAAGCAATCACCATGGAAACCATGCAATGTTCATCTAATTGCTTCAAATGGAACATGCTGTTTTTATAATAATTTTCTTTTTATTGGAGTGCACTGGTGTCTTATATATATTGCTAGGACATCAAAAAACAAATACATTGTGGTTTTTCAGACGCTGTCTGCGTAGGAGACAGAATAAAGTATTTTTGCATTTCTTCAGTCTAGGACACCTGTACATGATGGCCAAACCCAACAAATTCACCCTGCAGCAGATGATAAACAGAAGTGTTTAAGGTTGGTACCTGGGCTTCGGAAAATGGGGTCTGCATGTTTTCCAGAAGGCTTGCAAGGTCCTGCTCACAGTAACCCATGACCAGAAAGATGCTGATAGAAAAAAAAGCAAAAGATAACCATTTTTGTTTTACTAAATAATGCTGTACATGCTGACTTCCTGTGCTAAATACTGCAGTGAAATATCCTGTGCAGCATACTACTTTCTAACACACCCTTACCTTTCCAGATGATTCCCAACTACCACTTCCTTCAGCTCCACGATATTGGGGTGTCGCAGTTTCAGGAGCAGTGTGATCTCTCGGAGACTGCTGATAGGAATACCTTGGGAAATCAAGAAGAAATAACTGTGTTTGAGAACTGTAAGAAACTCCACTGGAGAAGGAAGCGACAAACCTTGTCATTCCAGCTTCTCTGGACAAACTCATTGATTGGTGCTTAGTCCCTAATTAATGAGACTCACAGACCACTGTAGATGGAGGGACAATAGTTATCCTATAAAGCATCATCATATTCTCTTATTGTAGAACATGCAGAGTTTTCCTTTATGATTCTACAGTTAGATAATTCTACAAGATCACCTAGCCACTTAATATCAGACAGCCATCACGTTCAGCTTTACATGCATCTGGGCCACTGATCAAAAAAAAAAAAAGAAAAGAAATCACTGCCTGACTCCAATTTTGGCCTGAACTCCCTATGAGCTGGCCAGTGTGGGAGAAAACCCCCACTTGTAGAAAGTGTTGGTAGGGATCAAAGAATAGATTATCTATAGCTCTTCATCATAGTCTGGTCTTAATTCTTTACACAATACCCACATAACTCAGCATGAAAAGACATCCTTTTACTAAAGCAAAACATTTTAATTACCCATTGATATACTTTAAAATAGCCTGTAATTTTCAAGTACCAGACCATTATTTTAAGTCAGACCATCTCAGAGCTCAACGACACTGACAGCATTAGCATAAAGTCACTTCCATCAGATGATGTTTCTGCCTCATTCTGTGGTCCATTAAATAAAAATCATGGGGTAAGACTGGGTCATGATATAAACAATGCACTACAAAATGTAAAAAAAAATAACCTCAACTAATAATGGTGCTTGGTGTGACTCTCGAAGATATCCTAAAATGATAACTTGCTTTTAGACCCCTTGCCTTTCTAAAATAGTATGTGGGCACTCACCATCCTTTTCTTTGTCCATTCTCACCTTCTTCAAGGCTACAATTTCATTGTTTATGGTATCTCTGGCACGATCTGAAATCAGAACAATGGCCAGGCATTAACTGCATTCATCATATTGTGTATCGTGCTGTTTTAAAACCTTTAAAATGACGGGAGATTTCATATATATATATATACACACACACACACACACACACACACACACACACATACATATATATATATACACACACACACACACATCTCAGAAAAAAACGTGGAATTGCATTCTGAATTTAAAATTTTAAGAGTAATATAGCATTAACAAACTATTTTTCATACTTACATACGATACCATATGTGCCCTCTCCAATACGATTTAATTTTAAAAATTCTTTGACACTTCGACATCTTCCAAGCTATGGGGTATTGGGAGGAGAAAAAAAAAAAAAAGGATAGTAAAATGTTTAAATACAGCATGCCAACAAGCAGCTGCAGTTATTTTACCGGCAGACACACAAAAATAAAGTTACCATCATATACATGTATATAATGTTGGTATGTTATTTTTATTTTTTTTTCAAATGTATGCTTTTTATTTAAAAAGAGCACCCACTGTGAATTTAATTAATGCATCACGGTCAGAATCCTAAAGAAACTGCTGTGTTGAGTAAAATGAACACTCCAGACACTATGACCATGACAGCACTCTGTAGTGGTTATGGTGTCCCCTCAATTGTAAGTAGGCAATCCATTTTAGAGCAGTTTGACTTCGGACCTGAGGTGCATTGGACACTACCCCCGCCCAAACTATGTGCGAAGGAGAGCCGGACCTCCTAAGGAGGTGCTTCCATTAACTCTCCTGAGCCATGTCCTGCAATGTTGGGCTCTGCATCTGTAGGTTGTGAGTCTCTTTGTTAATACATATACCTATATATGTGGTTCTTCTCGATCTTAGGTGTAGCTCATGGCCTGAGCTGACTGTTCTCAATTTATTAGCTGCTGGGCTTAGCTCAGACAGAGTAGTAGAAGTAGAAGGAGTGGAGTCCAACGGACTACAGGTAAGAAATCAGTCTGTTCTATAATGGTTTGAACACTTACAACATGGGGCTCCAGGGTATTCTTACACCATAACCACTACGGTGCACTGTAGTAGCTATGGTGATTGGAGAGTACTTTTAATTGATTTCACAGTCGAAACATACAAAAACTACTAACTACCAGGCAGCCTTTTCAAAACATGTCTATCAGAAAGCAGAATTCATAAGAATCGTAAAAGAAAAAGATAAAGTCATTCAGGGTTTCACAGGGCAGCCTAAGCACTTTCACAGCCCAGCCCCCCCCACCCCCCAAAAAACCCAATACTTTCAGGAAGTATTACTTTACTGAGAGGGTGGTGGATGCATGGAATAGCCTTCCAGCTGAAGTAGTAGAGGTTAACACAGTAAAGGAGTTTAAGCATGCGTGGGATAGGCATAAGGCTATCCTAACTATAAGATAAGACTAGGGACTAATGAAAGTATTTTGAAATATTGGGCAGACTAGATGAGCCGAATGGTTCTTATCTGCCGTCACATTCTATATTTCTAAAACAAGCTGAGTGTTTATCAAGATAAAATCAAATACTCACATTGACGGAGTAAAAAGAATATCATAATCCAAAACTATAAAAGGTGGAGCTATCTCCATCAATCACACACCAATCGGCGATGTTACCTTCGGAGGCCTTTGCACAATATACAATGACCCCAGTAGGTGACAGAGTTCTTATTCACTAACAACGAACTGGTCAGGAATTCAAAGTGAATCAACTAGTAGGACAAAAATGCTTAACTGACAATACAACTTACGTGGGTATTTTTACAGAGTTATTAACTAAAATCTGAATTTTCACAAACTAAATCCAAATGGCAAAACAGAGTCAAAAATTGCCAAGATATGCCCATAGCGGAGTTGGAGAATTTTTCGAGATGTTATTTTTGCCTGGGGTTTTCCATTTGGATATAATTCATGAAAAGTTTTAGCTTAGTGAATAGCTCTGTATTGAAGTAAACCCTGTGTAGTGAATATCTCTGTATTGAAGTTAACCCTGTGTAGTGAATAACCCTGTGTAGTGAATAGCTCTGTATTGAAGTTAACCCTGTGTAGTGAATAACCCTGTGTAGTGAATAGCTCTGTATTGAAGTTAACCCTGTGTAGTGAATAACCCTGTGTAGTGAATAGCTCTGTATTGGAGTTAACCCTGTGTAGTGAATAACCCTGCTTAGTGAATAGCTCTGTATTGGAGTTAACCCTGTGTAGTGAATAACCCTGCTTAATAAATAGCTCTGTATTGGAGTTAACCCTGTGTAGTGAATAACCCTGTGTAGTGAATAACCCTGCTTAGTAAATAGCTCTGTATTGACATTAACCCTGTGTAGTGAATAACCCTGTGTAGTGAATAACCCTGTGTAGTGAATAACCCTGTGTAGTGAATAACCCTGCTTAGCGAATAGCTCTGTATTGAAGTTAACCCTGTGTAGTGAATATCTCTGTATTGGAGTTAACCCTGTGTAGTGAATAACCCTGTGTAGTGAATAGCTCTGTATTGGAGTTAACCCTGTGTAGTGAATAGCTCTGTATTGGAGTTAACCCTGTGTAGTGAATAGCTCTGTATTGAAGTTAACCCTGTGTAGTGAATATCTCTGTATTGAAGTTAACCCTGTGTAGTGAATAACCCTGTGTAGTGAATAGCTCTGTATTGAAGTTAACCCTGTGTAGTGAATAACCCTGTGTAGTGAATAGCTCTGTATTGAAGTTAACCCTGTGTAGTGAATAACCCTGTGTAGTGAATAGCTCTGTATTGGAGTTAACCCTGTGTAGTGAATAACCCTGCTTAGTGAATAGCTCTGTATTGGAGTTAACCCTGTGTAGTGAATAACCCTGCTTAATAAATAGCTCTGTATTGGAGTTAACCCTGTGTAGTGAATAACCCTGTGTAGTGAATAACCCTGCTTAGTAAATAGCTCTGTATTGACATTAACCCTGTGTAGTGAATAACCCTGTGTAGTGAATAACCCTGTGTAGTGAATAACCCTGTGTAGTGAATAACCCTGCTTAGCGAATAGCTCTGTATTGAAGTTAACCCTGTGTAGTGAATATCTCTGTATTGGAGTTAACCCTGTGTAGTGAATAACCCTGTGTAGTGAATAGCTCTGTATTGGAGTTAACCCTGTGTAGTGAATAGCTCTGTATTGGAGTTAACCCTGTGTAGTGAATAGCTCTGTATTGAAGTTAATCCTGTGTAGTGAATAACCCTGCTTAGTGAATAGCTCTGTATTGAAGTTAACCCTGTGCAGTGCATAGCTCTGTTTATAATGCATTAATATATATATATTTATTGTTTTTTATCATGTTTTATCATGGTAGCCCCTATTCCTACAGTAATTGTCCTGTGCAGGTGCCCCTCTGCAGTCTATGCCGGACTCACTCTGTCTCCCTCGGGCACGGTGATGAATTGCTCCTCTCTGACACTTTTCAGGCGGATGTGTTCCAGCTCCGGCTCGGGGTCGGCGGTGCTCTCCGCCATGTGTGTGCCGGGCTGGGCTAGCGACGCTGCGGCACGAGGATCAGGAAACACCGCGGTTTCTCGGCCTGTTCGAGGCCTTGTGACTTATTGTGAAATAAGCCGGGTATGGTGGGTACAGCGTGCCCGGAGAGGGCCTGGGACCACCGGAGGGACTAAGGCTTCTGTATGGGGAGCTGTGAGGTCTGCCCCTCTGTCTGCAGGAACCTCCCCACGTGGAGCCCTGGGCAGCTCTCTGCAATGCAAACAGTCTCAATGGATGACATGGGATCATGTAAAGTTTAATTCATTGTCCGGGGTTGAATGCAGTACCTGGGCATGGTCCCAGAGCTCAGTTACATATCCTGCTTAATTTTCCATACCTCCCAAGTGTCCCTGTTTAAGAGAGACAGTCCCTAGTTTGGACCCAAATCACTCTTTCCCTGTTTTCTGTCCTAATGTCTCTCTTTTCTAGGAGCTCCATATTGTTGGTGTGTCTGAGTGTGTAACAGAGCTCCACAGCAATAATGCTCCCAGTAATGTGTCTGAATGTATAACAGAGCTCCACAGCAATAATACTCCCAGTAATGTGTGAGTGTATAACAGAGCTCCACGGCAATAATACTCCCAGTAATGTGTGTGAGTGTATAACAGAGCTCCACAGCAATAATACTCCCAGTAATGTGTCTGAATGTATAACAGAGCTTCACAGCAATAAAACTCCCAGTAATGTGTCTGAGTGTATAACAGAGCTCCACAGCAATAATACTCCCAGTAATGTGTCTGAGTGTATATCAGAGCTCCACAGCAATAATACTCCCAGTAATGTGTCTGAGTGTATAACAGAGCTCCACAGCAATAATACTCCCAGTAATGTGTCTGAGTGTACAACAGAGCTCCACAGCAATAATACTCCCAGTAATGTGTCTGAGTGTATAACAGAGCTCCACAGCAATAATACTCCCAGTAATGTGTCTGAGTGTATAACAGAGCTCCACAGCAATAATACTCCCAGTAATGTGTCTGAATGTATAACAGAGCTTCACAGCAATAAAACTCCCAGTAATGTGTCTGAGTGTATAACAGAGCTCCACGGCAATAATACTCCCAGTAATGTGTCTGAATGTATAACAGAGCTCCACGGCAATAATACTCCCAGTAATGTGTCTGTGTGTATAACAGAGCTCCACAGCAATAATACTTCCAGTAATGTGTCTGAATGTATGACAGAGCTCCACAGCAATAATACTCTCAGTAATGTGTCTGAGTGTATAACAGAGCTCCACAGCAATAATACTCCCAGTAATGTGTCTGAATGTATGACAGAGCTCCACAGCAATAATACTCTCAGTAATGTGTCTGAGTGTATAACAGAGCTCCACAGTAATAATACTCCCAGTAATGTATCTTTAAACTACAATAAATGTGTTTTAGAAATTATTCTATGTGAATAAGATTCATTGTTCTTGTTCTAAATTACATAAATTAGCATAATTTGTATTAATAGTGTATTAATATTGTTTTTGTATTTTATTGTACCCTAATGTAACAATGCAATGATTTGTGGACCCAGGACATACTTGAAAACGAGAGAAATCTCAATGTATTTTTCCTGGTAAAATATTTTATAAATAAATAAATTATTAGTAAACCTAACATTTATCCGAACATGACACACACCGCTCTCCAAATGCTAAAATTAAAGTGTCCCTATACATACTTCTGAAATGTTGGGAGGCATGCTATATAATGCATAATAAAATGTTATTTTTTTTTTTTTTCTTCACTATTAAGGCCACCATAGCCAAACTTTAAAAATTCCCCAAGTCAGCTATGCTTCCTATGTGGCTACCTTGAAATTTGAAACTCTCTTTAAATTCATATTTTAGTGAATAATGCTTCTCCCTTCTGTCATTACTCTCAGCTATAGGGATATTCACCAAAGTGAGAATTTAAAGGACCACTATAGTGCCAGGAAAACATACTCGTTTTCCTGGCACTATAGTACCCTGAGGGTGCCCCCACCCTCAGGGACCCCCTCCTGTCGTGCTCTGGGGAGAGGAAGGGGTTAAACACTCACCTTTCTCCAGCGCCGGACGGGGAGCTCTCCTCCTCCTCTTCGGCTGAATGCGCATGCGCGGCAGGAGCTGCGCGCGCATTCAGACAGTCTCATAGGAAAGCATTCATAATTTTCACAGTGAGAAGCACGCAAACGCCTCTAACGGCTGTCAATGAGACAGCCGCTAGAGGCTTTAGAGGCTGGATTAACCTATTTATAAACATAGCAGTTAGTGATGTCCCGAACTGTTCGCCACGGACTCATCATTGAGTAAACTTTGACCCTGTACCTCACAGTCAGCAGACACATTCCAGCCAATCAGCAGCAGACCCTCCCTCCCAGACCCTCCCACCTCCTGGACAGCTCACTAAGAATGCAGCTTCACAATGGATGCTGTCCAGGAAGTGGGAGGGTCTGGGAGGGAGGATCTGCTGCTGATTGGCTGGAATGTGCTGACTGTGAGGTACAGGGTCAAAGTTTACTCAATGAGGAGTCCGCGGCGAACCGTTCGGCGAACAGTTCGGGACATCACTAATAGCAGTTTCTCTGAAACTGCTATGTTTATAAAAAAATGGGTTAACCCTAGTTGGACCTGGCACCCAGACCACTTCATTAAGCTGAAGTGGTCTGGGTGCCTAGAGTGGTCCTTTAAAGTGAACTTCAACTTCAAGGCCAGAGAGTGGCCAAAATGAAAGCATAACTGACTTAGAGAATATTTCCATTTCACCAGCTTACAGCATAGATTTTAAATTCCCTTTGAAGGCTCACTTTAGTGAATAAACATGTCTGTCTTTTGGCTCTAGCAGAGAAGATGGATCAACAAATGCTAAATTTGTAATATAGAATTATTCACTCCATTCAAAATATGCTTTTATTTTTTTTCTTTAACAAAAATACAAAAAAACCACAAGATGTAAAAACGTCAGTCAGTAAGAGGTTAAAGTGAGTGCAACTTGTGCAATAATCAGCATTTTGAGAATAAAGTCAAACTCAGCTCCTGGTGGAGTGCCATAACATCCTTTTGGAATATAATTGGTTAAAACATATTATAATAAGTATATTATTATAATAACATATTTATTATTATTATTAATAATAATAATAACACACTTCCTGAAACATGTAACTCTGGTTCATGTGACCAGGTATAGCCCACTGGGTCATGTGACCAGGTGTAGCCCCGCCCAGTTTTGGCTTCACCGCCTGTGTTGCCAGGCTCACGCAGAGTCTCGCGAGAGTTGTGCAGGGAGACAGGTGATAGGACCCGGAAGTGTCTCATTTCGGGATCTGGGGGACAGACAGTGAGAGTTACCAGGATGGACGGTGAGAGCTCACACAGACAGACATTACACCCACCTTATTATTATCGCCCTATTTATCAAACACCGACACCACCAGCTCATCGAGGGGGGGGGGGTGTCTGTGTTAGATCTAGGCCCTGTCCTGATATATCCATTATTAGGGACCCCCAAATAGCTGGCACCCCTTAACTCCCTACCCACCTATCAGTTCATTAAACTAGCACTCATTATAGATTAGCAAAACACATGGCCCCCTGTCCTGGGCTCCTCATTGGTCATTGAGGGCTTAATATAGATAATTGTGTATCACCAACCCCAAATAATGCTCTTTAAATCAAAATCCTAAAAAGACCGTCATGCCACCCACCATGCCACCCATCATGCCACCCATCCTGTCAACCACCATGATGCAGCTTGACTTGTTTTCTTATTAAACCACCATGTCAGATTATATATATATATATATATATATATATATATATATATTATATATTTGTTTCTGTTCATGTTATGCTTTGCCCTAGAATTTGTAATAATTGTGGTTTCAGGTGATGCTGTCATGGTGTCATGATGTCATCATGCTTTTTGTAGTTTTGTAGGCATTGCTAATTGTCTTGTGACTGTGTTTGGGGTGTGCCCCTGTAACGTAAAACACTCCCTAGTTCTGTGCTGTGTATTGATTCACTGACAGTGAACTTTGTGCTTGATATGAGCAAATGGAAGGTGTATGAGTGAAAGTACAGCCCCATCAGATAGGCTTGCCTAACTCTTCTGAAGGTTTATATGTAAATAAAGGCAGTTTATGCGTTGAATACCGACTAAAACAATATTTATTAAAAAAAAAAATTTTTTAATATGCTAATAATTTGTTTCTTGATTTGCAGACACAATGTTTCAGCTTAAGGTAGGTAAACACGTAGTTATGTTAAAACAAAAATCATTGTAACTAAAATTGTTTGGTTGTGCTTGTATTAATAATTATTTATATTTGTAAAGACAACCTAGGCTAAAATAAATAAAAAGCAACATGTGTTAGAATTTAAGTGGGTTTTGTTAGCATAAAATATAACTAAGTTTGCCACATTCGCCACAATTTCCTGGAGACATATGGTGTAAATTCTTTTTAATTATTTTTTTTATGTTTATGGTCCCTACTTTAAGTCATCCGGCAGCCCTAAGTATTTTCCAAATAAAATTGGTAAGAGCACACACTTAATTTAAAATAATAAAATGGTATTTAAAATAAAAAAATAAATAAAGCACACACTTTTCAGATTAGGGTGTCATTTTATAAAAAATGTATCCAGGCACAGAAGAAAATCAGAAAACATGACCAAGTAATGTAATATTGCTAAATATATAATTTAGTATCCTGATATTTTCACAATTTTTATACCAGCACCCACAATGCTTGTGGCAGACAGTGCATTTGGAGACGTGACTGCTGCAGAACCTCTCATTTAAGAAGAACATTTTGGTAAAAATGTATATCATTCCATCTGGGCATTTCCAAACTATTTGGTTAACATCATCAACAGGTGGAAAGTGATCCCCTACCAATGTAGACTTTGACATCCTCTCCTTCATTGACTATTGGCCCATGTTAAATCTTTCTTAAATGCAGGGTTGTGTAAGGAAAAAGTTTATTTACATTAATTTTCACGTTGTATATAGATAAGAAACCTAGATCAATGTTGAAATTAAAAATCATCTAAACATTTTCTATTTACCTGTATCTTGTATAATAATGCACACTGTTATGCTGGTAGCCAATTTGCATTACTTGACATCTAGAATGTCTTAAACAGAGGAAAAATATTCCATGTATACATTTGCAATCAGTTTGGTCAGCACCATGTACAGGTTGCCCAACAAATGTCAATTTTGTCATTCTCTTCTCTGTTGATTGGTCCATACTAAATCTCTGAATCAGTCTTATGTAGGTATTAGTTTTTTTTTTATTTTATGTATTTTTATATTTCTAATATCTCCTTAGTCACTGTCGTGAGGATTTTCACTAGTACCCCAACACCTCTAAACAGAATAACAGGCAGCAGACAGTGGCCAACATATAGTTATCACGAAGCGCGTCGGGAGATGAGACTCGAAATAACAGCACATAACGCTCTGTACAGATTTCAAACTCTGCTCAATTTAATGATTCAAAATTCAGACAATATATATAAGAAAAAATTGTCTTATGACATACAGAAGGAATATTTCCATAGTTGATCAATGTACATGGCAAAAGCAAAATGATAGAAGATGCAAGTACCTCAATTGGCAATAATAATATGTCAAACTAACCTAAAATAAACATACGTTGTTCAAAATCATCTACTTTGAAACTAAATATGCATGTTTGCTAAAAGTAGGAAGGGTCAGCTTAACCCCTTAAGGACACATGACGTGTGACATGTCACGATTCCCTTTTATTCCAGAAGTTTGGTCCTTAAGGGGTTAAAAGCATAGGGTTTTCTTAAAGTAATATAGACTTGACAACACTCAATAACTATACTTAAGCAGTAATTCTTATAGATGAGATAGATATATATTATCTTGTGCTCTAATTATAGCTTAGGATATAGGCTTTATCATCTTAATGGTGCGTTGCTAAATTATATCTTTACTAGATATATTTTTAATCCAATAATATATCTACTAAGCATTGCTTTACTTTGTCTTTCCAGATCACCAATTGTTGGTATATATAATATATATTTTTTTTTTCCTTTAGTTCACTGCAAAGCAGTTGGAGAAATTGGCAAAGAAAGCTGAAAAAGATGCCAAAACCGAACAAGCTAAAGTGAAAAAGGTGCCACGATTCTGCATGCACGCGCTAACAGATATGTGATTGTTTGCAGGTTTTTAGGAATAGTTTGTGAAAAGATTAAATGGGCGCATCGTCCAGGAAGTACTGTAGTTTCTTTCCCAACATTTCATTGTACGCCTTCTATTAGTACATTATTGCTGGTTTAAGGTTGTGTGTGTGTGTGTGTGTGTGTGTGTGTGTGTGTGTGTGTGTGTGTGTCACCTAATTTCTTTATTCAGCCTGTTTACATCATATACAAACAGTGTGTAGGGCAGGCTATTCTTTTTTTGAGTTGCATAGTTGCTGGACTACAGATATGTGATCTAGCAAACTGACAATGCACAGCAGCCATATTTGTGTAGCAAGGCTTGTAGAAGTGGCATTTTTATTATGGATTATAGATAAATAATGTGGAAGATAGTCGTTTACATGTGAATTCTCTAATAAATCAGAGGTCAGTATGGGTTTACCTAACAATATAAACCATTTCTAAAGCAAACGCTCAACTCTTCTACATATGGTGCAACAGGTTCTTGTAAATAGAGTATAAGTGGCCTTCAATTTATTAAAACCATGATTAAAGTGTTTTTTGTTTTGTTTTTGTTTTTTAAATTCAGATAAAAAAAAAAATTTAGACTGCAATTCAGTTTGTTTTTCATGTTTGTTTTTGTTTGTTTGTTTAGTTTTTTTCCACATTTTCCAGCTTGCAATACAGTAAAAAATTAAACAAGGTTACTGTACCATATGTATGAAAGGATTGGGATAACTTTTAAAGACTTTAAAAAAAAAAAAAAATCTTATTATTTAAAAATCAAAAAAGTTGCTGAGCTGGAGGCATGTTTTTTTTTTTTTTGTATTTTTGCTTTCCAAACAGGCGTTACAACAGAAGAATGTGGAGGTAGCACGGGTTTATGCGGAGAATGCCATCCGAAAGAAGAACGAGGGGTTGAACTGGCTGCGGATGGCATCGCGAGTGGACGCTGTGGCTTCCAAGGTCCAGACAGCTGTCACCATGAAGGGGGTAGGTGTCTGACATAATCCTGATTTGTGTTCTTGATAATCACTTCCTCATTCCTGGTTTACAAGTTTAACCTGCTATGGAATCTCAACACCCGAAACACAAAGACGTAGATTTTTAGAATCTAACTTTTCCTGGGGAGGGTTTTTTTTTTTTTTTTTACACCTACTGCTCCTGTATGTCGAATGGGTTTTGTTAAAATTGTTTATTTTGTTCTACCTGTTGTACAGTGCTGCAGAGTATGTTAAGGTTAGATAAATTATTTTAAATCTGTCAAATTCACCCAAGAAATAGGAGTCAAAGCTGAAGTGAATAAGGTCCTGAGGTTTATTTACTAAACCGTGAATTGCAAAGCATTGACCAAAGTAGCCGAATTAAAGCCATTCTTTTTTTCAGCGTGTAGAGGTTAGCATCAATTGTGAAATTCCGTTTTTAGATTACTACTTAGTGAGTTTCCTTCCAAAACTTTAGTTGACAGTTTTATTTCAATGTATAATTCTTGTTGAAACAGACATAGACCAAGAGAGGATATAAAATAGGGACTTCCTGTCTAGTCTGTGCCATGTAAAGGGCTCCCACTCTAACCATACTGTGCATTTTGTTAATAGGGTTATTCACTACAGTGAGAGTTCAAAGTAAATTTAAAGGAACACTAAAGGGCTAGGAACACAAACATATATTCCTGACCTAATAGTGCTGAAACCACCATTTAGGAGGCTTGCCCCCGTCCCCTTAAAAGGTTATAAAACCTTATTTTCCAGCGCCATGCTAGTCCACTATCTAAATCGTCGCGGGGGCAGGGCCAAACACCGGCTTGCCCAATCAGCACCTCCTCATAGAAATGCATTGAATCTTGAGGAAAGTTTATGGAGACGCTGAACGGCAGTGCTGCTGCAACACTGCCACAATGTGTTTACATGAAAATGCCTGTAGGGACTGTCATTAAGCTGTAGTTGTTCTGGTGATCATAGTGTCCCTTTAAAAATAGCCAAATTGAAAAAAAGGAATATTCTAGTGAAGCTCCCTGCATAACATTAAAGAGGAATCGTGCGCCCTGCTCTTGTGAGCTTGCAAATGAATGGGAGGCATATTTGAAGGTAGTGGGTGACCCATTAGACGTGATCAGTTTAGAAATATTTATGGGAGAAAAGACTGGCCTTGGTTCTCTTTGAATTGGTGAGTTTTTTTCAGAGAACGTTTAAAGATTCATCTCTCTTCTGGTTTCTTTGTGCTTGGGAAACCCTATGGAGGTGCTAGGCTCTTTTCTATGCGTTTATGCACTGAACTAACAACTGAAATGTTTTCCGTTTACTGCTTGACAGGTAACTAAGAACATGGCCCAGGTGACCAAGGCTTTGGATAAAGCTCTGAGCTCCATGGATCTGCAGAAGGTGTCCGCTGTCATGGATAAATTCGAAACACAGGTTCAGAACTTGGATGTGCACACATCGGTGAGTAAGGGACCAAGACATATTCACTGGATTTGGTTAGTCCATGTGATGTCCAGTTTTTATCTGTCAGGTATTGTTCCCTCCCCAAATTGTTAATAAATTCAGCCCCCATCACCAGTTGACTACATCCAGTATGTAGAAATAAAGCACCCTTTTGGATGAAGAGGAAAATGGCTCATTGTTAAAGTTTAATATTGTTTTTTTGATAGAATATGAATATTCTATAAAGGATGGATTGCTGTAGCATTTGTTGTGTTGTGACCACATGGTTGGCATTGCAGAGGGACACAGTGACGTATTTGTGTGCCACACTGGTTTCTCTCTGGGGCTTTCCAGTCACACTGGCTGCCCTTGCTTGGTTTTTCCTCCTCATCCCCCCTCCCTCCCCCCCCAAGCTTCCAAGTCAGTCTGTGCCTTCATGTGTTTGATGTAAAGCAGGCACCATTTGCCTCAATGCTGAAGCCAGATATTATTGAGACTGCTGACTTGTTTTTCCTTTTCAATCCCATACATTTTCTAATTCCATGATAGTGGGAGGAAACTGTGTGGTTAATAACCTTCACAGTGTTTCTGTGAAACTTAAAAAGCACACAAAACTCACATTTTGATTCATTAAAATAAGTTTTATTGTTTACACAAGCTGTAACAGTCTAGTTGGAAAAACTCAAGTCCGTATCTGGACTGGAGGTCAGGGGAGCTGGAGTGCTAGGGCTGGAAGACCACATTTGGCCATATTTCCATACTGATGAAAGTTGTTTATCCCCTGCAAAACCTCTTATGTTTCCTTCTATCAGGTGATGGATGATGCTATGAGCTCAGCGATGACCCTGACTACACCGCAGGAACAAGTGGACAGCCTGATCTTACAGGTTGCAGAGGAAAATGGGTTGGAGGTGATGGATCAGTTGAGCCAGTTACCCCAGGGAGCTACTTCAGTGGGAGAGAGCTCCACACGCACCCCAGAGGACCAGCTGTCTCGCAGGTTAGTACCCTGTGTCCTGTATTTATTTAGGCAGAGAACACTGCATGGAAGCTCATGGTCATGTCTAGCTGTGGGTTACAGATATAGTATGACTTTGGTGTGTGTAAATAAAGGGACACTCTAAGCACCAACATAACTTTAGCTGGATTAAAGGGACACTATAGTCACCAAAACAACTTTATCTTGGTTCAATTCTTTGCAATTTAGAAGTTAAATTACCTTTTGTTTCTGTTCATGCAGCCCTAGCCATGCCTCCTCTGGCTTGTGGGTGTAACAACCAGCAATAAAAAAAGTTTAATTTTCGATAATATGTTAATTTACTTTAGAAGTTTTTATGTACTGTTGTGTAAATTGAACTGTAATCGCATACAGGAGACTCCTGTAGGCAGGGGTGTATTTACCCCGAGGCAAACAAGGCATTTGCTTTGGGCGGCACTTTCTGGGGTGTGGCAAAAAAAGCCGCCCCCCCAATCGCTCTGGCAAATGCCGGAATTATGTCATTCCTGCTCTGGCATCACTACGCAGCGCGCAAGGGAGCTGAACAGAAGGATTAGTGCTCCCTCGCCAACTGCAGTCACCGCCCAGCCGCCCACCAGCCCCACTGGGCGGCACTTTCTGGGGTGTGGCAAAAAAAGCCCCCCGCCGCCCAATCGCTCTGGCAAATGCCAGAATTATGTCATTCCTGCTCTGGCATCACTACGCAGCGCACAAGGGAGCTGAACAGAAGGATTAGTGCTCCCTCGCCAACTGCAGTCACCGCCCAGCCGCCCACCAGCCCCACTGGGCGGCACTTTCTGGGGTGTGGCAAAAAAAGCCCCCCGCCGCCCAATCGCTCTGGCAAATGCCAGAATTATGTCATTCCTGCTCTGGCATCACTACGCAGCGCACAAGGGAGCTGAACAGAAGGATTAGTGCTCCCTCGCCAACTGCAGTCACCGCCCAGCCGCCCACCACTGGACCCCAGGGAAAGTGTTAATCCACCCCAGCATTCCCAAAGGTACCGAGGCTGGGGGGATAGAACTTTTGTGTGTGTGTGTGTGTGTGTGTGTGTGTGTGTGTGATCTAGCAATCTATTAACCGTGCAGCATTTAAAACATTCTAAAATAAACAATTTGCAGCACAGGAAGTGTAAACTTTAGATCTCCCTTTACAGGAAGTGTTTAGGAAGGCTGTGCAAGTCATATGCAGGGAGGTGTGGCTAGGACTGCATAAACAGTGATTTAACTCCTAAATGGCAGAGAATTGAGCAGTGAGACTCCAGGGGCATAATCTATACACCAAAACTGCTTCATTTAGCTAAATTTGTTTTGGTGACTGTAGTGTTCCATTAAGTTGTTTTGGTGTATAGATCATGCTGCTGCAGTCTCACTGTTGCCCATAATCTGCCATTTAGGAGTTGAACCACTTTCTTTATTCTGCCCTAGCCACTTCCATAGCTGAGAATCACAAAACCTCCCTACACACTACTTGAAGAAAAAAAAATCTTTACTTGTACAGTGTGTTTACATTAGAATTTCCTGCTGTGTCAATTACCTATTCGAGCCTGCAACAGTCTGACAAATACAACTTGATCTCTATTTTGTGCCAGCAGAATTGCTAACAAATGTCTATATTTTTCTAAAATCAGAGACCAAAAAACAGCCCTTTGCCCCTTCTGTCAATCAATTCAGAGGAGGCTGTGCTCTGCATTTCTGCTTTCAGAGATATCCTTCTCTGGTTGTCTCTCCTGTTTGCCTTCACCCTAAGAGAGAAAGCAAGGGGAAAGAGGGAAGATGGGCACATCACACGTGCTTTGGCCTTGGAACAAACTAGAGACTAAGGTGCTATAGCGTTAGGAATACAGGTTTGTATTTGTAACGCTATAGTGTTCCTTTAATAAAGATACGAACCTTCAAACACACACTGTGCTCTAAAAATGTACAAACATGTGTTTCTGGTCCTATAGTGTTAAAAACACCATCTTCTCACCCCCCCCCTCCCCCCCTTTGCCTAACTAAATATAGTAAACGTTTGCTTGTTTTTAAGTCTGCAGCTGCTGCTTCTGCCCCTGTCTGTCTCTGACCTGCCTGCTGTTTACTGACATCATCAGAAGTGCTGGTCTGAGCCAATCACAATGCTTCCCCATAAGATTGGCTGAGATGGAGGTAGATCAGGGGCAGAGCCAGCACAAATCAAACACAGCCCTGGCAGATCAGCATCTCCTCATTGAATCAATTCATCTTTATGAGGAATGTTCAGTGTTTGCATGCAGAGGGTGGAGACACTGAATGGCAGTGCTTCTACTGCAGTAAGCTGTAATGCAATAAGCTGTAGTTGTTCTGGTGACTATAGTGTCCCTTTAAGTTTTTTAGTGCTCATGTATCCCTTTAATACTAAGACTATATAGAGTGCACCCCAAATATTTTCACTTAATGCTTACGTTTCTTTTCTTCTTTTAGGCTGGCTGCTCTGAGGAACTGAAATTTCACCATATCGTCTGTTTCCTGGAAATCCAGGTGTCACCATATCGCACTGTGGCATCTGCCAGTCTCTATGGGAGGGTACTCTGTTGCTGTCCAATGTTTGTGCAGTGCTTGATCCCGAGACTGACCCAACCATGGATAGTATCCTCACAGCATCAGTCAAGGCCCTAGCTTAGCTCTTATGTACTTGGCCAAAATCGCACTATGAAACCGTCTCCTGTTCCTGCACTATCCCTGCTTTCATTAAGACCATTGCCAGATGTGGTCTCACGTAGAGGCATTGATAACGGGTCTTTTAAGCATACCGTCCTAGAAATCCTGGGTTCCTGGTAGGGTCATCTCAACACTACTCTAAATTAAACATTTGTTCAGGTCTAACCTACCCACAGGTAATATGCTTCCTTGGTTTTTGGAGGTTTTATTTTGGCTAGTGTTCCGGTGTTTCTTTTTCCTATACACACTAAAATAGTCCATCCGTTTTATCGTTAGCTAGGTTTTATTAATGTTCATTTTTGTTTGTTTTAATCCTACTTTGGATTAAGGACTCTGGTGCCTTAATACATATTAACTCTATCACCTGTAAGATTTGGCAATATCATCGCAGTAATGGTCAAGTGACATCTCTTCCACTTGATTTCAAACAAAACCGAAGAAACTTCAGTCGGCCACCTCTTTTAGGAGCTGTAGATCTACTAGTTGGGCATTTCGCTCTTGTATGTAAGTGTGGTAATTCAAAGTGAATTATCCTTCATAGGTACAAAAATGACTGTAAACTAACACATTTTTAACTCATTGTTCACGGGCCAGATTCAGGGTAATAAACGAGTAATATTTCAGGCAATCTTTGGAAAATGGAGCATGTAGTTTTGTGTGCAGATGCTCATATCCGCACTTTCTAACCGATGATGGTTTGTGTTAGGTAGAGTGCTATTTGATAACTCTGTTTCACGTTTTGCCATTGGAGTATTTGACTCCAAAGCACTAAATTCACATGGGTGCATTTTTTTTACTCCAAGATTGCCAAACTCCTCCACAAAGTCTGTTTTCTGACTGCTGCTACCTCTAGTGCTGTAAAGGTTGCAACATGTTGTTGTTTTTTTTGTGTGCCTGTTAACCTGTTAAGTGCTGGAGGACAGTACCAATAGCATCCATTATTTTGTGCAGAGAATAACACATTTTGCAATGCGACTGCACACTGGGTACTGTATCTGTTGTGTATGTTAAAGACCACATACTTACAATTAGTCATTAGAAATAAGGTAATCAAACTCTGCTCTACTGCACGAGTCGGTAGGTGTTTGTCCTGCAGCAGGAAAGCTCGATTTGATTACTCAATCCTATTAGAAATTAATTACTTGTTAACAGGCTGTCTACCGTGAGAGTGTCTCACAACAGGCTATCTCCCACTGGAGTTTTGTAGCATCACTGCAAAAATGAGTTGTCTTTTATATATGTAAAAAATGCCTTGTTTATACATTTTTTATTTTTTTTATTTTTATTTTTCCTTTCTTTTTTGTTTGTTTGTAATTTATCTGGTTTTTCGTTTTTGTTTTTTTCTTGTGTGTTTCATTTATGTTTCAAAATAAAATCTGATTTCGAAGTATGAATTTTGTGTAGTGTGTGTGTGTGTGTGTTTTTATTTTTAATTTTTTTTTCCCTTTTTTTTCCCATTTTTCTTTTTCTTTATGTGACTATAAAATATTTTTTTTTTTAATTTTTTTTCAGTTTTCTTCTTCAATGGGAAAATAACTTATTTGGTTAAAAGAAAATGGGAACACAAAAACCTAACTGAATGTTCCTACAATTTTAGGAAATTTAATAAAACTATTGTAGTTTTTGCTTCCTTAAAGGATATAAGTGCCCTGAGGGTGCCCCTCCCGCCGGGCTCTGGGGAGAGGAAGGGGTTAAAATCTTACCTTTCTCCAGCGCTGGGCGGGGAGCTCTTCGGCTGCATTCGCGGCAGGAGCTGCGCGCGCATTCAGCCAGTCTCATAGGAAAGCATTCATAATGCTTTTCTATGGACGCTTGTGTCTTCTCACTGTGATTTTCACAGTGAGAAGAATGCAAACGCCTCTAGCAGCTGTCAATGAGACAGCCACTAGAGGCTTTAGAGGCTGGATTAACCCTCAGTGTAAACATAGCAGCTTCTCTGAAACTGCTATGTTTATTAAAAAAAGGGTTAATCCTAGAGGGACCTGGCACCCAGACCACTTAATTAAGCTGAAGTGGTCTGGGTGCCTAGAGTGGTCCTTTAATTTTACTCCATAATATCACTATATAGTTCTCCAAAAACACTACAGAGGACCACTCTTGGTTTTACTGTGATCTTATATATTAAAAAAAAAATTACAATATTTACAATATAAATTTGAGATATAGACTAACTCCCTCCCTTATGTGCGTCTTTCTTAATATTAGACATTTGAGTATGTTACAATGCAAAATAAACTATAAATGTATTTCAAGATGGTCTTAAAGGTATACTGTAAGTGCCAGGAATACAAAGATGCCATAGTTCCTTCTGCCTTCCCCATGCCTGGGAATATAAAGGGTTAAAACCCATTTATTTACTTGACTTTTCCCAGTGCTGATGTCCCTAGGTGCTGGGTCGACACTCTGGACCCACTGCGTTTCCTAGTAAGTCCCCCCTTAACCCATTTAGGATAATAGTTTGACAGTCTTTTATCTTGACATGTAACTGGTCTTAAAAGGGTTAATTTGTGCTTTTCCTGAGATGTTAAATTTTTGATTAGTGACCTCCTTTTGTCTTTATTTCAGTGTTTACTATGCACGCCATCTAGTGGTATAAAAATAAGAATGCATGTAAATGTTTACTGTATGTGTTTTATTTATGGGATACCAAAATGAAAACAGGCCCAGCCACCTACAAAGAAATGTACTATTCCTACTTATATTTAACTTTATTTTTTCCATACCATTATATGGTTAACTAAATCGGGAATTTTAAAGGGTTGCTCAAATTTATTTATTTTTTTAGGGGGGAGGAAGGGGGTCAATCTAAAATTTCATTTTGGGCTCTATTAAATAGGTCCCCCTATACATTTTGCAGTAAACTTCTATCTGTGTGCTTCCTGCTATGCACATAATAGCAGAAACAACAATTATTGTTGGGAGTGCTGATCCATTTTTATTTATTTATTACTGGTGTGGCCATACTGGACGTATATACAGCACCCCACTTTACTAAGAGGTCATCTATTTTATGTTGTACTGCAATGTGTGGTCATGAGGTGCACAGGATCTGGAAAGAAAATGATTTGGCAATCTCCCATGGCTGCTGTCCTTGTGGGGTTGAAAATGTCTACTTGTGTTCTGGCTATCTGGGCACCATGCATTATCTGCTAAACAATATCTCTGTTCTGAACTCTACACATTTTGGCATAAATCCCTGGCCAAATAATGTGGAGGACATGGTCTCATAGCACTGATCACACATTCACAAATCCCATCTCTATGCAGTCAGAAATTTGCAACTACTTAGCAAGACAACTATGCTCAACTTCTAGTCTTGGTCCCACGGGCTAAACTGGCTGATTGCTCAGCTGAGGCTATCAACTGACGAGCTAGCACAGCATGTGGGTGATACCCCAATGCAAACTTGTCCTGATTTCTTCTGATATGCTTCTTGTTCAATGTTCTTTTCTTATGTAACTTATTTTTCCTCCCTATTTCATGCCATCAGTTCACATAATTACTTTTTGTATATCATACCTTTACTTGTTACCATGTAATTACACCAAAATAGGGACTGTCCCTCCAAAATAGGGGCACTTGGGAGGTATGCATTTCACTCCTATCATAGCAGATTTGTGACCATGCTTGATTATTGGGTATTAGATGTTTGATGTGCTTGGTTCCCTCCCTCAGTTCCTCCAGTGGATCCTGACTCGAGGGGTAGTCCTCACAAACTTCTCCTCCTGCAGCCATTCCTGAGCCTGAATTTATTATATTTGTTATACATTTTATAAATTTATAATATGCTTTTGTCCAACAGTCAGAGAATTGCATCCACAGACTCCATGCACCATAACTACTACAATGAACTGCAGTCGTTATTGTACTTTGAGTGTCCCTTTTAAAGAAAACAAATACCGTTTGTAGCATTAACTCCGCTAAGCAGAATATAAATCAGCACAACACATATAAGCAAGCTATATCATTTATTAGATTTCTATAAAACAAGTTTCCCAAGTGAAAACGGAAATGTAATAACACATTATGACCATTAACATTTTTAGCCTGCGGTTGAATTAAAGAATCTTAGCGATGACAAGTCTCAACTTAATAGAATTACTTTCACTGGAGATGAATCTCTTGCAATAGCACTGCTTCCTGTAGACATTCATTTATACAATTAGGTGCTGGTAATAGTTGGTTCTGTTTAAGCCATTATATTACAAGATCCATATAATCAGCAAACGCTAACAGGATTATTCACTAAAGTGTGAATTCAAAGTAAATTTCAAGGCCAAAGAAGCTGAACTGGAAGCATAGCGGAACTATCAAATTTTTCTGCTTTGGCTTCATTTGAAATTCACAGTTTGGAGATGAACCCTTTAAGAGTTTAAGAAGTGCAATATAAACAGGTCCAGAAAATATAAATCCTTCTTAAAAGAACACTCCAAGCACCATAACCACTAATGTGCTGTAGTGGTTATGGTGCCAGGAGTGCCTTAGCACCCCCCATTGTAAGTAGTCAGTCTTAAAATGGTTTGTCTATTTATCTGGGGTCTACCAGGTCGTGAACCCCACCCTCAGGGTCCCTCTCCCGCTGGACTGAAGGGGTTAAAACCCCTTCAGCACCTTACCTTTTTCCAGCGCCGGGCTCCCTCGGCGCTGGTGAACTCTCCTTACCTGCCGACGTCAGCGGAGCTGCTTGCGCGGCAAGAGCCGCGCGCACATTCAAGCTGTCAATAGGAAAGCATTTTTCAATGCTTTCCTATGGACGCTCTGCGTGATGGAGGCATAATATGCCTCCAGCGTCGCAGATGCGCTTCTAGTGGCTGTTTGGAAGACAGCCACTAGAGGCTGGCTTAACCATGCAATGTAAACATAGCAGTTTCTTTGAAACTGCTATGTTTGCATCTGCAGGGTTAAAACCTGAGGGACCTGGCACCCAGACCCCTTCATTGAGCTGAAGTGGTCTGGGTGACTATAGTGTCCCTTAAATGCCTATCTACACATTCTGCTATTACCACTGCCGCTTCTCTATGCACATACCCATATTTATTCTAATCTAATGTGTCATCGAATCTAAAGCGAGCCTCAATTTTTGCACATTTATACAGAAAGATACAACTATACAACATTGTGCTACAATGAAAATGTTTGTCATATACCATAGCAACATTGATGGTATTTCAATTTAAGTGTTACATGTTAAGTCTATTCTTTCTGAAGCCCTCTTTCCAGAATGAAATTTGCCTGTGTGAATTCGCCAGAATGCAATTTGCCGGAAAATTTAGAATTTTAACCCGAATGTAATGCGCTATCAAATCTAAAGCCCATTCAAATTTTTACAACTTTATTTTCCAAAAAAGTGCGCATTAGATTCAAGTAAATACGGTATGTATGTGTATGTGTGTATATATATATACACACACTGAACAAAATTATAAATGCAACACTTTTGTTTTTGCCCCTATTTTTCATGAGCTGAACTCTGTCTAAATCTGTGTTAGTGAGCACTTCTCCAGGTGTGGCATATCAAGATGCTGATTAGACAGCATTATTATTGCACAGATGTGCCACAAGAAAAAGCCATTCTAAAATGTGCAGTTTTACTGTATTGGTGGGTCCGGGGGGTCCTGCAGTCAGGTCGAAACCCCGATGAGGACGACGAGCATGCAAATGAGCTTTCCTGAGACAGTTCTGACAGTTTGTGCAGAAATTCTTTGGTTATGCAAACGGATTGTTGCGGTAGCTGGTCTCAGACGATCTTGGAGGTGAAGATGCTGAATGTGGAGGTCCTGGGCTGGTGTGGTTACACGTGGTCTGCGGTGAGGCCGGTTGGATGTACTGCTAAATTCTCTGAAATGCCTTTGGAGACGGCTTATGGTAGAGAAATAAACATTCAATTCACGGGCAACAACTCTGGTGGACATTCCTGCAGTCAGCATGCCAATTGCGCGCTCCCTCAAAACTTGCAACATCTGTGGCATTGTGCTGTGTGATAAAACTGCACCTTTCAGAGTGGCCTCTTATTGTGTGCCCTTATAGTGTCTGCGTAACCAGCAATAAACTGACATTGTTTTTAACTACACCCTACTGCGTGCTTCTCATTCCTGCTTCCAGAGGCTTAGTCCCATTGTTCATTCTCCATATCCCTCTTCTTGCTGATCAGATGTACATTGAGAGTGCCTGGGTAGAAATTCCTCACAACAGATATATATAATATATATTTATTTTAAATTTAGTCTTCATTGTGAAAATAAACAGAACTATACACAAGGTGGCAGGAAAGGCGTTAAGGTTTCATTACCCAATGATTTAGTCCATATTTTGAAGCATTGAATAAGTATCCCAGATTATAAAAAACACTTAAAACGCAAATAAATAGGAAAAAGACCTAAAAATTGATATACTGGAATGGAATGTGGCTCTTCGATCTGTCTACTCCACAGCCCACTGTTTAAACATTATGGAAGCTCATTATAAGTTGGTAAATAGGTGGCATATGACACCCGCTAGGATATGCAAGTTTTCAAACTCTGATAACCTGGAATGTTGGAGGTGTGGAGCAGAGGAAGCGGATGAAATGCATAGATGGTGGAATTGTATACCGATAAGGAGATCCTGGGATCGATTTCTAGTAGAAATTAGTAGACTTCTGGGTATCACACATAATCGGACACCTGAGATATTACTGTTACATTTAAAATTACCGCAATTAACTAAAGACAAGAAATACTTTTTGATTCATGCACTGATGGCTTTTAAGATATCCATCACTAGAAACTGGAAAAAGACAACAATAGATACATGGCAGCAAATTAAGGAAGCTATTAGAACTCAATGGAAAATGGAAAGAGGCATAGCCTCTAACTTCTGTATTAGTACAGAAATATGAAATTTGGGATAAATGGATTAGGATCCTTGAAAGACCCTCCTTGGAATGAGAGATTAAACTCATGTAATGCTAAGCACGATTGTGAATTGTAATAATGGAAATTGTATATCTTGATTCAGGGCAATATTTAAACCCACAAACTTGTTGTATGGAAATAGAAGCGACAAATATATGTTTGTATGTTTATACAAATATCATCTATGCCTGTTGACCATACCAACAACATATAATCATTTTTTGCATGTGTCCTTTCATGTCTTTTATGTTTTTTTTTTGTATTAAAAAATGGAAAAAAACTAATAAATTATGTAAAAAAAAAAAAAGAATAAGTATCCCAGTAAAGAGCTGCTTGAGTACACGAAGGAGCAAACATTGAACTGATTTCAGTCTGTGTTTCTCAATCAAAAAAAAAGAGTGTAGACCAAACATAGGACAAGAACTGCTTTTCCCAAGAGCTGACGCTCTGCTGTGTTATAATCGTAGCCATAGCTTGTGCGACAATCACTCTTTATCTTTTCATATTCAATGGCGTCGTCGGTGGCAGGAGATGAACTCATACTATTCTTCACCTACAAAGGAAAACAGAGTGTTAGTGGGGAATAATTCCAAGTTAAAGACCTACCTCTATTTAAAACTTTACCTTTTCCACTTCCCGAAATACACGCAGGAAATTCTGGGCTAGAGCTTTGTGAAGCTCATCATGGGTCCAGTTTCTTTTTAATAGTTCGGCCACTAGATCTGGGTATTTTGAGACATCTTCCAAGCCTTCTGGAACCCTGTTGACAAGAGACCAGCATCAAACCAGGAGAACGATGGACAAACAAAGTACAGCACTTTGACTGATAAAATATAGTCTCTTTGTTGTCTGGTCTAAGCCTCAGCTTTTTGCCATCTAAATCTTGGCCATGCAGTTCATACTCTTTGCTACCCACCAAGTTCCAAATTATAGTTAAAGGGATACTGTAGGCATCAAAACAACTTAAGCTTTAAGAAGCAGTTTTGGTGTATAGATCATGCCCCTGCAGTCTCACTTCTCGATTATCTAATATTTAGGAGTTTAATCACTTGTGTTTCTGTTTATACAGCCCTAGCCACACCTCCCCCTGGCTGTGACTGACGCAACCTACTTGAAAAAAAGATTTCATTTTCAATCAGAAGTTAACTTGTTTTAGAAGTGTTTTCTTTCTCCTGCTCTGTAAATTAAACTTTAATCACACACAGGATGCTCTTGCAGGATCTAGAAGGCAGGAGATAAAATATTCTAAATTAAGCAGAATGCACAATACAGGAACCAAAAATATCTAGGTTACTTTTCAGGAAGTGTTTAGGAAGGGAGGTGCAGGGAGGTGTGACTAGAGTTGCATAAACAAAGTGATTTAACTTCTAAAAGGCAGAGAATTGAGCAGTGAGACTGCAGGGGAATTGTCTATACACCAAAACGGCCACATTAAGATAAACCTGTTTTAGTGCCATAGTGTCCCTTTAATGGAATACATAGCATTCGGAATACAACCATGTGTTCCTAACGCTCTAGTGTCCTAGCTCCTAGTTAACATGTAAACAAAATTATGAAAAAGTTTTATTTACCTTTTTTCCAGAGCTGAGACCCACTTGATGTTGCTGCCCGCTCCTTCACCTGTGATGTTATTTTGTAGGCATCACTTGCTGTCTTCTAGCCCAATCCAATGCTCCTCGTACAGAAGCACTGGGGAGGCGGTTGCGTCCTGTCAAATGCTCCTGACAGGGAAGCATTGAATTCAAGGATTCCCTATCAGCCGCATTTGATGACATTTGAAGTTCTCATAGAAGTCAAATGTCACATTACTAAGTAAAACTCGGTCATATCAGGGCAAGCGCCTCTAGTGGCTGTCAGGAGGTTTAACCCTTCAATGAAAACACTGCCATATCTACTAAATGCTAATGCTTTACATTGCTGGTTCAAAGGACACGGTCACTGCACCCAGACCACTTCATTGAGAGGACGTGATCTATGTGCGTTTAGTGTCCCTTTAAACAATCGAGCTTAATAATCATATTTGTATTTTAAATTATTCTAGGAGTTGAGTTTTTCTAGTTCAACCAAACCCTACAGATCAGGAAAGGCTTCTCATGAACTTGAATGTGTTCATTAGACTGTTTGTCCTTGTCTGTCAATAAAGTTTCTCGATTCAGTGTTTTTGCTAGAGCTATTACCCTGAGAGGGTATGAGAATTAAAGCTTTTGTCTTTAAGATGAAATGTTATCGAGTCCGGTCCTGATTCCAAGTTAGAGGCCTCACTCAAAATGTGTTTGGTCCTCACCATCTAACTATAAAGAATAAAAGCATTCCAATTACAGGTATTTCTCCATCTTCACCTCCAGAATCATACGTTCACCTTGGCATATTGCACAGTGTGATAAGCATAATGGGCATCTTTTTTTTGCTGATAACCAGGGCAAGAACATCAGAGATGTGGTAGTGAAGGCAGAGAAGTACTCATAACCTAGACAGAAATTTCTGACCAAACCTGCATTTGGGACATTCCCATGTTTATCTTGTAACCATTACAATGGGGTGATCAAAGAGAACATTAGTGCATCATCGTACAGGGAAGAGATTTCGTTTTAAAGGTTGTTTTTTTTTCACTCTCAGACTGACCATGTAGCATACCTACTGAAATGTCCCTGGTTTAGGTTGTCATTAAAACAATTTGGCTCCTTGAAGGGGGCACTGTAATCGTTTGGGGACTTTGCCAAATTTGTTCCCCTGATGTTAACACTCGGGGTCCAGTGGCCGAGGGTGACAGGTAAAGGTGAGTTTTGCTCCAGCGTGGTCCTCCTCAGTGCTGGCCTTGCGCATGCTTGAGAGTACAGCATTGAGATCTATGGGGGATTCCGCAAGACCATGGCATCTGCCATAGACACAGCCACTTCCCTGCAACTGTCGCTGATGACGGCTGCAGGGATTGACACTTATGCTTTGCCTAAGTCAAGAAAAGTTAGGCGGAGGAGAAATACAAAGACAAATATAGTCTAACACAGTCATAATGAGTATTTCATAAAGATTTTATCTTTATGAAATACTCATTTCTCGGGGGGGGGGGAGGGGGTGGGGGACAGTGCCGCTTTAAGGACAGGGTCTCTGAACAGAAGTCCTCTATTAGAAACCTCTCTTCTAATTTCTCCAAGAAAGCCATGTTTTCAATTCGGCTTTTATTGGCATCAAATTTAAAATCACTTTGCATACCTGACAATACACACTTAACTGAATAACCCTGTTTGTTTGTTTCTGTCTATTTCAGGAAACAAAGACAGGCATTTCTACAACAGGCTGTATTTTACATTTTACCTGGGAACACCGTCATAGTCTCCCCCAAAGCCAACTGACTCAATACCGGCAACCTTCTTAATGTAGTCAAAGTGGTCTGTGAACAGAGAGCAGCATTCAGATGTGCAAACAGAGAAACAAATCATAGCCAGGTAGCAGGACCTGGAATGATTAAAAAGGGGTCCTATGGAGAGGGATTAGGGATGGAGATCCCAAGAAGTGGTTTGCTAATTATTGAACAAATTAAACATGACGACAAAAGCCTACCAGAAGCAGACTAGACTAACCGACTAGCCTAGTTGTTTTTTAACCCCTTAAGGACACATGACATGTGTAACATGTCATGATTCCCTTTTATTCCAGAAGTTTGGTCCTTAAGGGGTTAAACCTATACTATACTGTAGGATATACAATGTACTAGCGTGTGGGCTTAATAAGCAGATTTCTTGATTAATATTGGAAACCTTGGACATACCACAGGACCAATGATCAGTACACTGCTAGGGAATAAAAGGGAACATTAACTGTGTCTGCTGGAAGTGGATGAAAATGGGGAAGGTGAGTAATTAGAAACTGACGGGCCAGGGTGCAAGAATTAATGAAGGGTCCCCTCCTTGCCCCAAGTGTTGTGTGTATGTAGGTGGGAGTGGCTGGGTGTGATGTTTGTGTGATTGGCTGGGTGTGATGTGTGTGGAGTTTGGTTGAGTGGGATGTGTGAAATTGGCTGGGAGTGATATGTGTGTGGGGTTTGGCTGAGTGGGATGTGTGTGAGAGTGACTGCATGTGATATGTGTGCTTGGGGTTTAGCTGGGTGTGATGTGTGTCGGGTTTGGCTGAGTGGGATGTGTGTGAGAGTGACTGCATGTGATATGTGTGCTTGGGGTTTAGCTGGGTGTGATGTGTGTGGGGTTTGGCTGAGTGGGATGTGTGAGAGTGACTGCATGTGATATGTGTGTGGGGTTTAGCTGAGTGGGATGTATGCGAGATTGTGGTATGTGTGGTGTTGTCTGCGGGAGGATGTGTGTGGGGACTGGGAACCTATGGGAGGATGTGTTGGATGTTTTCCCTTATATTTTATTCTACTTATTTAATAAAATACAAAAAACTAAAATGTTACTAGCTCCTGCTGATCTTATTCCCGAGAGGGCATATAATCAATTAATCCCTGTTGGTTACTCTTGAACTCCTATACTCTCCCTGGTGGTCCAGTGGGGGAGTATGTGGTCTGCACCTTAAGCTAGTGCAGACCGGAGTAAATGCTCCTCTGGTCAGTGTGTTGCTATGGTAACCAAGCATCATACTGTCTAATTTACAGAGTGATGGGAGTCGGGACTGCAACAAGGGAGCATTTAAAGTGGTCTGCACCTATTTCTAATATTGTTTTTCTTTTCTATTAGCATAGTATTGTTTAGTATTTTCTATTATACATTTTCTTATCTAACTTACCTGCCACATTAGAAATATTTGCAGAGTTACTGCAGGTGACATAATCATTAAAGAAGTTAACCATCACCAGGCCATTTTTCGCCTTCTGTTTGTAAAAAAAAAAAAAAAGAAGCTTTTAACTGGTTGTTTTTTTTAATAGCATCCAGGAATAATGTAATAAAATAGGTCCAATCTATCCGCATTCTTGCTCTATCAGTAATTGTAATACAGCAGAGGTCATCAAAAGAGGCATAGGAGAAATAGAGCAATCCGTGTACATTTTTATTTTATGGCCCTTGCTACACTAAAGTGTGAATTGTTAGGACCTCAAACTAAATTAAAATTGTTAGGCTAAAATAGTTGAACCAAAAGCATAGATAACATTGTGAATTTTTCCAGTTCTGCTACTTTGGCCTCAAATGTGACATTTTCGAGAATAGACATATTTTAGTAAATAATAAGCTTGGGATCGATGTATTCACTAAGCAGTTTTTAAGATGAGTTGCCTAGAGTTGTCCAAATAGCTCAGTAGACATTAGGCTATCACAACTCATTGCACACAAACTAGTCCATACCCCTATCCCCTGTCTTTCATCCCTAATTCACATCGCTATACTCAGATCTGTGCCTTGGTAAAAAAAAAAAAAAGGAAAAAATTAATTCCTAATATCCCCGATCTTCAGTACTCACCACTATCTGAAGAACCTCATCGGGGACGTTGCGGGCATGCTTACATACTCTGTACGCAGACGAGTGACTGAAGATCACGGGGGCTTTAGAGATCTCTAGAGCATCTTTCATCGTTTTCACTGAGACGTGGGCTAAATCAATGATCATCCCTAAGCGGTTCATCTCTAAGATCACTTTCTGTAGGGGGTATGATAATTATGAAAGGGAAAACTGTTATAACTTTTATTATTTGATAGGATAATTATATCTAAGCAGCCCGCCATCTTGTCATCACCAGCCATTTTGTTATAAGGTGCTCTGTTGAACTCAGACGCCATATTGTACTCACAGTCTAAATTGTTGATTACTGCTTTAAACAAGATAATTTCTCCTAAAACAATCTATACATATATTTTATACTAACTCACAGGTAGCAGTGACATTTCACACATATTGTATCTAGACAATGTTTCCTGTTCAGATGGGAATTTAGGGAACTAGCAACATTGCAAATTTAGGACATGGTCAAATGGACAGTCGTGCGCAACTTCCATTGTTCCTTTTGCACCTTAAATTAATTGTGGTGTCTGGCTTAATGTAACGCACTTGACATGCGCATAGTCGCCTTTATCGGTATATTCAGTTAACCTTAGTCCCCAATCCCCACTAAAACGCAGACTACAAGTTAACGTTGGAAAATATTTGTCCACAGCTTTATTTACACATTAGATATGCATGAACACATAAGGTCATTGCCAACGCCTAACACACATTACTTAAATGCCCCTCACCCATGGAATGTAATTAATCCTGGCAATGACCGCCCCATATATAAACCACGATGTAACAATAATAATAAATATATAACACATAACACACCAGCCAAGTGGCACGATTGCCAATATAATGAAACTGAGCTCGAACCTACCAAACAACTGTAACCCCCGTGAGTATTTTCCCACTCAACCTAACCCTGCACTTTATTCACTCACTCTACCCCGCCAACCTATCTAATCCCACTGCTGGGACCAAACAGGAAATACCGCAAGTAGTACAAAGGGAGGGTGGGACAACTACAGGTAAGTGTAGACTAATTAAAATGCCAACTACCTAAGATGGCTGATATATATACCAACCACTAAGCCCACCCCTATTAACCCACTAGCTAATCAATTCAATTGCTTCCTATGCCTGCCTCCTAGCTCTACCAAGGTCCATTCCACTTGCTATGTTGCTCAATGGGCTACATGTTCTTAGCATTTACCCAAGATGTCTTATGATTCTGTGTACTGCAATACCATTATATAACTAACAGGCTATGCCAATAAAGATAAGAGTTGATTTGAAACCTGACTATCTTGGTCTCATGTCAGTCAATTCTCGGAGCTCATATTTGTGTTGTGCTGGTTGGACTTCCAAGTATGGACTGCAGCTGTTAAGATTCCCCGGGGAAGACATTTAGCCCTTACATTGTGTATTATTTCAAATAAATGATTACACCTACTATATAGAGTGTTTCATTTTGCAGTAAAGTAAGTAATGAAATATAAATCCTTTTAGTGCCTTTTTGGGCTTACATTTGAATTGGGGGAGTAACCATCTTGGGTCATAATCATCTATTATTTGCTAGTGTGTGTTCACAGATTCTAATGACATGGCCAAACTTCAGGCATCTCAAATATCTGAGCTCGTTCCAGCCTTTCAAACTGAGCATGGTTTACAGTCATATGTGACAATGCTGACCAAAGAGGACTTATACATGTTATCCACACAAAACAAGGGTTAGCCGAGATCATTGATGCTAACTATGGCCTCAAGACTGCGCAAGAATCATGGGAAATGTAGTTCCCACTCTAATAGGAGGACCAATCAGTAACACAAAAATAATGATGCTTTAGACTTAAGTTAAAAAGTTACTCCAACTACCATGACCACTTCAGTGATGCGCATGCGCTCTTAGCCAGCGAAACGGACCAATCACAGACTTCTCTATGGGAAGCCTGCAAGCAAAATACATACATGTTTCCTTTGAAGGTATATCTTCTAAATTATAAACAAAAATAAACTTTTAATGGAGTGTTCCTTTAAAGAACATGGGAGAGACAGCCTTTGGCCTTCCACATGATAAAAACTCTTGATCCTACCCTACCAAGGACTAAATAGAGCGAAGAAATCTCATAGAATTCAAAAAGCTAGCTGAGGATAATGGAAGTTATGACTCATCAAACAAGGATTTCTTGTCTGATTTAATTTTAAACACATTTGATTATTTTCACAATCCTCATATACTCTGTATCATAAAGTCTTGGTAGATCTCCATGTATTTATATCTGAGCACTTACCTTCCCAAATTCAGAAATACCATTGTTTTCAGCAGAGTCACCTCCGGAATCTACACGCCAGTTGTCAACCCTGAGGAGCAGAAGAAAAGACTACTAACAAGATACAGAAATATGACAAAGGGTGCATTTCAGAGGACTCCATAATATGTATTCACCTCTCAATAATACACCACAATTAAAAGACATGTTAGCGATAGCCGAACGGAGAACTGTGAAGTTTATACCTTTATAAAGATGTCCCAGTTAACTGGGAAGTGTATCACCCAATCACGCAATTTGTTAAATACCTATTTCCTGGAGCTGTAATGGATCTGGTTCTAGGTATAACATACCTTGAGTCTAGTGTTTTAAAATGTAGCACTCAACCTCTCCCCAATAGGAGAATCAATGGAACACCAGAAAATGAGCTATTCTATCAACACTAGATGTCCTTCTCCTATAATGTTTTGGCAGCCTCTCACATTGTGGAGATATCTGCTAGTAAGCATAATAATGCCAAGACTTCTGATCTCCTCCAACCAGCCATGATTATACTATTTAGATAAGCCCCCTTTACTGGCCAGGTTCTAGGCATTTTCTTAGGGTGCACTGTTACAGACCTCCCAAAGCCCCAAATTTAGGGTGCCAAGGAACTGCACTTTAACAGTACCCTGCACATGTGTATCCCTGACTGAGTGAGACGGCCAAGAGAGATGGACAGTTGCAGGATAGTAAGCTCAGTAGTGGATCTATTATATATATTATGGGGTGAGGGGCTTTGAGAGTGTCAGGGGGTTGATAGATTATCTTGAACCAGGGGCAGGCACCTTCCATTGGCTACTTACAACACTGATGTACCCCCAATGCCTAGAATTAAAGGACCACTATAGTGCCAGGAAAACATACTTGTTTTCCTGGCACTATAGTGCCCTGAGGGTGCCCCCACCCTAAGGGTCCCACTCCCGCCGGGCTGGATGGAGAGGAAGGGGTTAAACACTTAGACTCTCCTCCTCCTTTCCCCGTCATCGGCTGAATGCGCATGCGCACGCATTCAGCCAGTCTCATAGGAATGCATTCTCAATGCTTTCCTATGGATGCTGGCGTCTTCTCACTGTGAAAATCACAGTGAGAAGCGTGGAAGCGCCTCTAGCGGCTGTCGATGAGACAGCCACTAGAGGTTGGATTAACCCTAAAGTAAACATAGCAGTTTCTCTGAAACTGCTATGTTTACAACAGAAAGGGTTAATCCTAGGTGGACTTGGCACCCAGACCACTTCATTAAGCTGAAGTGGTATGGGTGCCTATAGTGGTCCTTTAATCTGTAGGAATCAGATACTTTAGTCAGTGATATTACATACGTCGTAAATCTTAGATACCAAAATAGCCTTAACCCCTGCCCACACCTCCAGATGCAACCCATAAAAAGCAAAGTGTCCCCCTTTAAAATGTAAAATGTTGAAAGCTATACCTCAGTAAGAATTACAAATAAAATCTATATATTCAAGTGAAACCAGCTGACATTTGAAGAGGATAGAAAACTGGCAAAGAAAATTACTTTTAGAATTCCTTTTTTAATTAAACAGTGTTGGATAAACAAAATAACTACAGGAAAACAATACATTTTTTAAAAGTTTAATGTTTAAGCTACCAGGTCCTACGTGCTCATTACTCCCCCTGAACCTCCCCTCCCATCCCCAAAAAAACAGTTTGAAGTGATTTCTAACTCTGCAACTAAATGTGAAAAAAAATTCTTGTTGACTCCAATATGTCAATCAAATTCCTCCTATTTCTTGGAAACAAGCATATTCCCTGTTAAATCCTTTTTTTTCTCTTTCAAGATTGGACATCATTTAAAATAAACATCTGTCCTTCTTCCTTTGTGTTAACAGCAGTTACAGATTATTATTATTATTATTATGTTATTTATATAGTGCCATCAAATTCCGCAGCGCTTCATTTGTGGCCTCCATTCTTAAGGCAAATTGGTTATAATAATCCTCAAATTGGTCTCCATCACTTTGTATCCTGATCTGGCCAAAGTTTCTCAGGCTGCTTGACTTTTATAAATGTTCTTCCACAAGTTAACTGATGATGGGTCCACCACGTCTCACGAGCAGAAGAAACTCTGTTTATTTTGGTTTTCAATGTTTATTTTGGCAGGGCCTATCACACCTCCATTTTTCTTTAGAAAAAAAATAAATAAATACATGATAAATTGAAATAGTGTCACCAATAAAGTTATCTTTTTCCGTAGGCCCATCACACTGCCACCAGTGCTTTTTGCATTCCTCCACTTCTTTAAGATAATGGTGGTAGACTGATATATTGGCACCGGTTTGTTGGTTTCTTCTTTTGCATATCTGGTGAAATTTTGGCCCGTGTGACTCACGCCATGGTCGGGGCTTTGAAGTATAGCAGTGCGTTGATCATCTCATGCAGTAGTGTCTCCACCAGGTCTTTTTGTGGTCTACATTTTAATAGTGGCTCACTCAGGTGGATTGAGCAAGAATAGTCAGCTTTCCTGTAGCGACACTGGCCACCGCTCAGTGTCATCCTCTTGTTCCACTTCATCTCTGTCCCGTCCAGCAAGCCCCAGAAAAACATAATGTTAAACTGTGAGAATAAAGCCTTGATGTCTGGATTGGGATCAATAAATTTCCATCTTGGGTTGACCAACGCTCTTGCGTTAGGTTTATCCATTCTGCTTGTTGTTTTATCGGTAATGTTATACCCTTGAGCAAGACCCCCAGATAAACATAACGTCAGACTTTGAAAACAAGGCCTTGATATTTGTGTTAGGATCAATTACTTCCGACATTGGGTCAATCATGGATCTTTTGGGGGATTTTCATGATTCCAGAGGTGGATTTTCATGATTCCAGAGCAGGATTTTCATGATTCCAGAGCAGGATTGCCCAGGGGTCTTGTCATTGACTTTATCTGGTTAAGGAACCTCCTGCTCAGACTTGTCTTTTAGTTTAATGCTTAATATAGAATATCCCTCCTCTTCTAACCCATTGCTTAGTAACCATCCTCCCAGTGACTCAGTGCTCACTATTTTGCAACTGCTTGTTGCTTTTCAAACTCACCTAATAGAAACTACTGCAGGCAGAAAGAGCACATGATACAAAAAAAATAGAAAGGGACAGTTGCAAAATAGTGAGCATAGGGGTCAGATTACTATCAGAAGGCATGGGGATTTAAAAAAAATAATCTTATACATGAATTAAAAAAATAATAATAATATGGTATATTATAACATGATTATGTTAAGATATTAGAAAATGTCACTGTTCATTTCCTTTATAATACCTCCCGAATGTCTCTCTTCAGTAAAGACACTAATTGGTCTTAATCAAATCCCCAAATCCTCGTCTATCTCACTAACCTTTTGGTGCAGCAAATTTTTTTTTTTTTTTAAATGTATTTTATTTTTCATTAGTACATCGTAGTATCTCAGTACGGGGTGAATGTTCGGTGTTTAACTGTAAATAAAGACACCGTACTCATGAGTTTTATCATTTAATCAGCGATAAATGATTTTAGAATTTATGATTTTTATACACAGTATGTTGCTCTGAGGTGAAGGCAGTTCATTAGAGATGTTTCCTTTTAGCTTAAAGAAGCAAGCTGAATTGTTAGTTTAGGAGTCACCTAAGAGGTTTTGCCTTGGCAAGTGAGCTTACACTTTAATGGCTATTTAAGTGATACTAAAAAAAAAACAAAAAACCTCCAGTTATGTAAACGTACATAGGGATTTGGTGTAGTGCACAGGTGACTCTTTTTTTGGTTTCTGTTCTATGAATTTGGGCTGATGAATTCAATAGCCATTGCTGCTGCCCAAGAGTAGTGGGAGTTTAAAACTGCAATGTTTTACATTGCATTTTTAAGGGGACAGGGGCCCTGCACATAGACCACTTCAATGGCTGATTATATTGTCCCTTTAATAATTTTGAAATGCTATTCCTGTGGTTTTGCATGACTATGATCAGTGACTTGCCACAGTTTTGCTTCCCAGATAATGTTTTTGTCAGATCATGACATGGCTCTGGAAGTTAACCAATTAACAGCACCCTGGGTATACACTGGCCTGTCAGGGACCATTATCCAATCACCACAGACATGCACTGACACCTGTAATATGGTGCTTTACTATAAACATCTTTTACTCCTCTTTTAAAACTGTATTTTTATTTATATTTATTTTAGCACCACTTATAAACTCTATACATTGTGGTCACTCCGTATCGAGTCAGTTCACTGAGCAGCAATAGTATTTTGTTTTGCCAACAGCACTATGTCACACAAAAATTCAGTTTGCTCTCCAGGCGTATCGTACCAACGTTGGCAAAAAATATGGTTATAAGCACAGCAAAAATGCTCATTAAAGGAACACTATAGTGTCAAGAATACAAATATGTATTCCTGACACTTTAGTTTGAAACCCCCAAAGTTAAAAAGGTGTTGATCTTAGACAGTCCAATGCTTTCCCATAGGAAAGCATTGGGAGGCTATTGCACATGTGCGGCAAAATGGCACACTGCACCAAGCAGCATCTCCTCATACAGAGCCTGGAGACGCTGAATGCCAGTACTGCACTGCGTGCAATACTGACCCAGGAAGCGCCTGTAGTGGCTGTCTGAGAGACTGGTCCGGTGTTACTAGGCAGCAATGTATACATTGCCTTTTTTCTTAAAAGGAAGCATGTACATGTAAATCCATGCAGAGACAGGCTATAGACACCAAAACAACTACATTAAGCTGTAGTGGTTCTGGTGACTATACTGTCCCTTTAAGAACAGGGTGGCCAAATGGTCAGTAGTTTGTGCTCTGAGATCGCTGTGTTCTGTCTGAGAGAGAGCATGATCTCTGTATGGCCCTGCCCCCTCAGACTGAACACAACGATCAGAGAGGAAGAGAGAGAAAGGTGATAAATGTCAGAATGTCAACTTTTATGTATCATACATAGCAGGTACAGATACACACACACACACCATTCAGCACCACGGGAGTGGGACCCTGAAGGGAGGGGGCACCCTCAGGGCACTATAGTGGTCCTTTAAGGTGTCCAGACCCCTTGTAACCTACGTAAAAGGTAAGTTTAATTACATTAATTCCAGTGCCGTTGGCTCCTTCCCGGTCTGCTCCTTGGCTGATATCAGAAAAAAAATGATGATCTCAGCCAATCCAATACTTTCCCATAGGAAAGCATTGGGAGGCTATTGCAGATGCGTGAAAAAACGCTGTGTTGGCCAATCAGCATCTCTTCATAGAGATGCAATGAATCAATGCACCTCTGTAGGGAATGTTCAGCGTCTCCATGCAAAGCGTGGGACTCTGAAAGTCAGTGCTGCACCCAGGAAGCACCTCTTGTGGCCATCTGAGTGACTGCCCCTGGATGTGTTACTAGGCAGTAATGTAAACCCTGCCTTTTCTCTGAAATGGCTGTGTTTACAGCAAAAAGCCTGCAGGGGCAGGATGTAGACACCATAACAACTACATTCAGCTGTAGGTGTTCTGGTGACTATAGTGTCCTTTTAAGGCCAGAGTAGTCAAACTGGAAGCATGTAATATCTATGTACCTCCAGTAGGGGCTGTGGGTGGCCAGAGACACTGATTTTGTGTTAAATTGCTTGAAATTGGTTTAACACTGAATAAACAGACATACAGACAACCTATTCAATAAGGTGAAATGGTTATAGTGCCAACATTGTCTCAAAGTAACCCAGGCTACTTCATCTCAGTGAAATGGTCTGGCTGCAGCAGTCCTAATTTTAACCCGTCATGGTAAAGCTTTGCCATTATGCAAACAGGACATTGTTTACCTTTAATACTGACAGCCTTTAGAGGGGCTTCTGTTGCACTGAACGAGTAAATTTCAGCCACATGAAGTGGAAGCTCATAGGGAAGCATTGGATTCAATCCTTTCCTATGAGAAGCAGTGGGTCTGTGCTTGTCATATTTGTCCCCTTCTCAGCCCCTCTCTGTCATTGTCCCTTTCACCAGGCCCTTTTGTGTGCCATTCTCTCTTCCCCCATGGCGCGCGTCATGTAGCATGGCCATCCTCACCTGGGTAGAGGATTTACTGTTTCCTGGACCAGGACTAACATGAAGCTGTTTGGTGCTCTCACCTTCGGCCACGCTACATGAAGTTACCGGAAGGAGGGGGAGCGCTGAGCCCATTCAGAGCCCAGATATTACAACCCCGGGCTGGTGCGCCCTAAGGCAGCCGCCTTTGATGTTTTATGGTAGCGACAGCCCTGCTGACACACTACCTACATACACCTATGAATATCGATTTAGTGACAAGTTGTTTTTTTTTTTACTGCAAGTGGTATGCCTTGGGGAGCAAGTGTAAGTTATCCCACACTAGACAAAAATGTATACTATTTCAGTGCCACAAGGAACAGCAGTGCTGTGCATTACTCTTCTCTCCACTAAAAGGACAAATAACACCTAATTAAAGTATTTATGGGATTCATTTAGGCCCCTTAAATACCCTGAGAAACCTCACCCGATATTGTGTTTTTATAGGGTGGTAAATTTGGCTATAATAATAAGAATAATATATATGTGAGATAACATCAAGTGGTCTTGCTATGCAAGAACACTTAAATATATATGTTTAACTTCCCTTCTAGTAATGGATATAACACAAAGATCTCCTCAAATCTTCAACAAATATGCTTACAATATAGGGTGGATCTAACTAGGGGCAATAAGAATAAAACATAGCGCAACTCTGTAACATAGAAACATAGAATGTGACGGCAGATAAGAACCATTTGGCCCATCTAGTCTGCCCAATTTTCTAAATACTTTCATTAGTCCCTGGCCTTATCTTATAGTTATGATAGCCTTATGCCTATCACACACATGCTTTAACTCCTTTACTGTGTTAACCTCTACCACTTCAGCTGGAAGGCTATTCCATGCATCCACTACCCTCTCAGTAAAGTAATACTTCCTGATATTTTTAAACCTTTGCCCCTCTAATTTAAGACTATGTCCTCTTGTTGTGGTAGTTTTTCTTATTTTATATGTAGTCTCCTCCTTTACTGGGTTGATTCCCTTTATATATTTTATATATATTTATAGATTTGTGGACCCAGGACATACTTGAAAACGAGAGAAATCGCAATGTATCTTTCCTGGTAAAATATCTTATAAATAAATAAATAAAATATTTAAATGTTTCTATCATATCCCCCCGTCTCGATTTTCCTCCAAACTATACATGTTAAGATCAGTGGCGTACACATGACCCATGGGGCCCCGGTGCGAAAATTGATCCGTGGGCCCCCCTCCCCCCGCGCTTACTCGGCGCGGGTCGGGGCCGCAACACATGGCGGCGGGCACCTGGTCGCAGGGGTTGCAGGGCTGCGACCCCGCGACCGCGGTATGCACACACACTTAAAGGACCACTACAGACACCCAGATCACATCAGCTCAATTAAGTGGTCTGGGTGCCAGGTCCCTCTAGTTTTAACCCTGCAGCTGAAAACATAGCAGTGAAAACGGCTATGTTTCACTGAGGGTTAATCCAGCCTCTGGTGGCTGTCTCATTGACAGCTGCTAGAGGAGCTTCCGCGATTCTCAAGACACTGAACGTCCATAGGAAAGCATTGAATAATGCTTTCCTATGGGCGGTTTAAATGCGCGCGCGCGCGCCTCTTGCCACGCATTTGCATTCGGAGCTGAGAGGCGGACACTGGGGAGTCCGACGCTGGAGAAAGGTAAATGCTGAAGAGACACACACACAAACTCTCACGAACAGACGCATACACACTAGCTAACAGACACACACATTTACTGACAGAGACACACTCAAACAGACATACATACACACTCACTTACAAAACATACACTTTCACTGACAAACACACACTCACTAACAGACAAACACACTCAGTAACAGACACACACAGTAACACACTCACTAGCAGACACACACCCAATAACAGACACACTCACTAACACACGCACTAACGCAAACACTAATACACACACTAACACACATACACTAACATACACTAACACACACACACACACATACACTAACACACACATACACTAACACACACATACACTAAGACACACATACTAAGACACACATACTAAGACACACATACTAAGACACACACTAACACATTTTTATTTTTTAAATTTAATCCCCCCAGCCTCCTTACCTATTGGAGTGCTGGGGGGATTCCCTGGGGTCCAGTGGTGCTGCTGCTGGGCAGGCAGGCGGGAGGGCGCGCGAGGGAGCACTTTCCCCTGAGTGCTTCCTCTTCAGCTCCCTCGCGCGCCGCTTAGGGATGCCGGCGCCGGAAGATGACATCATCTTCCGGCTCCGGTATCAGTGCGGTGCGCGAGGGAGCTGAAGAGGAAGCACTGAGTGCTCCCTCACGCGCCCTCTCGCCTGCCTGCCCGATCGGCCACCCGCCTGCCCGGTGACAGCAGGGCCAGCCTCTGGGGGCCCTGGGGTGGCCGGCTCCTGGGCCCCTCAGGAGAAGAGGCTGGCCCTGTGGCTACATACCGGGTCGCAGGGGCGGCCGGGCCCCCTGGTGGGCCGGGCCCGGTCGCAGCCGCGACCCCTGCGACCCTGGTATGTACGCCACTGGTTAAGATCCTTTAACCTTTCCTGGTAAGTTTTATCCCGCAATCCATGAACCAGTTTAGTAGCCCTTCTCTGAACCCTCTCTAAGGTATCAATATCCTTCTGGAGATACGGTCTCCAGTACTGCGTACAATACTCCAAGTGAGGTCTCACCAGTGTTCTGTACAATGGCATGAACACTTCCCTCTTTCTACTGCTAATGCCTCTCCCTATACAACCAAGCATTCTGCTAGCATTTCCTGCTGCTCTATTACATTGTCTGCCTACCTTTAAGTCATCAGAAATAATCACCCCTAAATCCCTTTCCTCAGATGTTGAGGTTAGGACTCTATCAAATATTCTGTACTCTGCCCTTGGGTTTTTACATCCAAGATGCATTATCTTGCACTTATCCACATTAAATGTCAGTTGCCACAATTCTGACTATTTTTCTAGTTTACCTAAATCATTTGCCATTTGGCTTATCCCTCCTGGAACATCATCCCTGTTACATATCTTAGTATCATTATCTGTAGAACCCAGATACAGTGATTATTAGTGCCAATGGGTCACTCACACTTTGATTGAATAAAAAGGGCATTCAGCAATCATTGGAGATCTGAAGTTGTGCCTCTCTCTTAGTACAAAAAAGGATATGCTTACTATATGATACACTAGAAAAACACACCCTCAGAGAAGTGTACCTCACACACACACTATAAAGAATAAACACAAGGACGTATATATAAAAACCCAAAGGTGATATATACAAATAGAGGGTGGTTGAGAACAATACAACCTGAATATGGCTGAAAATGAACGTGGAATCTATAAAATAGCAAAATACAAAATATAGTGAAGTAAGTTAGGCAAAATTGGATTTGCACGTGGTAGAAAACTTACAAGAAGGGAGTAGTAATCACGCCTGTCATCCTGTCAGGGGTACTTTCCACATTGGAGACCGAATATATATGGCGAGGACTGACAATATCACTTTTTCTTCAGCTCAGGAATAAAATATCCCTTTTTCCTTCAGCTCAGGAACAAAAGAAAAAATATAGATAGTGCAGATTGTATAAAAATAACAAAATTTATTCCAAATATTGCACTTACAAGAAATCAGAAGTAAGACAGCATATCTCCATAATGAAGTAATGGCCGGGTCTCCAGGTGAAAGTAGAGAGAGATCCCAAAATGGAGGTACACAAAATTAAAAAATATAAAATAAAATAAATAAAAATAACAAATGGACTATAATAACAGCTGTATATTAGCATAAAAAGTCCAAAAGTCCAAAAGTAAAAAAAAAAATTGTCAGTCCTCGCCATATATATTCGGTCTCCAATGTGGAAAGTACCCCTGACAGGATGACAGGCGTGATTACTACTCCCTTCTTGTAAGTTTTCTACCACGTGCAAATCCAATTTTGCCTAACTTACTTCACTATATTTTGTATTTTGCTATTTTATAGATTCCACGTTCATTTTCAGCCATATTCAGGTTGTATTGTTCTCAACCACCCTCTATTTGTATATATCACCTTTGGGTTTTTATATATACCTCTCTCTTAGTAGTTGATATTGCAGGTCTCAGCAGCATGTAAAATAAAGTGCATCCAGAATAAGGTGATAGCAGACTGAAGTAAATATATTTATTATTTACACAGAAGTAAAAAACAGTCAGCATTAAATACAGGTGAAATCTATCCAACGCGTTTCATCCCACTCAGGGACTTCCTCTGGGACTGCGTCTTATTCAAAAGACAGGTACAAAACGCATAAAAATATCCCCCCCGCCCTCCCTCCTAAATACACCCCACAATCAGTCCATAATTCCTATCCATGTGGTGCTTCTGTTCTGTTTCGGCTGTCCGCGATCAAATCTTGATTACGTCCTGCTTCCCTGACTGGGATGAAACGCGTTGGATAGATTTCACCTGTATTTAATGCTGACTGTTTTTTTACTTCTGTGTAATTAATAAATATATTTATACTATACTTCAATCTGCTATCACCTTATTCTGGATGCACTTTATTTTACATGCTGCTGAGACCTGCAATATCAACTACTAAGAGAGAGGCACAACTTCAGATCTCCAATGATTGCTGAATGCCCTTTTTATTCAATCAAAGTGTGAGTGACCCATTGGCACTAATAATCACTTTATCTGGGTTCTACAGAGTTGCACTATGTTTTATTCTTATTGCCCCTAGTTGGATCCACCTTATATTATATGTATTTTGACAGGTGCACAAGAAAATATATTGAGTCTGGTAAAACTGGTTTGGCAGCATAAACATAACATAGGAAGCCCCTGAACTTACCCAGAGAAATAATTCAGACTTAAAGAATCCCTCCAAACTTCAACATTACATTGGGGAGCTGTGGTGGTTATGGTGCTAAGAGTGCACTGGTAATCCCCCCTCCAAAGTAAGCAGTCAAACCATTTGCTAACTGTTTAATAACTTACCTGGGGTCAATGGGGCTCAGTCCCAGCCTCCGTGTAAGCCAGAAGCTCTCTGCATTTGGCCAAGCCTGACGGTACAGGGCTAAGATCATTGGCTAAGTGCAATCAGCTGATATTGTCAGCCAATGAGCTGTCCCTGCATGACCGAGTTTAACTCAGGAGAGCTAATGAAAGGTCCTTGCTGGAGCTTCTGGCTTTCATGGAGAAAGTGACCAGCAGCCAAGGTAAGTTGTCAGTCCATTAGCAAATGGCTTGACTACTTATTTTTAGGATGCACGAAGGCACTGCACGCTATAGTGGTTATGGTGTTTGGAGTGTTCCATTAACAGGGTTATTCACCAAATTAAAAAAGGGAATCTCAACCCCATACTCCAGGAGGTAATCAGGGTTATGGTTCTTAATCCACTCTTGTACCAAACAAAAGCGGTGCACAACTTTTACGCTCACAATACATCCTAGATCAACCAAAAAAAGTAATATTGTTTGTGTAGAAATATACCCCTGGTGAGTGTGCCATGGACCCTCCATGCTTGCAGTGTCGAGTAACTTTTAGGTCTCTATAGTAGTGTTGGACTTGAAATTTGGAGCCCTGTGCTAAGTGGTGGTTGGTATAATTGGAGTCACACATGGGTAGCATGCTGATGTTAAACACAATCTGCCTGTGCTTTTGAAGTTTGAAGAATCTACTAACTGTTGGTATTCACAGCTTAATGTAAGCTTTCTAACAGAGAAGCTCAGAAAAAAAAGTCCTTATTAAGGAATAGGCTCATAAATTGCTGTTTAACAAGGTCATTCATAAAGGCACACTGTGGGCACTATAACTATTTCATCTCACTGATTTGGTTATAGCGCGTGGAGTTCTCTGGCACTAACCCTCCTTACAGTGTTAAACCATTTTATTTAGAAATTTAATAATAAGTAAGGGAACCTGGCTATCCACAGCCCGGCCCCTAATGGACGTTTGGCTACGGCAGAGATTACACACTTCCTTCTAACTATATCCACAATGGGCACTGTGTTAGGCTGAAAATGGTCAGCTGACACTTTCAGCCAATCACAGCTGTCTATTGCTGCACAGGCTAATGCTTCTACTTTAGCCCAAGCAGCACAGGGGTTGGGCCGCTGGGGACTCACGTTCAGCTTTAAACAGATTAAAGGGACACTATAGTCACCTGAACAACTTTAGCTTAATGAAGCAGTTTTGGTGTATAGAACATGCCCCTGCAGCCTCACTGCTCATTCCTCTGCCATTTAGGAGATAAATCCCTTTGTTTATGAACACTAGTCACACCTCCCTGCATGTGACTTGCACAGCCTTCCATAAACACTTCCTATTTAGGCCTTCTTTATTGCAAGTTCTGTTTAATTAAGATTTTCTTATCCCCTGCTATGTTAATAGCTTGCTAGACCCTGCAAGAGCCTCCTGTATGTGATTAAAGTTCAATTTAGAGATTGAAATACAATTATTTAAGGTAAATTACATCTGTTTGAAAGTGAAACCAGTTTTTTTTTCATGCAGGCTCTGCATAAACAGAAACAAAGTGATTTAACTCCTAAATGACAGTGAATTGAGCAGTGAAATTGCAGGGGAATGATCTATACACTAAAACTGCTTTATTTAGCTAAAGTAATTTAGGTGACTATAGTGTTCCTTTAACACTAAATGGAAGGATGGCCAGGCACTATAACTACTTCATTGAGATGGAACAGTTACAGTACCTATAGTGTCCCCTTTAAAGCAATTGTTGCTTGTGTTTCTTTTCAAATAATGTGATTTGGCTGATTAAACATCAGAATGTTATATGTAACAAGTGATTACATGTCATCCTTTTTGAGTCAAGGCTCTTTACCAGAACATACCTTTATAGTGTTTCGGCTTATGGTAGAATTTTATATGTGTCAACTATTGACAGAAAATATGTAACTGTGTATTTAAAACTGTTCCTAAACTAAACAACTTGAACTTGTTAAAATCGTTATTAAAGAAACACTGTAGAGTTAGGAATATAAATGTGAGCCCTGATAACTGTTTAGGTTCCCGGTTCCACCTGTAGGGAGAAGAAAAAGCAGTTTTACTTAGCTTTCCTCCCTCGCAGTGCTGATCTCGTCCCACTGCCTTGGCTGAGGTCACTGAGCCCCCGATGATCTCAGCCAATTCAATGCTTTCCCATAGGAAAGCATTTGGAGACTAGTGCGCAAGCATGGAAAAATACCATGCTACCCTAATCAGATGGTCTTCAGAACAGCAATCTTTTCACTAGAAAGGCTAAACCAGGGTGGACCATGATATATAGATTAAGTGGTCTGGGTGCCTATATTGTCCCTTTAGCAATGTCATTACATGCTTGGTATCTCCAGCTAACCTAACACCATTCAAATCTCAAACTTGACAAAACGGATACAGCCTATGGATCTTACCAGGGAGCATTGCAGCTGTGTGTAAGTGTCATATATCGCACGCCCAGCATGTAGAAGGTACGCAGGGTTCCCAAACTGCTGTCAATCGAATGAGCACCTTCCACGCCTATCAGACTGGCAATTTTTCTGTCATGAAAGGCGTCCTCAATCCCTGAATGGAAGAGAAAATGAATACAATCAGATATACACGCAAGACAGACGTTTGCACGGACAGTATCCTTTATTTCACAACCATGGTAAAACCAGCCTGTGCCGGGTCACTTAGTGCTCACTTTTACAGGACATTGTCTGCGTTCTTCAATGCACTTTGTTGCTATTCCTTTGTACCCCTTCCTTCATCTGAACTCCCCATTTCCAGTTTCCTGGTTCTAGACTGCTTGTTAATGTATCTCTTGATTTGTTATACCAACTCTGACCCTGTGCCATCGAACCTGACCTTTGTGCTCTCCTTACTATATATTCTAGATTGTCCTGATCCATGCAATTTGTGAGAGGCCTATATCCTGTTGTTGGCTACGAGGTCTACTCTCTCGTCTCTCTTAGGCTCCTTCCCTTATTCTGGGCATGCTTGATAAAAAATCTGTTACTGCCTTGATATTGAGGATGCACATGTAGTGGGAACGCACAATCCCGTTGTAATTGGTGAGGGTACATGGAACCTCATACATGCCAATAACAACGAAGTTAGCTAGTTAATAACTGGTGTCTCTCTGAAGTCATCAATTAAGTTAAAACAATGGTAACCAAAATGTATTAGCTCGCCCCTCATCACTGCTCCATGGCTGGACTACTATTAGCCTCCTACCCTCTCCAGTCTCACCAATCCATACATTTTATAATCTAGTGACAATAATCTCCCATGGTCCAGTCTGTGTAGAATAGCTATAGACAACAAGAAGCTCGCCAGCTTGTAGTCATTTATGACTTTCGTCATGCTCCATAAACCTAGGCATTTTACAGGATTATCACGATGAGAACCACCGATAACCTGCAAATCACATCCTTCACTGACAACTGTCTTGTTTAGGCTACGTGTAGCTGCCCGTTTATCAAAAATCCACTACTCTATTGCTCGCCCAGCCAGTCGTTCTTGCCTTTAACACTGTCCACAAAAACGAAAACGTCGGGATAATCTTCACACATTCTGTGAACAACATCAATCTGTTCCAGCGTCCTTTTTACGGCATCTTTCCCCTGAGTGTCACATGGAACATAGGCTGCCCAGAACTGCGGGGTAAAAGAGAGGGGTTTTATAAAACTTTGCTGAACAATTATACACATTTTATAAATCTTATGTCAACCCTTCACCAAAGCCATGGATCTCGTGTATCAAGGTGAAAGGGGCTCAAAGTGCTGGAAGATAGTGCTAAAGAGTTGCTCCAAGCACCATGATCAGTTCAGTGAGTCCATGTTCATGGTGCTTGGCGTTTGTATGAAACCCTGAACATACTGAGTTTTACTCTTTACTGCCAGAGGTTTAACTCGAACAAGAGTTCTGGCTAGGTAATGCCAGTTCTGTGCCTTGTGGACATCTATCCTCAGCACACACTGCAAGCTGGCGACATTCTTCCAATGACGACATTGCCCCCTTTCCATGTCTTCCCCAAACATCCCTCCTAGGGGGAGCTTAGAGGCGAGATATCAGAGCTGGAGGATTGGGTTGAGTAGAGAACTTGGCCATCACACTGTTATGTTTATTCTTTACATTTGTAGAGGGGGGGGGGGCAAGTAATAAAAAACTGTGTTTTGGTTGGAGTAACCCTTTAACCTCACCAATTATCACACATAACAGTCTGCAGAGCCATATCATTTACTGACTTACCTGTGCACCCACCCTTCCTTTTTGTAGTTTGGGAATGTTTGTGTGAGTGTCTTCCAGAGTGTTGAGATTCACCTTGCTGAGTTGGTTGTTAAACTTGCTTAGAAGCTGCCAGGGCAAATCATTGTGCCTGTGTAGGAGAAATGTGGGATACTATATCACTAAGCCTGTAATTAAGGTGTTCTGATTTGTATAAATATGTGATTTATAGGGTGTAGAGACTTTACCTTAATCCTGTGCTTCACCTATTATATAATCTTTATATATATATATATATATATATATATATATATATATATATATATATATATATATTTACACTAAACTGTATCTTGTTTACCTTTTTTTATAGCTATTATAAAAATATCAAGTCAGATTTATTGTGTAATATCTATTTAACCTGATTCTGAGCCTTTCTATTTCTATTTTCTATTTCCAGGGCAATAAAGTTAATAGCTTACATTAATAGCGTACATCAATCAGATCGCTCTCCCTTCAAGTTTGTGGTACCCACATCAGTCCATCCTTGCAAGCGCGCTGTCTTGGCGTCATACTGTATTCTGGACTCACCTTTGAGCCTCACATCCAGTATGTTGCCAAATCCTGTAGATTCCATCTTAAAAACATAGCCCGCATCTGCCCCTTTCTTACACAAGATGCTACCAAGTTGCTTATCCATGCTCTAGTAATTTCCCGCATGGATTACTGTAACCCTCTCCTGATTGGTCTTCCCAAAAGCCGTACTGCACCGCTACAGTCTATAATGAACGCCGCTGCCAGACTGATTTTCCTCTCTAGTCGGTTCTCTCACACCTCACCCCTCTGTCAGGCCTTACATTGGCTTCCAGGAATCCTATAGGAGTCAATTCAAGGTACTAATTCACACCTATAAACAGTGGTGTATCCTGGTTTTGTGCTGCCCTAGGCAGGACAAAACTCAAGCAGCCCCCCCCCCCACGCACGCGCGACCCCCACCCATCCCTTCCCCCCGCCCCTCCTTCTAAATACACACACACTCACTGACAGATACGCATACACTAGGTAACAGAAACACAAACTCACTGACACACACACACTCACAGGCAAACATACACACACAGTCAGACACAAACACACTCACTAGCAGACACACACTAGCAGACACAAACACTCACTGACACACACACTCACAGGCAAACACACTCACACTAACAGTCAGACACACTCACACTAACAGTCAGACACACTCACACTAACAGTCAGACACACTCACACTAACAGTCAGACACACACACTAACAGACACACACACTCACTAACAGACACACTCACTGACACACACACTAACAGACACACTCACTAACATACACACTCACTAACAGACACACTCACACACACACTCACACTAACAGACACACTCACACTCACACTAACAGACACACTCACACACACACTAACAGACACACTCACATTAACACATTTTTTTTTAACCCCCCCCCTCCAGCCTCCTTACCTTTGAGAATGATGGGGGGGGGGGGTGGCGGTGGTGGTTCCCTTTCTCCCTGGTGGTCCAGTGGCTACTGGGCGCGAGGGAGCTGAGCAGACAGCTCAGAGGAAGTGCTCCCTCGCCAGCCGCCCGCCCAGCGCCGCCCGCCCAGCGCCGCCCGCCCATCAGCCAGCGCCGCCTGCCCGCCCGCTCGGCATGTCTGTTAGCCGCAAGGCTAACAAGACATTTGCCCTGGGCATTTGGGGGGCGGCTTTTTTTGCCGCCCCCTGGAAAATGCCGCCCAAGGCAAATGCCTTGTTTGCCTCGCGGCTAAAACGCCCCTGCCTATAAAGCACTGAACAATCTTAGCCCCTCTTATATCTCTTCACAGATCCATAGGTATGCCCCTTCTCGGTCTCTCCACTCTGCCCGTGACCACCTCCTGTCCGTTGTCTGCACCCGTACGGCCAACTCACGCTTGCAGGACTTCTCGCGGGTGGCTCCCTTCCTATGGAATAGCCTGCCTACCACCATCAGACTCTCCCCTAGTCTTGCATCTTTTAAGAAGTGCCTTAAAACCCATCTCTTTAGGAAAGCTTATGGCCTCCAAGATTAACCTCTACCTCACATACCTGTCTCTTGCTCTCTCCTAAAGGGCAGCCCACCTTATTTGACTGCAAATTCCTGTCCAAATGTGTTTTACACCCCACCTCCTATAGAATGTAAGCTCGTTTGAGAAGGGTCCTCTTCAACCTATAATTCCCGTAAGTTTTTTGTAATTGTCCTATTTATAGTTAAATCCCCCTCTCATAATATTGTAAAGCGCTACAGAATCTGTTGGTGCCATATAAATGGAATAATAATAATAATAATAATAATAATGTGAAGACATTGATCAGCCTCTGCTCACTAACATTTCACTTTTTTGGATTTCAAAATCTTTATCATTAACTCATGGGATGTCGTTCCTTATATTGCAATCCAATCTCCAAATATGCCCAGCCATAGACTTTGTAGGACCACTCTCATAACACCCATGCACCTCATCATGTTCCCCATGCCCTCAGAGTCCCTTAATCACCAGCTGTACCCACGGTAGCTTTGATATGGTTTAATCCTCTCATATATATTATCACTGTCTTACTGCATTATAGCATCCGATTTACCCACTTACAATAAACTATCCCCAAAGGGGGACAAAGCCAAAGGTCTTTTAAACTGTTTGGGAATAGAGAAACAAAACAGTTATATAGTGGTTTAAACTTCAACTTGGTGACCTTTTTACAAAAGAACGCCTGGTCTGCGGTCTACGTGATGGGAAAGTGCAGGAAATGGAGGAGTTTTTAATTGATATGATAAGGGGCTTTTGTAAGCGCCGCCGCCAGACGTGTTTATTATTTTATGGTTTCGAAATCCTCTATGTCATGATGAAAGCCATGGAAATACATTCTTTAAACTTTTTTTTTCTTTTCTCGAAAGACATTCGTAATGTAGAAAATGTGGAGGCCTCTGTTTAAATGTTGTAACAGAAAGTTGCAGAGAGACTAGCCGGCTCGCCTCTTAGTCAGACACTATGGGCCCATCTGTGACAAAATTCCCGCCAGCCCTAAAACAGTAAACCATTGAGTACAAACCGCAGACTGAACATTGGGATATGAAGGCTTAATCCCTATTGACACCTGTTAATACGTGGGTTGATAGACTCTTGTGGATGAAAATTAGTTCACATTTGGGAAGAGCGCAATTTAAAAAGGAGTATTGTAATTGGAGTGGCGGGACTGAAACAGTTGATTATATTCTTGTATTATGGGTTAAAATAAAGGACCACCATTTTTAACCCCTTAAGGACCAAACTTCTGGAATAAAAGGGAATCATGACATGTCACACATGTTATGTGTCCTTAAAGGACCACTCTAGGCACCCAGACCACTTCAGCTTAATGAGGTGGTCTGGGTGCCTGGTCCAGCTAGGGTTAACCCATTTTTTCATAAACATAGCAGTTTCAGAGAAACTATGTTTATGAATGGGTTAAGCCTTCCCCTATTTCCTCTAGCGGCTGTCTCATTGACAGCCGCTAGAGGAGCTTGCGTGCTTCTCACTGTGATTTTCACAGTGAGAGCACGCCAGCGTCCATAGGAAAGCATTATGAATGCTTTCCTATGTGACCGGCTGAATGCGCGCGCAGCCAGCTGACGGGGAGGAACGGAGGAGGATCGGAGGAGGAGAGCTCCCCGCCCAGCGCTGGAAAAAGGTAAGTTTTTCCCCCTTTCCCCCTTCCAGAGCTGGGCGGGAGGGGGTCCCTGAGGGTGGGGGCACCCTCAGGGCACTATAGTGCCAGGAAAACGAGTATAGTGGTCACCCAGAATACTTCACTGAACTATTTTCAGCCCTTTAATGTAAATCATTATCATTTTGTATGATGGTTCAACACCTTTAAAGTGAAACCTGTCATTTATAATTTAACTTACCTGCAATCGCTCCCATATACATTGAATGCACCATATATCACAAAGATGCATGATGTATTCAATGTAAAATATAAAGATTTACTCACTTTTCCTCCGTTCCATCACCGGTTTGTGGGTGTTACTCTTCGTGTAATACCCACTTCCTGGCCAGCGTACCGGCGTCTGAACGGAGTGACATTAGATCACTCCATTCCTATACTCCCTAGCCTAGGGTGGAGAGCAGAGGGACCTCCTGTAGAAGGTCTTTTCTGCTCGTCTTTGTCAGTCAATGTCAAGGCACGCCAAGGCGCTGACTCACAGCTGGGAGAAAAACCTATTTTTAAATAGGTGTTTCTCTTAATCTATACATTTTTTTAGCTAAACTGCTAGCACAATGCATAGATATAATCTTTTTCTTAATCTAATAAGCATAACTTATTTAGGGCATAATATATCTCAATGTTGGTTTTTAACTGATTTAGCAAAAATCATACACCAGTAGGATACAGAGATCACATAAGCTGGTCGAGCTCCGTTTAAATACCAGCACTATGTGTGTCTGCGGTTACTGTATCATTCCTTCTAGAAAGGTCTCCCTTGTTTCAGCTCTTTATGTTCGTCAAACCCCAGCCTGGTGTGCCTCCTGGAAGTCTTTCCCCAGCCCCAGGCACCGGGTACACTGTAGGTTTACAAGTACAGTTCTGTTATTGTTTGCCGACAATCATAATAATTTCATATTTTAGCACAATTTACTGTGTCAGAGCAGGAATAGTGTAACCTATTAATTCAAGCAATTTCCTGCATGCTAAAATTAAAGGGATGTCCAGTATACAAAGTAATACAGAATTGTATTTTTTAATCCTGGCAACTATTTACCAACAAGATAGGAAATGATCACTAGAGTCTGCAGAAAAATTCACAAAGGTTGAGTGTTCACTTTTTCAAAAAGACTTGTTTAGAGTTAGTTTTTCTGTTCCGTGTCGCAGAACATCTGTCAAAACTGCAACCTCTTTGCAGCCTTGCTTCATTTGCCAAATAAACCACTGATCCCAACAAGTGTACCATTAGCCTGGGCTCTAGAAGCTGTGCTTGTCTTGCCCAGAGTCCCTCCTGAATCATGCATTGTAAAATTCCTTCCTTCCTGGGATTCATGTTCTTGTCCTGTGTCTGCCATATTTTATTATTCTTTTTTACCTCTGTCTACCAGAGCTTTGGGTTTCGTAACCAGGCTTCAGTACTCCACTGACTGCCCAAAACTTTGGATCTGCAATGATTTGACACTTCTCTGCCTCCTAATGGATTATATACATTGAATTATCTTAATCCCTGATTATAGTTCAGTGCTAAATACAACGCTTCAAGGATAAGCAAATGGTAAATCTCCAGCTGGCAAAGCATTGTTAGGATTGCAAGAATGACGGGGATCTACCTTTTTTCCCCGTCATTGCAATAGAGGGGCCCATAACAAATTCTTGCACCATGGCCTGCTATATGTTAGTTCCGCTACTGCATTGAATTATCATGATCCTAATCCTACTCCCTTCTCTGTATCTCACACTCCTTATAGTGACATGACTTTCAGACAGGGGACAGAGCAGTATTGTGTTCTATCCCTGCTACTTGCCCTAAGCATGGTACTCTGTGGGTCTGAGTTCAATGTCTGCAGTGGTTGTCTGTCTGTAGATACTGATATATTAATCCTGATTAACAAGAAAATAAATATAAATTCAGCCAAATGCAGTGATTTCATGTTACGTGGCCATTGCTTGATAAATGGAACTATTACCCTACAACTGGCTTGGCCAAAAGAAGGAACCCCAGCTGATGTAGAAATTTCATGGCAATGATGCTTTCTGTTAGCGTGGCCGCGGTAATGTCTGATTCCAAGTTGGATACACTTACCCATCTATGACAAAAGAGTTGTTCATGACTTCTAGAGCTTCCTGTAGGTAATCATTTGCAGCCACCAGCACGATAGAATTACAAAGCAGGACAAGCAAAGCCCACATCATAGCCATTATCTCAAACAATGTTCCTTCTTTCCCCCACTAGATCAGGAGGATGTCTATTGCTGGATCTCTTAGCTGTAGGTTAATTCCTACACAGTGACTCTTCCTAACGCCAGAGATGTATCGAAGATTGAAAAGTGACAACTAGGTGTTTTGTTGCTTTTATTTTATAGTTTTATCATGTTTTGAAGTTAATCAGTAACTTGATCAATGAATAGTTGATAGAACATTTGATAGCTGTAACTCCTGCACCCAGTTTACATCTGTTTTATTTCATATAATTAGTTGCAGTACTACAATACTACATTAATTTTAATGAGTGTCTTTTAAAGGAACACTACAGGGTTACGGATGCAAATGTGTATTCCTAATACTATAGTGTTTTCCTACTCATCATTTAGGTGACCTTGTATTGACCTTGTATTCTTCCTCGCCATCTTGGCTTACCCATAGGAAAGCATTGGAAGGCTAGTGCATTTGCTCAGCAAAACACAACGCTGCACCATTTAGATGATCAGCCACTAGAGGCATTTGAACCCCCGTAATGTAAATATTATCATTTCTGCTAAACGACAATGTTTTACATTACAGGGTTGAAAAAAGACAAACATGGCACTCATACCACTTGATTGAGTGTCTATAGCAGTGGTTCCCAAGCCTGCCCTCAAGGCCCCCCTACCAGTCCAGGATTTGGGGATTACCCGGTTGTGTCTAAGGTGTTTTTAGAAAAAAGAAAGAAAACAAAAACACTTTAGACACAACTGTGTAATCCCTAAATCCTGGACTGGTAGGGGTGCCTTGAGGACTGTTTTGGGAACCACTGGTCTATAGCATCTCTTTTTTATATAGGATATTTAGTGTAAGGCGAAGAAAAGGGTTTTTTTTGTTTTGTTTTTTGTTGTTTTTTTTACAGTAAGAACTATAAGGATGTGGAATTCTCTGCCTGAAGAGGTAGTTTTATCAGAGTCCTTACAGATGTTTAAACAGCAACTGGATAAACACTTGCAAAAACATAACATACAGGGATATAATTTCTAATTAGTGGGGTAATAGCTGCTTGATCCAAGGAGACATCTGACTGCTATTTTGGGGTCAAAAAGGATTTTTTTCCAGGTTTGTTGCAAAATTGGAAGAGTTTCAGACTGGGTTTCTTGCCATCTTTTGAAACAACAGCAAAAACATTTGCGAGGAAGGCTGAACTTGTTGGACGCAAGTCTCTTTTCAGCAATGTAACTATGTAACTTTGTATATATTAGAATCCAGGTAGCTAAAAAATAAGTAACAATTATTTGAATCTTGTTATCAGTTTTACACTCCCCCACAAGGTTTTAGGGGCAATTTATCAACATACTCTGCCAAGCTTTTATCACTGAGAATACAGTGTGAATATTCTACATGCATTCTACACCAAAATAATATATTGGTGTAGAGTACACCAGAACAAAATGCACCAAAAGTATTACCTAAATAAATGGAATGTGCTCTACAAAATGTAACACAAAAGAAAACAAAAATGTGGAAAATTGCAGTTTCTTCTGATATACTTTGATAAATCTCTCTCTCGTCGGATATAAAATATCTAAAATGTAGTGTAGTACATATAAATGACAGGTGAATTCCCTCCCAATCTTGACTGCAGCAGAAAGAGGCCAGGCATTCGATGCCAAGGTAGCCCTGTTTGTTCTTAATACGATTAGATGGCTTGACAAAAACTGGAGAGTTGGCATCCAAAAACTCCCAGCACCATAACCAAAACATAATCTGTACTGCTTTTGGTGCCTTGACATTGTGCCCACACCCCAGGATCGATGCATCGAAACTTCCCAACTGTGCCCGGTTATGGTAACACCAGCCTTGCATTTAGAGTTTTTAGAAAAGAGGGACATCAAGTTACAAATGAGAAACAGAGTGACATGGTCCCAAAAGAAGGAAGAGCCCACCATCATGTAGGTACCCCAAAACAGATGACATTTTGTATTATCCTTTGGTTTAAATGGGTTAATGTTTGGAATCCTAAAACAATTAAAGAATAGACCTTTGCCCTGCATCGTTCCTCAGCAATAACCATGATGACCAAATGTTCGGGAGAATGAGTGACTAAAAAGCTAATCCGATTTATGGCGGTAATTATCAGGTTTGATAAAGGTCTTCGGAGGAGAGAGAAACATCACCGCTTTTCAGGCTGTATTTACTGAGTGATAGACCATCTTGTAAGTTTACTGTCATTACGGGTTTTAGTCCAGCATCAGTTAGGGGACCAAATGTAGGTTAGCCACCATGAAATGCCTCCAGGAAAGGTCTACATGACAGCCACTACAGACAGACTTAGCCCTGCAATGTAATTATTGTAATTATTGCAGTTTCTCAAAACTTCAATGATTTACATTGCTGGTTAAGTGGGGCTTGGACACTTTTAATGAGCTGAAGTGGTCCTGGTGCCTATAGAGTCCCTTTAAGTAATTCTAGTGCCTGGAGTCCCCTGGCGCTGCCCCTCCATTTAGTGTTAATGAGACACTCCAGTTCCCCAATGCACCTCAGCTTTAGTACTTTATGTGTGAAGAGTGTGTTCTCTTTATTTAACAAAAAGTGCAAATTCCAATGGAAATTTGCTCCCCCACCACCCCTTGGATCAGATAACCGGTCCTGTTACTTCCTGGTTTGGTTAGTTCAGTGGATCTAAACTCAAGAGGCAGCAACTGCCCAGAGCACCTGCCTTGCAGAAATTGTTCATTGAGGTGCACTGGGAAGTCTGTTATTGGTCAGCCATAAAAAGTCTGGGTGGGTTTAGAAGGGGAGGGCTTGCAAAGGCTACAGGCAAGGGATTTGCAGCTTTTGCAAGCTGTTTTTTAAATTAAATATACCCTCAATGAACAAAATGCATTTGTATGCCACTGATGAGGTGAATGGTCAGCTGACATTATTAACTGATTATTGTACCTAATGTGGAAGCAGTAGCCAAAGCGGCACAGGGACATTGTATAATAGAGTGTACAAGAATGGCACCAAGGAACTGTAACCACTATAACTACTTTATTCATTTAAAGTGGTTATAGTGCCTACAGTATCCTTTTAAAACGATTCAATAAAAACAAGACAGAACGTGGGAGATGTTAAACAGAAAGCCTATACATCGTAATAGATGTACCATGATGTCACATAGTCTTAAGTGTTTAAACAAACCCATTGACCGCGCCAAACACATCTGCAGCAGCTCTGAGCTTTGTTCATCTCAAAGGTAGAAATGGACCTTCAACTCAACCCTCAACTGAAACAATTTAATTACCGCCATAAACAGGATTAGCTTTTGAAGCACTTATTCTTCCAAACAGCTGATCACCACGGGAATTGCTAAGAAACCATTCAGGGAAAATATCTAATTTGTTTTAGGGTCCCCTTAATTACCTAATTTCAATCAAAATTCGCCTTTTGCTATCAGATCTACAAATTCTGCGCGCACAATCATTACAGTGCTGTTCACAGCTTGCTAGGGTTAAGGGGCACTTAAGTTTATAATACCAGTACTCGAGATATTGCGGACTATAACACCCAACAGCAGTGTAATCTGCCTGGGGGTGATGAGAGCTGCAATGCCTAGAGTTTCCAATGTTTACAGAGGTTGTACACCCTCCTCCCCCCTTTAAGAACCTTAAGGGTCACAGCTTGGGATACACCGCTGTACCTCGCTTTTTAATAATGAATGCTGTTATGGTACTATGATGACTGCGCTATTTTCAATGTAGTATCATTATAGTGTTATTGTAATGATGCTTTTAGAAGTTTTAGAACTGAATGCCTATGTAGGATCCACAATAAGCACTTTCTACCTCTGTGAGATTACAACACAAACCTCACCAGGATAACATTTAAATACTTACGGTAATTCTCTCTCACACTCTTTCCTTCCTGTACTTTACTCTATCTTATCTTCTGCCTATAGTTTCCAGTGCAATCTGTGCATTTGAAGGTTATTATGATAAACACAAAGCAATCGGATATTAAATGGACAGTAACTGTATTTATTTCCAGTGTTGCATATGAAACCATTTACTTTACTCTGCAGAGATTGGAGAAGCATTTATTATAGTAACACTGCCACGTTCCTTGCTCCTGGCTGTGACGCCGATTCCTTCAAAAATGAAATGATTCCGTACTTTCAGAGCTGTTTCTGTGCTTTCAGAGTATGTATAAATGAGTTCATAATTTCGTCCTGACCTAGCTAAAAAAGAAGCATTTTGGATTTATACTTTAAAAACTCTAGGGACAGGTCTCAATCAAGATATTGATTTGACGGGACTCCTTTAATTAGATTATTATATTTTTTGGAGCTTGAATAGCCCTTATTATATATTTTTGGTAATTTTGTTTAAGGATCCATCTGAGACTCTACATTCTCCCTCTCCTTTTTCTAATATGTAACCCGAACTTCTTTGCACTTTGTTTCTGCACTCTGTTATTGTTTTTTATTTCATTTTATTTTTATTATATAATTTTAGGATGATTTTACAGCATATTAGGATCATACTTGTGCTGGTCGTATTCATACCACTGACACATCGGCATCTGTGTATATTCTATATACTTTTGCATTTTGTCATGAAATTGTTTTGTATTTGGTGTCTCCCTTATAGAGTACATGTGTCTTTCAGATAGTATCATTTTAATTTAATATATTATTATTGTTCATTGTATTTATTATTTTATTGCTACGTGTTGTATTACTATATGATTTTATTTTATACTACATTTTAATTGTGCATGGAAATGTTATCTAAAAGGGAGCTTCTATTTTTCCACTCTGAAATGCTCGTTTTTCATTACAGTTGTAGTTTGGATTGCGGAGCGTTCCACTGTGGAACGCGGAAATCCTCCTGAAATATACATTCACTATGGCTTTGCGATGTGCGTTCCACAATGGAACG